AACAAACACACAACCCGGAAAGAAAACAGAGAACAAGAAACGAAGAGATACATACCAAAACAAAGAGAAACAGACAGACAGAGAGAAAGAGACAGAGAAAGAGAGACGGACAGACAGACAGACAGACAGATAAGTAGACAGACAGACAGACAGACAGACAAACAGACAGACAGACAGACAGACAGACAGACAGACAGACAGACAGACAGACAGACAGACAGACAGACAGACAGACAGACAGACAGACAGACATGCTCGAGGGGAGCTCAGCGAGAAAAGGAGGCAACAACAGACACCACCATTGCTTGGGGAGTGAGGAGCTGACGGGGGAAGGGGGGCAGCAGCCAACTGCCATGCTCACCCCCGCTTAAAAATATTGAGGAACCGCTCAATCCAGCTGTTGGGGGAGAGGCCCCTGAACGTCTGGTGAATGTAATCTTCTTGAAGCTCCTTTCGCAGTTCATCGTCTGTCCGTGTACAGAGCCATGCAGCAACAGCTGCACCCGCGCTGCAGCCGGCAATCACCTGCACATTGCCGGCAGCAGCGGCAAAGCCCACGCAGAGTTGATGCTCTGTCTGGATTGCAAAGAAGCTTGTGCGTCGCAACGACACCGCGTGAAGCCTTTCTACGATGCAGTCCTCTCAAAGGCCCCACCCCGACACAAGAAACCACATGCAGCAAGAGCAGCACCAGCGGAGTCGAAGCAGTATTCGAGCACCAGAACCAGCAGCAGACCTTAGGAAGCAGATTTTCTTGCGTCTCGTTATTGAAGAGAAGCGCCTCGATGAGGCCAAAATGATGAAGCCCTAACATGGCACCCCCTGCAAGAGTCTCAGGAAAAAAAGACTGCAGGAATTTTGCAGCAGCAGCAGCAGGAGCAACAGGGGCCTGCGCAGCGGGCAGAGGCGCAGATTTGCGAGGAAGGATCTGCGCACACTCACCACTTAGAACTAAGGCCGTCTGCTTCCACTGCCTCCGAATACTCACAATCGCATGCTGCAGCAGCGGGCGCAGCTTCGGTTGCTGCTGCATGTGCAGCGTGAGGTCCTCAAGGGCCAGACGAAGCTCTGAGAGGAGTTCTTCGAGTAAATCCTTCGTTCCTAGATACGTGCGACTTGAGAGGAAAGCGCAACACCGTGGTAGGACAGGAAATCAACGGTGATGGTACACGTCGCAAAGGGCCCCCTTCGCCCTCCTCTTTCCTTTCCCTTCCCTCTACCCCCCTGTTGAGCCTTCTCTTTCCTCCCGCCCCCAGGAGGTAGACAGAAGAGAGACTCAAAGAGGGTCCAGAAAAGCTGGAGACGACAGCAGTTTTTGCAGCACGCAAAGAGGGCGAGGAGAGTTCCCGAGCACCTACTCTTCTCGCAGCTCTTACGCAGCCTAAGGAAGGCAAAACAGCAAGCGAGATTCTGGGAAAGGAGAGACGAAAGAAGACCGCAACACTCCCCCCAAGAAGACGACATACCTATACAGTCCCTCTTTGAGAGCAGCCTGCGCATGCCCCTGAAGAGCCTTGCCAATCTCCCCCGCGAGTCGCTGAGGATTTCCCGACAACCTCGCCGCCTTAAGGGCAGTCAGACTTTGTCTGACGGCAGCGGCATCGTACAGACGGCTCTCTGCCCTCCGCTTCCACGCCTTCCTGCCCGTCGCTGCGTCTAGCTGCTCCGCAGCAGCTGCGAAGGCAGCATACGTTCTGCTCGAGTCAAGCTGACGGTGCAGTCCCCACAGGGAGGGGACTGAATTCCGCAAGGCACCCATGACGTGGCATGGCCAGGAGATGGCTCTCCAAAGGCGGCGCAGGCATCGAAAGCCGTGCTTCTCGACGCAGAAAGAAGTGGCTTGTTGCTCTGGAGAACGTTCGCCTGTCAGAAGAGGCTTTGCGACCTCGAAGCAGGCTGTGAGACTTTCTGCCGCCAGAGGCAGCTCGTGGCAGTGCACTGAGGAGTGCGCTTCAGAAGTCTCAGCGGACGAACGGGGGGGGGGAGGGGCAGCGTCTTGGCGGGCGAAGGAGGGTGTCACTGCTGAGGATGACGCACAGGAGGTGGAAGGCGAAGTTGGATCGCTGAGCTGCTGCGCGGAAGGGCTGACGGTGTGGCTGCTGCTGGCGCGCATGCTCTGGAAACCTTCTTCCTGCTGGCAGTCCTTCAGCTGCATCTGCTGCTGCTGCACCTGCTGTTGCTGCTGCACCTGCTGTTGCTGCACCTGTTGCTGCTCCTGCTGCTGCTGCCGAAACTGTGAGGTAGCGGAGTGCAGGCGGAAGAAGGCAGCATCGAGGATGAGCGCGAGGAGTATGACGACAGCGTAGAGGGAGACTTCCACACAGAGGCAGAGGGCAAGGAAGCAGAAGATGGGAAATCCGAATAAGAAGTGACTGTCTCCCCGAAAGAGTCTCCCTGCAGCCCACAGCAGCCTGCCCTTTCGACTACGACCCCGAAACCGCTGTTGCTGTTGCTCTAAAGCGGCAGCAACTGCCCTCTGCGACGCCACTTGCCTCTGTCGAGCAGACAGACGGCTGTCGTGCTGCACTTTGAAGGCAACGGCGAAGAGATCGACTCCCGTTGCGCTGACATTCGCAGCACTCGCCAACGCAGAGGCTGCGGCTGCAGCGTCTGCGACTCCCTGAGCCGTCACAGTGTCTGCAGAGGCCCCTCCTGTGGCGAGCAGTCTGCGATCGCGGGCAGTGAGACTCCCTAAAGCCTGCCTGTCAGCAGGAGGAGGAGAAGGAGGAGCGGTATGAAGGAGGCTGCTTGGGCACGACATAGAGTCCGCTACTGACTGCCTGGAGGCGTGTTGCCTTTTAGCAGCAGGAGTTGAGGAGACTTCATCCGAGGGGGGAAGGGGGGACGAGAGGCTGCCTGCCTCCCACGAGCATAAGGGCCTGGCGGCAAGAGGCTTTTGCGGCGAAAAATCGGCAGAGACTTCACCTGGGCAAGAAAAAGACTTGTGACGTGGCAAGTCTTGCCGCTTTTGGAGCTGGCGAGGAGACGATGAGCCGTGCGAAAACGTCAAAGCCTGCCCCCCTACGACGCTCCCCTCATGTGGCCTTCGCTTGTCGGATTGCCTCGAAAATGTCAAAGCAAGATCACAGACACCTCCACTGGCAGCCTGCGCAGCCAGCGGTGGGGGGGCGTCCATTGGGCTTGTTGAACGTTCCTGCAATCAACTTCGCGAGGAATCCTCCGGAGTCTTGGCTTCGGATCGCGATGCCGCAGGAGCCGCTGCCGCTGTTGACTTCTGTAGCAGCCGCTTTCGCTTCCTTCGACCCTCCTAGAAGAGGTGTGTACCTCCTTGGAAGTTCCCCGCTGTGCGTTGCGCAGAAGCAAGAAGCACGCAAAAAGAGGTGTTGCGGGGTGAGTGGACGATTGGGGTCAAGGAAGAGGCTCAACTACCTACCTGGGTAGTGCTGAGGGGCCTCCTATGAGCTCCTATGAGCCGGTGGAAGCTCTGGAGCGCGCACAACTTGAGGGAAATTCGGAGCCGCTGTCTCGATTTCGGCTGGCTTTCCCGCTTTTGCCGCAATGCTTCTTCCGAAGCTGCTATTTGACCCTGCCCGCAGGCACGGGCAAGTCTTTGCGCTGTTGAAGAGCCTTCCACAATCTGTGTCACGACGGTTCTTAAGCAGCGGAAAACAGCAGGGGAGGCTGAGGAGAGGCATAGCAGCCCGGTGTGATGATGTGCAATCCTAAGGTGTCGGATGGGAGGGCCCCCTAGGGGTCTTCGGTGTTTCTCTCCGAAAGATCCGCTTTTAGGGGTCTCAACAGTCAGAGAAACGCTCGAAAGAGTGTGGAAGGAAAAGGAATGCGCTGTGGGCAAGAATTGCAACGACAGCAGCCGTTGCAGCAGCTGCTGCTGCAACGGCACCAACAACGGCCCAGTGCAGCGGTTCTTGGCAGTGGTGCTTCCGTGCCAGCTTTTGCTTCTAGGGGATCTATAACTCGCATGACTCGCGCCTTTTGAATCAATTGAACCTCCCATTCGGACTAGCATCTACACACAGGCTGCCCTTTCTTGCTTCCCATCTCGCAGCCGGTTATTACTGCATCCACACCAGCAGGGGCCGTGCCTGCAGGGGCCTAGGCTGGAAGAGCTGCAAGGACGCTTGGGGCTGACGCGTATTTGAAATCCTTTTCCATGCTTACTTTTTTACAAAGAGATTGGGAGAGAAACAAGAGCAGGAGAGCTGGGCGGATGAAATAGGCAACTTCAAAGGACCAGGGGTACCGGGCGTCCGCGTCGGCTGCGGCGCGATTGGGCTGTACAGCCATCTGCGAGCCATAGCTACCGCTGGACGGCTATTCCAAAAGTGCAAGCACAAAAGTCAGTAGAGCGAAGGTCGATAGAGTGCATCGCTCGCCACAGGCTCGGCTCGCCGCTCTCGGACGCCTCCTGGCAGCCACTTGACAGCCTCCGTGGTGCCAATTCTCCAGTGTCTTGCCCCTTTCTCCATCGAATCCTCGGAACGAAACGGCTTGGCCTTTGCCGCTTGCGCGCAGCTTGCCTTCGCCCCGCCTCCCTCCCCGAGTGCGTCCCCCCGCTTCCTCCAGGGTCACTTCGTGGGAAGCCACCCCAACGGGGGGGTTCGCGATCTCTTGCGGTGTAAATCCTCCCCCGTCGCAGTGCTCTGCTCTAGAGAGCGCAGTAAGGGGGATTCTGCGTCTGCATGCGGCAAGAATGGGAACAGGCGCCTCGCCGGATGGTTGAGACTTGCGCTGAGAGTTCCCGAGGGGGCCCCCAGGGAGCCCCCAGAGGGGCCCCCAGAGGGGCCCCCTACCGGACGGAGGCAGAGAGCAGCAAGAGAGAGCTCTTCTTCTCACCATCAGGCCTCTCCGCCGATGAGATCTCTGACTGTGGGCAAGCGCTCTGTGCTCCTCCTGCGAGGCACCTGCGACAGCCCTTGCTGCCGCCCTTCCGCCTGAGTGCGTATAGCCTCGCAGCTCCTGGAGAATTCGAGGCTCAACGAGGTGGCCAAAAAGAGGCCCCCAGCAACCAATTCGAGGGCCGGGGGGGGGGCCCCCAGCGGCCGCAGGAGGATTCTAAGGAGCATTACTTCTCTCCACTTTCCGGAGGAGTCGGTTTTGCTGAGAACAAGGTCCCCAAGGAATGCAAGAACGGTCCCTTCTCGCGCTCTTCTGATCCTGTTGACTGCTCGACAAGTCGCATTGCAAGTGAGGAGGAGCTGCTGCGGCTGCCCCTGAGCCACGTCCTGCAGCTGCTGCCGCCGTCTACTGCGGCAGCGCTGAAATCCACAGTTCTGCCTTTCTTTTTTGCACCGGATATGCATGCGCTCCCACATGGCATAGGATCTCAAAGAGACTGCCGCTGTGGAGACTCTTCCAAACCTCAAGAGGCGCATTCAGAGGGAGGCCAGAAGGAGGGGGCCATCTTCTCCAACGAGGCAGCTTCATCCGCGAGGCAGACGCCTCAGGGAAGCCCCTCAAGGGCCCCCCCTCCACAGGCGGCTTCCATCGGGGGGACGCAACAACGTGCCTCAGCTCAACAAGACACCCTTCCCAAGGGGGTATTTGAGCCATGCGCAAGCCTAATATCCCCCGACAAAACTCACCGCAGCCCCCCGCAGTCTCTAGGCACCCATCGGCACGTAAGGCCCGCTTTGCACCAGCAGTCAGCGAAAGAAGCTCTGCAAGGCTCTCTTGAGCCACCCCAGCAGCAACAGCAGCAAGAGCAGCAGCAAGAGCAGCAGCAAGAGCAGCAGCAACAGCATCAACACCTGCAGCAGCAACAGCAGCAACATCAACAGCAACACCTGCAGCAGCATCAACAGCAACACCTGCAGCAGCGACAGCAGCAACAACAGCAACAGCCAATCCACCAACACCCGCAGCAGCTTGGGGGAGCACCAGTGGCTGGGGCCCCTGACGGGGGGGCCCCCCAGCAGCAGCACACGGTATGGCTAGCTTCTCTTCCTAAGCAGCCGGAACTGATACAGCCGCAGCAAGTCCTTCCCCCCCCGCGGCCACGCACATCTCCCGCGAACGCCCCAGAAGGCCTCCTGAGGGGGGCCCCTCTGGGGTGCCATGGGGGGGGGCCCCCCTACTCAGAGGAGAAACCCACCGCGCGAGGGGGGGGCCCCCCAGGTAGTGAGCGTTTGCAGCATAAGCAACAGCATTTAGGCTGCATGACGCAGCTTGCAAGGCCTCAGCGGCGGGAAAGCAGCGCTGGTTTTCGTGAAGAAGCGACTCCGGAAGCGTCCACAGCAGCAGTAGGTGCAGCAGTAGGTGCAGCTGCTGCTGATTTTCGGTGCAGCAGCAACGACACGAAGCAGAGGGCCTCTTCTTTGTCTGTGGAGGCTTTGCCTGCGCCTTACTACCCCGTACGGAGCTACAGCGCGGAAGCTTGTCCTCATTTCCTCGAAGAGACTAACTGCTGTGCATGTACCGCCTCTGAGGGCTCTCCCCACTCTGGCAGATGCCTCTCTCACGCCTCCTCCACCCTCCCCTCTGTTTCCGTGATGCAGCAAGCAGCAGCAAGCATTGGGGTGGGGCCTTCCTCCTCGCCCTCCAGATGTCACCCTTTGCTCGCCAGCCAGGGGGCCCTTGGAGGCAAAGACCCCTCGGAGGGCCTCCCCCCTCCCCCCCTTGCGAATCACTCTTCCCGGATTTCCGAATATGAGCCGCCCTACTGGTGCAGCACAGGCAACAGCAACAGCAGCAACAGCAGCAGCAGCACGCTTCCGTTGCCTCCGCAAGACGAACAAATAGTGCCGACCCTCGCGAAACGGCTGCAACAGCAAGGCATCCTGAGGGAGGCCCCTTGGATATCGCCCTCAGTCCCCGCTACTGCTCGCAGCAACAGCCCCCCCCCCCCTTGCAGCATTTCCTGCAGCAGCAGCATGACCTCGGCTGAAGGCGGCCATGACTCTCAAGACTTCTGCAGTCTCGATGAAGAGGGAAAAGGACGAATTTCCCCTGCAGAACAGGGCACCGAAAGAGCTTTTCACCAAACCTCCAACAAGAAAGGCTCCAGCACTTTTCTAAGGAGGCGGCCAGACCGCGTAGTGATGCAAAGAAGCAACAGACCTGAGGTGCCAGACTTCTCGTATGTCGAAAGCATCGTCAGAAACGAATGCTGGCGGCGCAAAACCAAACGGCAGCAGCAGCAACAGCAGCAACAACAACAACAGCAACAGCAACAGCAGCAACAGCAGCAGCAGCAACAGCAACAGCAACAGCAACAGCAGCAACAGCAGCCGCAGCAGCAACAGCAGCAGCAGCAGCAGCAGCAGCGGCAGCAGGAACCCCAGCTCTTACAGCATCCACAAAAACAGCAGCCGCAGCAGCAGCAGCTTCACCCGCTTAGGCACAAACAGCAACCGAAGCAGATACAGATACAGCACGAGCAGCAGCAAAGTCCGCTTAAACCCATATTGAAGCACATGCAGGTCGAGCTACAGGAGTAAGTAAAAAAAGGCCCCCGTCGGTTTCGGCAGCATGCTTTGGGTGCCACGCTAAAGAGTCTGGCTTCTCTCCTGCACCCTTTTTTGCTGCTGCAGGGTTCGGAGGGAGCAGCTGCTGCAGCGCGTGGCTGAGAGGCTGCGGAGTTCGCTGCTACTGCAGAGACCAGATGCCTCTGCATTGAAGGTTCCCAAGAGGAGGACACTTGCGGATGCTGTAGCCCTTACTGCTGCCTCTACTGTGGCCACCACTGCTTCTGACAACGACAGAGACACAGACTCTGTCAGCGCTCCTACGCAAGATGCCACTTACCCCCCACAACGGACTCCCGAAGGTGCCGCAGCAGACTGGCAGCCTCGACTCCCCCCGCAACCGATGCACCAAGACGCCTTGGAAGAGGGTTTTAGTCCGTCGTGCAGTTACATTCCCTATGTGCCTCACCGCAGACGTTCCGCACGGGAAGCCGTGGCAGGAGCCTCCAGTGAGGAGTCCGTGGGGCCCCCCGGGGAGGCCAGGCGCATGCAGCCTCATCGTAAAGGCTTGAGTGCCTTGGCAATTCTCAAGGCAGCGAACCGTCTCAAAGCGCTGCAGCGGCAGCGGCTCTCCCTCAGACAGCAGTCTGCAGAAGAGGAGCTTCAAAGCGACTGTAAGCAACCGTGCAGGAGCGTCAAGGAGTTGGGGTTCTCTGCACTGGCGGCTCTTTGTGTCAGAGGATCCTGCAGGGGACTAATACCTCGCTCTTTTTGTGGGTGCTTTTGCGGTTTGATTTGTGTCAGGGACCGACGAGGACGTTGGTTCGACGGACGAAAACACAACGGCTAAATGGACAGAAGACTTTGGGAAGGTCCATCAGGTGCAATTCGCCTCTGGGGTTTAATACAATAAAAACAATCCCGCTGAAAGGGGAGTCAACAGCGGTTTCGCGCGACGCCCCAGGTCACTGCATTTTGGACTAGCCAAATAGACAGCTAGTGGCTTGCGACATGCAAAAGCACGCGTAAGCCCTGGCTATTTGTTTTGAAAGTGGAGGAACCAGGAACGAACGCTTTGGAGTGCCAACAGTGCTGCTGCATGCAGACTCAGCACTACACGCTGTACGGGGGGCTTTAGAGGAGATGGGGTCTCCATTTCTGGCTGAGAACAGATACGTTTACTTAGATGCAGATGAGAGAAAAAGATGCAAGACCAGTAGTTTACGCCGCCTGCGGTCTCCGCGCTCTATCCGTATCTTCTCAAATGTCTTGCTTGTGCACACACGCAAAGGCGTCTGCTGCTGATCCCGTGCATCCTGCGTGCCCCTAACGTTTTACGTATGGCGCATTTTCTGCATTTTCATGCATCCCTGCCTCTGAACTCTTCATCTAGTCATCCTGCTATCTGCCGCTCCCTCGCAAATGCCCTTAGGGCCTGATGCAGTCTACAGCTCCGCAGGAGATTCAACCCCCAAGAGCTCCAGACCCTTCGAGAGGGCTTGCTGCACAGCACGGCAAAGTAGCAGACGCACTGGGTGTACAGAAACCTTCTCGCAACAATCCCCTAGTGGATTTGCCAGAGCATAGTCCCTTTCCGTGGTGTCGTCTGGCTGTTGTTGGTCACATGGCGAGCAGCGTGCATCACCACCTGTTCTGCTGCTGCTGCTGCTGTTTCGGCTAATGACATGCTCTGTCTCGTAGAATTGATTGAAATTGCGGGCCAAGTCCAGCAAGAATGAGACAAGGATAGAGGGGTCCAGAGCTGCCGCGCTGCGATATAGGTACAGACCAAAACTAGCGACCTTCGCTGCCAGCCGTCGCTCGAGCTCAGTCAGCTGAGGCTCTCCTGAGGGGCATGGTAGCGAGATAAATCCAGGAGAGAGGGCCCCTTCAAACAAATGACACACCGCAAGATATGTGTGCAAACACCATCACTAGCTGGAGTCGCAGGGGCTCCGAGATGCACAAAGCAGGGGGACAAATCGACGGCATACGCAGGAAGCCGAGATAAAGATTCTGGGAGCAACAGAGCAACAAGGCATTCCAAATAGAGGAAAAACTCCCACTGTGATCGGAAGGCAGAGGCCTATATTGAGGAAATACGGGCAGATCTATGCTAATGTGGCGGCGCGTGGCAGGCAATGGCGCACTTGTTTTGTCATTTATACGCGACGCCCTTGCAAAACTGTACAGCAGTGGAAGGAACCCCCGTGCTTGGAGGGGCCCCCCGTTTTCAGAGACGCGAAAGTCAGCAGACACAGAAAAACCGAGAATCCACAAACGCAGATTTGCTGCAGCTGCAGCACCCACAAGCGGTCGGAAACTCGCAGCTTTCTTTGGTGCTGCTATCGAAAGCTGTCGCAGCAAGGTGTTGCATGAAACCTGTAAGGAAGGTTTACAAGAGCAGCATGAGGAGCGCTGTCAAGGACAGCAGTTGCCGCAGCACAAGCAGCTACACCGCGAGCAGCGCTCACTGCAGCCGCAAGAAGCAGCAGCAGCAACCATAGTAAGCTAATTGCAGCCGCAGCCTACTCAAAAGTTCGGCTCGCTTCTTGAGTTCTTCGTGTGGGAGTGTGTCTGGGTATCTTCGTCGCAATTCGCCTTCTGCACAAAGTGTCAGACCCATTCAGCGCAATTTGGACGTATCTACCGTTACCCTCCCCAAAGCTGCACGCATTGAACGCTCGCTCATGACTTTTATCCACACCTGCGGTTTGCAAGGCGTCTTCTAGAAGCTTAGAGAGGCCACTCGCTGCCTCTCTGGAAGAAAGTTTGCTGCCATGGATGTCAGTCACCAGCCCAAGTCCCAGGTGCTGTACATACACCTGGTCTCGCTGTTGGGGGGTCGCCTGTGGCACCGACGGCTGAGCCACCACTTGCTGCTGCCCCCAGTGCAGCGGCAGCCGAGTCTGTTGAGTAGGCAGAACAAGCGGATGATTGTGCTGGTGTGCCGTAACGAGAATTTTGTGCTGGAGGATTTTGTTGCCTAAGAGAAATAAGCGCCGGAAATGGTCCTGCTGGCGGCGATCCGTCACATGCAACACCCATCCCGCCCCTGCCTCCACCCTGAAAAACAAGCTCAAAGCCGTAGATTCTTTATTAATCGGCGTCATCAACATAGACAATTTCACAGGAAAGCCCGCCAAGGCCTATCACCGACTGTCTGGGTTTGACGGCATAGCTTGGAGACACGCCGAAGAAGGAGAGGCAAAAGCCTTTCGAGGCTTTTGCGGCAAGTACCTATTCTGCAGGGCAGCGAGATCGGTTGCAATGTAGGTGTAAGAGCCCCCTTGCCTCCGGAGAGCCACAGCCTCGGGCTGCTGCTGCTGCCGCTTTTCGTGCGGTAGTAGGCATGAGGAACGCGTCTCTGGGTGTGCCTGGGGAAGGCCAGCGTTCAGTGGACTCGTAGAGCTGCTGCTGCTGCCATCGTCGCTGCCGTTTGTAAGCAGTAAACCCTGCGTGGCGAGCGCCTCCATCAGCTTCTTCATACGAGGCATCTGCAGGAGCTCCCCCTCTGCGGCTTGGGGAGAAAGCTTTAGGAGGCTCAGCTGTCGTGCAAACCGCTGCAGCCATACCGACAGCAGAACGCAGAGCAGCTGCCCTCAGCGAAGGGCGGACGGGCAGAGACACCCGGGGAAAAGATTCAAGGCCATCGTAGGCACCGGAAGCAATGCAGATGGACGCATTCCAAGAGAGGTAGCGAAAAGCAACAAGACGGCAGGAGAAGCGACTCCAGAAGGAAAGAGGAAATGACCGCAGTGAAGAAGACAGCAGAGATAAACTCATAAAGCCCATCTGGACGTGCCAGCAAGCAGGCACACAGTACACGCAAGAGCACAGGGCTGCACTGCAGAAACGCACACAAATAGAAATCTGGGATATGCCTTTTGCATCCGCTACCGCTTGGCGTTCTCCACCGACAAGAGCCGCCAATGCTGAAAATGCAGCGGCAGCGAAGGCGGGCAGATGGGTGTGGAGATGCATGCAAAGCTGCGCAGATGCACAAGTCTCAAACACACTAATCGACTACAACTGTAGTCGCTGCTGTTGTTGCTGGAGCTGCTGCTAGAATACGATGTGTGTAGGTATATGCGTATGTGTATGTGTGTCTGTGTGTGTGTGTGTGTGTCGGTGTGTCTGCGTGTGTCTGTGTTTGTGCGTCTGCGAAAGGGGGTGTTACCGAGTAGGTTGCCGTGAGGTCAACAGCGGACTCTGGATGTGTTTCCTGTGCAAGATGCTGCCAGTCAAGAGTGTTCCTTGTTGTTGCTGCAACGGTGGAATTTGCAGCGCTGTCTCGCGACTGCTGCTTCCTGAGTGCTGCATCCAGAGCGGCCATATGCGAGACGAAAGCCTCCATGGATGCGTCGCTTACAGCCAGCCCTTCCGCAGCCGTTGCATCCGCTGCATCTGGTGCATCAGTTTTTGTGCTTGCCGCTGCGTAGGCCTTCGTAAATGCAGGCCTCCACTCGGGAGGAGTTGCAGCGACAACGGCTTCCGCTGCTCTGCGAAGCAGCAGCGCGGCTGAAGCTGTGTGGCGTTTCACTGGGCTGCCCCTGCTGTCCTGCTGCAGCTGTCTGTACACCCGAAGGCCGGCCAGACAAACAGCGACCGGCGTACCGCAGTCTCCAAAGTGGCAGCTGCGGTGCACATCCACTCCGAGGAATTCCAGCAACCTGGCCACCGACAAAGCAGCATACCAGATGAAAAGAGAGGCGGTATATGCAGCAGAGCAGAAGAGCAGCCACTCAAGAGGCCATCAGCGCTCAACGCCTAAGAGCTGGCGAGCCTTGAGTGCCCTGCAGGGCCTCGTATTCGGCATTTTCAGTCCACGATTTTAGCGAGAGTTTGTTTTAGAGAGAGTTTGCACCTCGCAAGACAGTCGCCAACGACTGCCGATCTGAGGTGTCCCACGTGAAGATCCTTCCCTATATTAGGAGAGAAATAGTCCAAGTGCAAGCGGATGCCGTTCGCTCGTACAGCCTGCAGCAGCAGCAGCACTATCACACGGGTCAAGAGGGGTAGAAGAAGCAACCTTTCGCAAGAGCAGCAGCCGCAACAAAATTTCCGGAGAGCCACCGTTGAAGGAGCAACAGCATGTTCCCCGCATGGTGCAGGCTGAGGTCCGGGCGGCACCAAAAAAAACACACACAAGCAGTAGACAGCTGCGGAATCGGAAACACCACTTCTCCTTGGAGTCTGCACTAGGCGTACACGAACGTACTGGTTGAACAGCGAGTCTCTTCGGGTCGGCAACTAGCCGTTGCAGCAGGTGCAGCAGCAAGCTGTCCCTCAGTCTGAAGCTGATGAATCTGCAGCAGTAGCTCAGACACCAGAGAGCAGCATTGGCTCGTAGCCAACACACCTCGGACGGCCCCAGAGTACAGCCTGCTGCTGCACAGAGACAAACTGCAAAGGCAACAGGCACAGCATGTGGCGCACCCCCTCCCCGTGTATTCTGCAGCGTAGCAAAGAGATCGCAAGGCTGCGCTGTTTCTCCACAAGGAAGCGGCGAATTCAGTGCCCTTCGACAAGAAAGAAAAATGTTCTCTTTGGGCTGCTGCGATCGGTGTGGTCGCCGCTGCCGTTGAATCCCCCGAAACTGCAGGGGATTGTAGCGCCTTGGCAGTTTCTGCCTGCGTTCCTGGTGCCTGTCTTTGCTGCTGCTGCTGCGGATAGTGCAGGCAAGACAACAGAGAGGCCAAGTTCGCTTGCAGCTCAAATCCATCGGCAGCGGAGCTTGCAGGGGTCACTTGCAGCTGCAGCGCGCAAAAGCAAGAGTACTGGCCCCTGGCGTGTCAAGCGGTGCAAGCTAGCATCCGCAGTCTCTACTCCTCAAGCAGCACACTATATGTGTTGCTGCTCTTGCCAATACTTGGAAGATTGTGGTGTTTTGCGACCTTAAACGATTGGGGAAGAGTGGCTCCTCCGGCCCGCGCCGCGTGTTTCCTCAGGATTCGTTCTAGCAAGGCGCAGACGTCCTGCAGTGTATGTACAGGCACGCTGCTGCAGCTTCTGGTGCCGCTGCAGCTGTCGGAAGAAAGCGCATGGCGGCTATTGAGTTGAGCAACGCTGCGACGAGCGCTAAGGGGCCCTCTTCGCGGTGCAGCGGTGTACAAACTCGCCGCAGCGAGGCCACCACAAAAAACGTTCAAGGCTTGCTGTGCTGCTTGCCGCTGCGCTGTCTCAGCAGCAGCTCTATAACCTGCGCTCAACACGCAGAGGCATCCCTGTGGGGGGGGAAACGAAGACGGTTTACAGAACAGAAGGCCCCCTAAGGAGGGTAGTGGGAGCCTAAGGAAGGCTGTTGGTGCCGTCGTTTTTGCTGCTGTTGTTGCTGTTGTTGCTGCTCTCGTTGCTGCTCTTTCTGCCGCAGCTGCTGCTGCTGCAGTTAGATTAGCGAGGAGGAGCAGCACGAGGCGGCGAGGCTGCGGATGCGGCTGCTGCCTGCGTGAGGGACGCTGCGACATCTGCTGCGGCCGGCTCAGCAGCAGCAGCAGCAGCCAGTGTGTTTCCACAGACCACGAAAGACAGTGCGACTGGAGGGTCCTTAAAATCCTGAAGATCACGCTCGACAGACTGTGTCTGCTGCCTTCTGTTGCTGCTCGTTGGGTCGAAGAGCTCACGAAAGGAGGCATGCTGGAGCCCACTCCACGTCTCTGGGGGGCCCTAAGAACAGCAGCTGTCTGCGTATGTGCTGCGAAATCTGGAAAGGGCGAATCGTATCTCCGTCTGCGGCGAGGCAGCCAAGGCCCTTGGACTCCTTCTCTCGCCAACGCCGCCGTGCCTGTGCATGCTCGCTCATGCTTCGGGCCTGACTTTGGGTAATTGAGTGATCGCGGCAGTCCTTATTGCAGCAAAAAGCCACTCAGGAGCGGCGAGGAGAGTTCGCTAGTTGCCTTCGCTCCGCCCCTAGCTTCGGGGGGGAGGCCCCCCTTCTCCCTCAGTCCCCCCGTGACGGCGGGTTAGCCTCGGGTGGCGTCGTTCTCTCGGGGGGTTGTTGTCCTCTAAGCTGCGGATTGCCACGGCGCAAAGTACGTTCTCTACTTTCTAAATGACGTAAAAACGTCAAGACAATGCACAGTAGCACGAAGAGGAGGACGATCAACGAGCGTCCTAACGCCTCCTCCATCCTACGGGCAGAGCAGCGGCCCTGCTGTGCCGCCAGTGTCTGTGTAACACCTTCGATGCCTGCGCGAATCGTTGCTGCCGTCCCCCTCGACAGGCCTCCCCGCTGAGTTGTTATTTGAAGGCACACTCTCAGGTGCGACTTAATGCCCTTTTGCGGCGATTCCCAATCTATAGGCATTCCAAACCTTACTTTAGGCGCTAAGCAGGCCCCCGCCTTCGCGCGCGGAGTCTTCGAGCACACGGTGCTCAGGGTAGGAACCGCCGAACTCTCACTTCATCTCCCCCCTTCGAACCTACGGCGAAATCCTAAATTACTCTAAAGATGCTCCAAAGGCAGCAGATACGCAGACTTCCCGCTGCCTTCAGTCCTCAAACTACTTCGCTGCGACTGAGTCGTACAAGGCACGAGGCGTTTCGTCAAGCCAAGTTTGGAGGGCGCCCCTAATGAAAAGGCCCTTTTCGCCTCTTTTCATCCCCGATTTACGCAAGGCAAAGCCTTGACAGTTAATTATAATGTGCCAACACAACCGGCCATACACCCCGCAACGGCTCGCCCTGCCCCTTCTGCTCCAGCAGCGGCCACACACGCATGGCTGCTCCGTCTGTTGCATACATACATAAATATACGCATGTGTATATACATATACCAGACGGGGTGATTCTCGCTGCCAATCAGCAGCGAGAGACCAGAGTTTCAAAGCCGTCCCTCTGAGTTTTACGTGGGAGAATTACGAACTTCGAGCTGGAGGCCCCTCCAAAACCGCCTCGCTCGTCGCACGGTGCTGCTCCTGCGGTTCTGCAGCTAAAATCTTCTTCTGCTGTGCAGTCTCTACACTCAGCTGCGACTGCTCCTGCAGTGGCTGCTGCTGGGAAGGTCGTTGGGGGAGCCTTGCTCCACTTTGCTGACGCCACAGAGACTGCTGTTGCTGTTGCCACTGTGGCTGCTGTTGCTGTTGCCACTGTTGCTGTGGCTGCTGTTGCTGTTGCCACTGTTGCTGTGGCTGTTGTTGCTGTTGCCACTGTTGCTGTGGCTGCAGTTGCTGTTGCCACTGTTGCTGTGGCTGTTGTTGCTGTTGCCACTGTTGCTGTGGCTGCTGTTGCTGCTGCCACTGTTGCTGTGGCTGTTGTTGCTGTTGCCACTGTGGCTGTTGTTGCTGTTGCCACTGTTGCTGTGGCTGTTGTCGCTGTTGCCATTGTTGCTGCTGCCACTGTTGCTGTGGCTGCTGCTGCTGCTGCCACTGTCGCTGTGGCTGCGGCTGCTGCTGCCACTGTTGCGGTTGTAGCTGCTGTTGCCACTGTTGTGGCTGTTGTTGCTGTGGCTGCTGCTGCCACTGTTGCTGTGGCTGCTGCTGCCACTGTTGCGGTTGTTGTTGCTGCGACTGTGGCTGCTGCTCATGCTGGCCTCGTTGTTCAGAATGTTCATCAAGCGTTGGTTGATGTTGCTCGGGAGGTTCTTGGGGGGTTTGCTGCTTGAAGGCCTTTTTGGAAGCATGCCTGTGCAGCTCCTGTTGATACTGCTGTTTCAGCAGCTGTGCAACAGCGCAAGCACGAAGATAGGAATCCTGCCTCTTGAAGCGTAGTTCTAGCCACCAGAAAGTTCAACGCTATAGCCTCGGCTTGCCGCATTGCGTGTGTTGCAAACCCTATACCCCAAGTCTCAAGCTAGAGGAGCGCTCACCCCCATCCTTTGGTTGTAAAAGGCCTCGTCTTCGGGGTCAAGCCATTCGGATGGCTCCTCCATCAGTTTCTTCCGCATATACTCCTCCCTTTCCCTTTGCCCTCTGCAGCCACCCCGAGCAAACAAGCTCTCAACTGTGCATCATGAATAGAAGGACGCATGAGGGGCAGCCTCTAGGGAATAGGAGACTTGCGTTTCGAGCAAAACAAACAAGAGCATCGCGAAAGGCACCGCCCAGCGAATTTGTGAGGGGAACAAAACTGCCAAAAAAAGAGGCGTTCATGTGTCATGCACAGGGTTTACCTGAGTTTCCTCCATTCAAAGTAAGGCACATGGAGAACTTTATATCCCATCCGCGTGAGTAGGCGGTGTTTCAATTTCGTGTAGGCAGTGTATTTACAGCTGCTGCTATAAAAGTGCGAGGGCCCATCCACTTCGATGGCAATGGGCCGTGCAGAGCCTGTAAGTCACAAAAATTGCCGATTTGTGCAGTCTCATTGCACACTTCCCTCTCTGCATACGTGGCTGTAAGGACTGGTTGCAACTAGAGATACGACTATGACGCTTAGTGCCTAAAGATCATACCAGTGGGAACGTTGCCATGTTCATCAGCAAGGGGCCCAGCGAGCTTCTTTGCGAGAATATGAATGAGGCGTTCCTTTTCTTCGCGCTGCTCTGGAGTCAATACCTCGTCCTCAGCGTCACCAATATAGTCTTGCTGCTGTTCTTGCTCCTGCCGCTGTTGTTGTTGCTCTTGCTCCTGCCGCTGTTGTTGTTGCTCTTGCTCCTGCGGCTGTTGTTGTTGCTGCGATTTCTGGAGCCTGGAATTCGCGGGTTGGGTTAAATCGTCTTCAGCTTCGCTGCTGAGTGCAGGTCCTGCAGTCGCTAGCTGCTGCTGTTGCTCAGCCTGCGCTGCTGCAGTAGTCAGAGGGCAGAGAGCAAATCTGTTGCCACTGCGAGAGGCAACTTGTGCCTGCATACCAAACTGAAGAAAGTGCAGTCCACGGCCTGCATTTCCGAGGCAGCCACTGTGCCTGCTGCGCAAGAAGAGTGCTGCCGCTGCTGCTGTTGATCCCCGATGCGTCTGTGTATCCAGCGCGCTGCGCACTGCCCCAGGCAGCCGAGCAGCAGCAGCAGCAGCAGCAGCAGCAGCAGCGCTGCCGCAGCCGGGACCAGCAGAAGCAGCAGAAGCAGCAGCTACACAGCCCGCTGCTGTGGCTGCAGAGCGCATTGGCGGCTGCGTCTTGTGGGAAAATCGGCAGCAGCCTCTGTGTACTGAGGAACAGTGGCGCAGAGGCGGCACAGCAAGTGGGAGCTTCGAAGCGGCAGCAGGTGGCGGAGGGGGAAGCGGCTGTATTTACAGCGTTTAGTGCATGCGAAAGCTACGAGTGTTGCTGGACTGCTCTCCGTTCTGCGGCTGAGGAGGCAGCCAACGCCGCCAGAAGGCGCCCACCCCCCTCTTCTGTCGACGGGCAGTGTGAGACCCCCTGCGAGTGGTGAAGTGCTGCAGCAGCGTTAGCGGTACGAGCATTCCGAAGCGTGAATACGAGAGGACTGGAAAGCTTTTTCGGAGCATGTCAAAAAGTTGCGGCTAAGAAGCCAGGGGCAGGAAGGCGCACGCGATGCCCAAGGGCAGCCGCAGCCGCATGCGCGCCGATTGCCTACAACAAGAGGCCCTCCTTCGCGCAGATGGTGGCGCATGACGGTCGCCTCCAAAGCCTTAAACCGGGATTCCTAGCTTTAAACCGGCGCCTTAGTTCTTTAATTGAAGATCTGCGTCTGGAAGCACCGATTTTTTAATGCAAAAACGCGCCTCTGGCCGCCTTGGAAGGGGCAGCTCCGCCTCGCGCGCAGATCCTCTCCACAGAGTCCCCAATTTAAGAGCGCAAAGCCTCTTTTTTCCTTGGCACTCTGCGCAGCAATGGCATTCTGGGGTAAGACACTCCGTTTTTGCGGCAGGAGCCACTGGTCTTTTCTCCCTGCAGAGGCTCTGTGTAGTTGCGCAGGAAGTGATACCTGTGTATATACATATATATGCCCGTAGCAGCTGCTGCCACTGGCGTTAGGAGTCTCCCTGCTGCGCTTTTTGTGCTCCCCACGTTGCTGCAGGTGGAGTGCTTATTCCAGGTGGCCCCCGCCTTCGCTACAAATCAGAGGACGGGGAGCTTCACCTTGCTTTAGCAGTGCCGCTGAGTCCTCTCTACCAGCAGCACAACAAGCAAGCGCTGCAGAGTAAGAAGCAACAGCCTAAGCAGCAGCATTCTCAAAAGGGGCCCTCATGGGTGCTGATGATGCAAACGCGCAAAGGGGCGAGGGCTCCCATCGCCAAGATTGGAGAATTCAGGCAGCAGCTGAAGATTCTCGTCACGGTAGGCTTGCGCGAGTTGCTGCCCGAATGTGTTTTTCCGCCAAATACGCTATTTTTTGTTTGGTCTTGGTGATTTCTGCCGCTGTCGCTGCTTCTGGTCACCCCTTGCTTCCAGGGGTGCACTGCTGCTCATGCCGAGGAGCAGGGGGGGCGAGCTTGCAAGCCTGTACGTGTGCCCGTTTGCCTCATCGCCAGTGTGGTATGGTCCTAGTGTTTCACGCAGCTCTGAATGCATGGTATTTTTTGCCATTCAGTGCTCGCTTTCGCTCGTTCCGTCCGGGTGTCAGAGAGCTTGATGTGGATGCTTCTGCTTGCTCTCCTGCGGTTGAGTTGGGCACTTCCCCCGTATTCTGTGAAGCTCTGTACAGGTGTCTCTGTGTGGCTATGTGTGTGCCACATGCCCTCATTAAACACGTTGAGGTAGCCTAACCCCTCGACATCAACAGTCCCTCCGTCCTCGAATGCGCTGCCCTTTCAGGAAGACGTGGAATTCTGGGTGGAGACGCCAGGCAGTCCGGGGGGCTGGAGTCTTCAACTTGCCGGAACGCTTGTGCCTCACAGGAGGGGCGGCTGCAGTTGCTGCCACGATGAGACAGCCAACTGCACCAGCAGGGAGGAGCATTTGCACGCGAAAAAGAGAAGGATAGAAACAGATCCAGACGAAGCCCCCGCCCTTGTCGACCAAGAGGCGTACAGAAAACACAAGCAACAAAAGCAACAGCAGCAGCAGGAGGCTCCCTTGTTGCAGCTTTCCCCAGAGACCGCAAAGACGCCTTCCCTTGCAGACCAACTGCTAGGCTACAAAGCCTCAGGGCCACAGCAGAAGCCCCCCCCTCTTTCCCAGCAGCGGCAGCAGGAAGAGAGTGAGGTCGTGCGCGCTGGTGACATTTACCGGCTGCCCAGCGGGGTGGAGTATACGGTAGTGCGCGCAAGTGGGAGTACAAAGGGACTTCGGTGCTCTAAGGGCTGTAACATTACAATTCAGTATAGGGGCTATTTGCTCAAGACAAAGAGGGGCTTTGACAAGGGCAAGCTCACCTTTTGCGCGGGAACCGGTGAAGTCATTAAGGGCCTCGAGTTGGGCCTTATGGGGTGCAGAGAGGGGGAAACACGAAAGATCACTATACCGAGTACCCTTGCCTATGGCAAACGGGGGGCACCTCCCTCCATCCCACCCAATGCGGATCTCGTCTTCGAGTGCACTTGCACGCGGATCAAACAGTAGGGTCCTAGACCTCACATTCAAAGAGGAAGGCCTACGGGAGGCCCTCTGAGTGCCTCCTGTCTTCACCTGAATGACGCGCCAGAGCTCTGTGGCGGCTCAGAGCGCCCCTTGAGGTTTGGTCCCGGCAGAAATTGCTTTGTGGAACTTGCGGGGTAGGGAGTGGGGGTTAGGGGGTGTAATGGTGAGGCACACTTTCAGGTGACACGCCGCAGAGAACCTCAAATGGAGGGAGAACGCGCGTATGAATTGGAAGCCAAAGTTTTGCCAAGGCTTTAGGGCTAGAGGTGTGGCGGCCGATTGAGATCGAAGGGTTGGGGTCCAGGGGTTTAGATAGTGGAAAACACATTGCAACAAGTGTGTTCAGAGATAACGTAGCATATTTCAATAAGAAAGCGTAGAGTTAGGCGCTAGAGTCCAAGGCTCGGGAATTGGTTGTCGAAGGTCACCTCCGCTGTCGTCGGGTGCAGGGGCTTCGATAAGGCGCTCAGCACGGAGGATGAAGGGCAAAGCTGAGCAGTTTCCAGTTCACTTTAACATAAGGAAAGCGAATCCTGCATTCTTACAGGGTTTGTCTCGAATGTTTGGGGTTTTGACGTGGAAGCCTGCAGCCGGGGTCAGCCTGGGAGAACTTCGTGCGGGCTTGCACATGTGTAATGCACGGTTGTTGGTCTACTTTTTGGAATTTAGGAGCTATGTCCAAGGGTTTAAGTGGGTATCTACTTGGAATGGAGGCTGCCATTATGGGATTTAAGTGCAAGCGACTGCTCCCAGGCGCCTTTAGCATAGCCGAGTTGGCCCTAAGCTAGAACTCCTCCGTAACTCTGCTCATTATTCCTTCGCTCCGCCTCTCCTGGTCACCGGTTATTGGGTGAGGGCAATGAATTAGGCGGGCGGTGTAGCCGTGCATGTGCGGGCTTGCTCCTTGTCAATGGCGCTGCCGCACCGTCTTGAGAGCCTCAGGGGAGCGTCCCATCAGGATTCTCTGCATTCGTCATGCACTCCCCCGGCAACGTCTGAGGCGTTATCTCCTGCGCAGGAGGCACCGCCACAAGCCACAGCAAATTCCACCGGGTTGATGGTACCCAGAGACTCCTCTGCTGCGCGAACTGCAGCAGCGGCAGCGTTTCTGTCGCTGCCTCTCCCAAAGGCCTGGGTACGTGAGCCGTCCCGCTTGCGTGCAGCTGGTCGCGTATCCTTAGGGCTGTCCATCTGGAGCTTTGGTGTCTCCTTCATCCTGTTTGTGCTGGCCATTGTTGCCGCTGAAAGCCTCGTCGACTACGTTGCCGCCTTCCTTGAGGTCGTCTGTGCCGCAGTCATTGCCTACTTTGGAGCTTCTGCAGCTTTCAAGAGAGGTCTTATGCTGCAGCTGCTGCTGCTGCTATACCGTAGACGTACTGGTTGTTGCTGCTGGCTATTGCGCGTTTACACACCTTCACAGCGGTCGCCCCTCTGTTGCACACGTTTGGCATTCTGTTGGTGCGCTGCACATGAAAGTTGCCGCCTTTCTTTTTGATTCGTTTCCTGTTGCTCTTTTTGCTGGTGTTCGTGTTCTTGCTGCAGACTGGCGTTCGGCTGGAGTGTATGTGGCATTCGCGTTGCTGATGGCTGCAGAGCAGCTGTTGTGGGTCGTGTTTGCGGTGTATCATGTGAAAGCCACCAAGGCACAGCTTACTGCAGTAGACCGTCTCTCCTCAGCAGCAACAGAAGAGGAGTACCTGCTACTGCAGGAGGAGCTTACGGTTGCTGCTGCGCAACTCGGTTTATCCATTTTTTCTCTTGCTTCTTACTGCACTTCTGCTGCTGCGGCTTACGGCCTCCGCTACCAAGCATTGGTTCTTGGGCCGGGAAGCCATGCTGCCGCTGCCAAGAGCTTTGCTGACGTTGCTGCCGATGCGCTCGCTGCTGCCGATGCAGAGGATGCTGCAGCAGTGCGAGAAGGCCGCCGGCCGACCCAAAGGATCTCTGTGCAGCACCAGCTGTTGCAGCACCAGCTCAATTTGCTGCAGCAGGAGCAACTAGAGCAGCAACAGCTTCTGCTGCTACGGCAGGAGGAACTTATGCTACAGCGCATCCCCAGAGTGCGGTCCACCTCAACAGCAGGTGCACCAAGAGGGTCTAGAGCAACTTTGCAGCAGCACGAGGAAGCAGCGGTAGCAGCTGCTGCCGCTGTTTCCCTTGCCAGGATGTCGCTTGCCATCACCGAGCAAGATCCAGAGGCTGCAGTGGCGGCTGCAGCTGCGACTGCAGTCGCAGCCGCACGCAAGTCCCTTGCCGATGCATTTCAAAAAAACGAAGGTGCAATTGCAGCGGCAACAGCTGCTGCACTACAGGTCCACCGGGCAACTGCCCTCGGTGTACCTACAGCTCCACGCCGCAGCGCCGGCCCGCGTCGTTCAACTGCTGCTGATGCTGCTGCTGCTTCAACTGGTGCCGCTGCGTCTCATTCTACGGGTGATGGTGGACCGCAGCGACACCAGCAAATCCGTAGGATGCACACAGATGGGGCAGCAACTGGGGTACATGTAGAGGCTGGGGAGGCACCCGACGCATGGTAGAGCACTACCGCGCAACGCGCCAGCCTTTCCCAACTGCTGCTGCTGTAGCAACAACATCTTGGCTCCAATAATGCACGTGTAGCCACTTCCACAGTATGCTGTGTTGCTAAAAATGCTACTGGTGCAACTGCTTTTGCAAATGCGTACTCTGTAGACGTCTGCAAAAATAGGCCTCAAGAGCCCTTAGAAACAAGTCTTTTGGTTTCTTTCTGCCTTCGGCCTAAGTAGTATAGTGTTAGTCCTTGTCCGAAGCCCATAGCCACAGGCAGGAGACGCCAGGAAGGCTGGCGTGGGAACTGGCAGGCCCCCCTAGAACGCGCTTAAGCTTGAACTGTGAAATTCTGCGGTTCAAGCAACTGCGGTCTAAACCCTAGATGCATAGAGGCAAGTAGCTTGCACGCGTGATGCGATTCACGAGGCCTAAGCTCCAAACGGCTGTGTCGACCCCGCAGTCTCAGGCTTCCCTCTACCTACAGGCCCACCCGAAAATGTAAAAAGCCTCCCTCCCTGGTGCCTCTCCTACTCCTGGAGAGCTCTACGGAGGGGGAGCACGCCTTTATACAGATGTGAAGAAGATTGACGGTTTGCCCGGCTTAGCAAGGGTACGGCAGTTAGTAGAATCCAAGGGGCTTGGGTCGTCGCTGCTCCGGAATTCTAGTGCTGGACACAAAACACAGGGACATGGCAGTATCCGAAAGGACCGCTCAGATGTCGGAACGCAATAACAAGAAATACAGGCACAAAGCATGACAGGTACACCATAAAGTGAGCTCGGCGCATAACGGGCAAAAGCACAAGGCTACAGCGGAACACAGCCCACACGCTGCCCTCTGCACATCTAAGATCGTAGGAGTTACACTGAGCTCTCCGCTTTACTTCAAGCCTGCTTTAAGCCCACGTTCTGACTGTATACGAGGAAGGACTGTGGCAACTGACAAGTGAGCTCTAGAGAAACCTCAAGGAAGCGGCGATGCGCTTCTAAAAGCGCTTTCTCGCTGAACGGTAAACGTAACTCTAGAGCTGATCGCCCGCAGGCCTTGAGCTCATCCTGAAAAAAGCATACATCCCCAAAACAAGCCGCAAAATGGAAGCCTGGTGCCAGCTCCCTAGGCGTGAAGCACCCCGTGCGTGCCCTGCTCGGAGTTGCTGCAAAGTCGTTGGCATGGTGCCGCGGCAGTTGCCTTCGGGGGATCCTTGGATTCAGGGATGTAATATGTTCACAAACCCGCATTTGATAGGAGGCAAACGCGAGGGCCTCTTTCTTCTGGTTCTTGTCCAAGTCCTCCAGCTCTGGTGCGTCCTTCACAATCTGCATGAAGTCGCTGGGAGCCTCCACCTGCCCTTGAAGCCCTTGGACTAAAGGCACTCGCTGCAACACGGACAGCACGCGCTGCTGCAGGGGGCCGTACTCCCTATCGAAACAGGCACAGCAGATGCGGCAAACGAGAGAGTGGGAAACGGCAAGGGGACTGCAGTGCAGCCACAGGCGATGTGAACACAGTCCCCAAATCAGCGCGCCAGTTGATCCACCATGCTCATCAAGCAGACGGCAGCAGGCCTACCACCATTCCCCCGAAAAAGCGCATGCGCCGGCCAGTCTACGCAAACGACTGCGATAGGCCAGAGGCTTTGAGTGCGCCCTCTTACTGTGCAATATATGCTACGCCGTGAGTCAGTTGTTGCTGCGGTTGCTGTTGCTGTTGCTGCTGTTGCTTGCCCTTCTTCTTCCCGCCCGCTGCTGCTTGTAGCGCCTTCTCCTTGGCCCGCCGGAATTCCTCGACGCACGATAGCAGCAGAGTAAACTTCCTAAATCACAAAGCCGAAAGTCTAGCATCCCGAAGTCTGACGAGGCACTCAGCCAGCCTGCGAGTCTTCCACGCTCCTCATCAAGTCAAGGGCCCCCTATGCCGCGTGGCTCACGGCGTCCGCCATGCGCATACGCTGAGCTGTATGGCGTACCTGTGGAGGGCGGAGTCGTAGGTGAGTTGAGGCCACGCGGCGTCGACGACGAGGTTCTCCTTCTTCAGGAGGCAACTCCACAAATACTCGCAAATGTGGGGAGCGATCGGGCAGAGCGTTATGGCTTGCGCCTCTGCAAAACACGTGCGTCCCCAAAGCCACAGCAAAAACAGCTGTGTCTAACAGGCGTGACAGATACGCGGTGGACTCGGTGGCAGCCTCAGACGCACAGACTCTGGAAACGCTCTCTGCACCATTCGTGCCATTAGACGCCTTTCAACCCCAGCCCCTTACCGATCCACATCCTGAGCATATCGCGATGCATTTTTTCATCGCCAACAAGCTGCTTGTACTGGTCGCGCTTAATTGTCAGCTCGTAGAACGCAGCCTTGAGGGCCTCGCGATTCTGCATTGCTTCATAGGCCGCGGCTGCCGATTGCACACACAGGCCGATTTCATTTTGAAACAGCTCATCCGCGGCAGACAGGGGGCCTACAACGGCAGCACACACGGAACACATGTTAGGCCCACAAGCTAAGATTCCCGAGCCACAGACTCCACACACAACACTTCAAAGGGCGCCTCCACTCCCATACTCTCTGAGGGGGGATGCAACGAATAGACGCGAAGTCAAGGAATAACGAGGGGTCAAGAGGGATAACAAGAGGATGATTAGGAAGTAGTTGTTATTTCGTCAAAAAGCGATAAAAATGGGCTTGTGAATCCTCATCGTGGGTATAGGCCGCTTTACCGTCCCGCAGCTCTATCTTTCCGGCAACAAAGTCTGCAACGAGGCCCTCGAGGAGATAAAGCCGGGTGATGGCCGCATTGGCTGTCTCCCGCTGGAAATTGGCGTCATCCAAGGAGTCTCCTAAGGGCATCCCACAACCCCACAACTCGAAAGGCTGCTGCGGCCATGCATGCATGCATGCGGATACATTGAAACAAAAGGAGAGAAGAAGCCCAAAACACCCGGAGGACACCCCCGAGAGAGAGAGTGCAAGACTCGGCAGAACTCCGCAGGAACGCGGCAAGAAAAACGGCGGCAAGCACGAGGAATCGCAATCACACAAAGGGGCTGAGGAAGACTTCGCCACGGGTCGAACTCTACCTGCATCAGCAAAAGCGATTCTAGTCGCGTCTGCAGAAAATTTCTCAATAGATTCCTCAATTGTTAAGAAGTTTCCGGTACTTTTGCTCATCTTTTCCGAGTCTACCAGCACCATGCCGTTGCAGGCAAACGCCCTGAGCAAACAGCAGTTCCGGGAAGCAGGTTTGAAGCTGCTGGGGAGCAGCGATGGTATGCTCAAATGCACATGTGCGTGTGTGTGTCACCTGAGTCGTGCGTGTAGAGCCGAACCGAAAGGCCAAAGGGCCCGAAAACCCCACCCAATAGCCATGGAAAAGGCAGCAAGCGAGACACACACACATATGAAGGTAGGAGGCCGGAAGAAACGCATATGTGGAGACAAGAAGTACGACCACTGCCGCCGGCACCCGCAGCACACAGCACCAAAGGTGCAAATCGCCCGTCGGCGCGCGCAGGACTGACCTCGGCCAGAGCTCTTGCTGTTTGGGCCACACGGCTGTATGGCAGTACAGACAAAAAGTAAGATGGTTGAAAATTAGATCCTTGCCGCTAACACGCAAGTCCAAGGGATACCAGTACGCGAACTCCGAGCGCAGTAGCTGCACAGGCCAAAATGCAAAGCCGCGAAATTCACAGTAACACGGACAAGAAGCGGCCAGACGGTGTCCCCGATAAGCAAAGGAGCGAGCCCCTAGAAAGTACCCGACGCTTGAATGTGCATGACTCCTTTCAAGAGAAGCTTGCATTTGCACGGATCGAAGAGAAAGAAGAGCAGCAAGCGCGCAACAGATGTGCACAACAAACGACGGGCAGCGCTACAGAGCACCTCTACAGCTCGCCATGCAACCCTAAGCAGCACCCTAGACAACAAAAATAGCACTTCCGTGACCACAGCAACAGCCAGACATCCTGCCGCGGACGTTGAGGTTATCGACCGAGACAGCCGAGCCTTCTGGAGGCGTGTCGCTGAGGAGGAAAATGTAGTCGAAGAAGGCTTCTGTAAGGTCTTCTGGTTTCAGGCCTAGAGGCCCAACGCTTTGCCCGTACATGTCTCCGCCCTAAGGATAGACAATGCACCGATTCAGTCAGTTTACACCAGCTAATAGAGGGCGTCATAGATGGTGGGGGCTAAGGATTTCAGGCTGGTACCTGGATAAGGTACGCAACCGTGTAGTACGCCATATAAATGGTAGAGTCGCTGAGACTTTCGATAAGGACAGGGTTATCCGTGTTGACGGTCCATGGAAGAAACGTGCCAAGTCCATAGCTCCTGCTGCAGGCCCATTCTTTGAGCCACGAAAGGACAAACGCGAATTGATGTTGCGCCTGGGGGCTAAACGCGCTGAAGTCCTCCCCAGAGATGTAGTCTTCCACCTGTTGTCTCCATTCTGCCTCCCCGTAACTTATGAACCACTGCGGTAGGAGCCCTACGACGCACTCGTCGCCGCTCCTAGCCACGACCTTTTTCTCTGGCTCATAATACACGCACGCAGACCCCTCTTGGAGCAGCTGCTCCCGCACCAAGGCCTTAGCCTCCTGCACCTTTCGGCCAGCGAAAGGCCCAACCGTCATCACACCCTCATAGAACCCCCTGCGGTAAGCCTCCTCCTTAGCCTGCTGCAGTCGCTGCGTGTCCTTAGGCCCAGACACCCCGAGTTGCGCGCACAGCGTAGGCGCCGCCTGCCGACCAAGTCTGCAGCATCATCCCCCCAAACGAACACGCACAACACGCCACCTTCTCCACAAAAAAAAACCAGAGGAAGCACATAGTGCAGATGAAGGCTTCCACCAGCGGCACGCACACCAAGAACGGATAAAATAAGAAGGCATGTCGATGCAAGCGGCACCCCCCAACCCCCCCCAGACCCTCAGCGGGATGGCAAAGAGGCATGCAAACCACAGAAAGCACGCTTCCAGACACAGGATCACAGAAGATCAGGCTTTACTGCAGAAGGACGGACGAATAAAGCCTCCGAAAGATGCACAGAGAGCCAAATACACTAAGCAGAAAGGGGCTGTGGCAAGCTTCGCCGCGTTTTAGAATAGCGGTTGCTGCGAACTCCGCAACACCTGGTCCCCTAAATCCCAAACCCCAGCTAGAGAGTAATACCTCCAAATAATGTTGCGGCGTCCATTGACGTCGTTCTCTGGCTAGCCACTAACGCTTTAGCTCCCTCCTAGGCCCCCCACTGGGCTCTCTGGTTCCCCCGTGTTCTCCCCCTACACTGTGACACCCCTTCCTGCGTTTGGTTGCCCCTCTCTGCCAGGAAGCAGAAATGTTCTCAACTTACCCAGGCACCTCAATGATCTCAACAGGCTGGAAAGGCAGCACCCATTCCTCCTTGATCCCATACAACTTGTTGAAGTATTCGATCTTGCTTCGGATGTACTCCAGAGTCGTGAAATCATCCGGAGAATCCGTAGGCACGCTCGTGACGACGCCGGTACCTGACAAATTAGCAACATACACACAGTGAAACTTTCAGGCCCCAAGCCGCAGATGAAGGCAGACATCATGGACACCCAAGGGCAGGAGAGGCGCTTGACTAGTAGTCCGCCATCACACAAGACAATTAGAGGGGCCTCTAAAGCTCTACAATCACTGCCTCCCTCCCTCGTTCTGTGTGCATGTATACATGTGTACTAATGTTCGGGTATGTAGATACACTCCCGTGTAGTACAAGAGCCAAGCAGACGAAAGAAATGCCACTGCCGTGTTCGCTCCCTGAGCTACTTGCTGTGGAGGGCTGTCCGACCTTTTTCAAGAGAAATGGTTTGCATAGGCAACGCGAAGACCGTGTCGTAAGAAGCCAGAGGGGCAGCAAGAGGCAGGCCCAACAGAGCCTGTCCAGACACCCGGTGTAGGCAGTGTGGTGTTGGCAGCTCATCTGCTCCGCCGGAAGCCTCCAGTGGCATCAAACCCTAAACACACATAATTTCGTTCCGCAAAACGTAGGGCTGAAGCTACAAGCCTCTGTGCGCCTTAAGGGCACGCCGAACAGTGATATGACTGAGGGGAAGGGGGGGGAATCGCATCAGGGAAGCTTGAAAGGTAGTTCTCGAGAAGATCTACGCTGTAGGACCTGGTATGCCATGTTGAGTGCGGATCTGTGGGAGCAGATGAAAGCCACATTGCAAGCCGCAAGGGCCTCCTCGCGCGTCATTATGTGCTCGAGAGTATCCGCAGCCTTTGAGGCCGCCGCTGCTGCTGCGAGCTTCTCCTGTAGCGTTGGCTGCTGTCGCTGCTCCTGCTGCTGCTCCGCCGTGGCAGACACTCTAGACTTTTCAAACGCCAAGTATACGCCATACCTGCCCATACAAGCAAACCCCGAGACGTCCGCTAGGGAAAATGTTGATTTTGACGGCTTGGGGGTGAGAGGAGGGGCACTGATGGCGCACATTGCACGCGCAGGCTGCGCGGCCAGCGGCAACAGCAGCCACAGCATTTCCAAGCAAGCACAGGAGCACGCTCTGCAGTACCAGCAACAGCACAACTTACTCTCCTTCGGGAAGAACATAGCAGTTCGTCTGTCCATACATGGTTTCGGGCCTCAACGTCGCTGCCACAAGGAAGATTTGCCTGCTCTGCCCCTCATTGGTGCTACTGTGCTTCTCCCAGGCCGCTTTGAACTCAGCATGGGGGGCATGTGAAGCATCCATTTGCTCAGTCTTAATGCGCATCTTTATCAACGTATACTCCTGAGGACCGATGCCCTCTCCACTGAGCCTATCGTGGTCTGCACAGGCCTGTAGCTCGCGACGGCTAATCACTGTTGGCCTGGTTCCGAATGAAATTTTCCCCGCCGCCTGTAGAATTTTAAAAGTTGAGAAGGAAATGCCACAAGGGCAGGGAAAAAAGATGAACATTGTGACATACAGGGTAAGACGTAGCCAGCCACACGGAGAAGGCAGAAGAGGGCAGAGACAGATTCTCAGAAACATGATCAGCTGTAAGATGGAAGAACAAAAACAAACGAAGAGAGGTACATAATGGCGGGGAGGCGAGGGGGCACGCAGAGGGAAGCACTCTCTTCACGAAAGCCCCCGAAAACGCCAGCGACATGCGGCGCTATACACTCTGGGAAAAGGGCTGAACAGGGAGTGGATCAACAGAATGTTAGCGTCAGAGAATGGATCCTCGTCCTTCGTGAAGAGTCTGGCGTGGATGCGCGACTGACCATGAGTTTCATGAACTGCCAGCGAACAAAGGCCGAGTAGAAAGGATTTCTGTCTGTCGTGATGAAGGAACGACGCCAATCTACTGCGACACCCAGGCGTATCAAGTTTTTCTTGCACCTGCGCAAGACATCTCTTAAATAAACCCCATAGTCCATACATACATGGGCCCCTACAGATACTATGGTGAACGCACCTCATGACCTACTCCTAGGTTGGCAACAATCAACACTCGTCGGCGCTGAGCCACACGCGCTAGTCTTTGAATTCTACACTCAGCAGTTACCTTGGGGGAAAATAGTCGAGCCAGTAATTGGCATCTGCGAAGCGTGCAATTTCATCCTGAGGAACCCCCAAGGCAGCCATAATCTCCCACTGGCTCTTCTGCGGGCAAGGAAATGCACACCTCACAAGGAAAATCTATAAATCCCAAGCCAGAAAAACATTTTGCTCGCTGATGCTGCATAAGAACAGGACGCTCTAGAACTTCTGTACGACGAAGAGAGTGGTTAATCTTCGAGGTGTAGAGGCTTGTCGAAGGCCTCACCAAACCCCCCGTTTTGGCCACCAATTTGGACTTGGCACTGCTGAACTTCGTGGGATCAGACGATCCACCTTCCTCCTAGGCAGTACGCATAGCTCCATACACCCGAAAGCGTGTGGCGTGTGTAGCAAATAGCTTTACCTGCTGCTAAAGTTGGCTCTCGTGGCGTGCAAGTCAGCGCCAATAACTGCACTAGCGAGTCCTGCAAAGAAGTAAGCCTTGCAAACGTGGAGCTACCGAACCTGCTGGTCTTCCTTTTTGTCTTCCTGCAGCTCATGCTCCTTCTTCTTTGCTTCAATTTCCCTCTTCAGCCGGTCGGCGCATGCCAAGATGGGCATCCCCGTGCAGTGGAGCGCGAAAGGCCACAGAACGTTCTTTCCTCTCAGGCGGTAGTATCGAGCCAGAAACTCCGCCTTGCAGAGGGTAAAACCATGCCCGAGATGCAGCAGGCCATTCATATACGGGTAAGGAAACGAGCAAAAGAACTTGTTCTTCACGGAGGAGCCATTGCAAGGCTCAGAATCCACAAAGCGAGGACGCCTCAGTGAGCACACGTCAACCTCGTACGGGCGCGTTTTGTCCCACAGCCGCTGAACATCCTCCTCTATCCGCATTAGCTTGTCACGCCGCACAAAGGAACCCCCACTCGCGGGGAGGGCCCCCGACGGGGGGGCCCCCGATTTCGCTTCGGAGGTACCAGTATGAGGCATTGTCGACACAAAGCGAAAGGCAACGGATATTCACAAGGAAAGGAAGACGAAGGCAAGCAGGCATGCGGGACGCGGAAGGAGGCTCGATACAGACACGAACAGAGAGGCAGAACTTACTCCAGAGGGAGGGAGCCACAGCCAGCAGCTGCTGCTCTGTGAGGTGCGAACCTTTTAAAATTTTAACGCCAAGCTCATTTATTCATCAGAAGTTACTTACGAGCAAAACAAATCTGGCTTTCTCACAAAGACCAAGGGAAGATGCATGCAGAGATGAAGTGAATGAGGCTCCGAGCATGTGGGGTCCTGCAAAGTACTCTTTTTGACCTATCTTTCAGCTCTAATATGTTCTCGCAAATCAACATATGGACATTTATCTGGTTCAATCGAATATAAACCGATGGAAGCGCCTGGTTCTTGATCGGCACTCAGCCAATCGGCAGAATGGACCCAGCGTTTCGCAACGTGAGGACTTCATTTTTTAAAAAAAACCGAAATACACGAGCCATGAATGGACGATAAAAAGGCAAGAACTGTTTGTTGCAATGAGCTGTCCCAATTTTACCGCCATTTTCTGCTGGCGAGAATCGTGTCTCTTCTAAATTCCCGAGGAGCGTGCGTAAGCTTTAAGTGATTCAGCAATAGGCTGAACAGCTTAGGGGAACAGCATATCTCATGATATTGAGGGCTTATATTATCTAAGGAAGCACATAATGTGAAATAGGGGATTTCTCACTAGTTAAGAAGAGCTGGTGTCCGAGAAATTTGGTTGAATTACGCAATGCTGTGAGCCGTATACATTATTGGCTTTTCTGCAAACCCAATACCTGGGTGCCGTGTGACAAATCGCTTTGAGGATCGGAGCTAAATGGGCGGTTACAGAATTACGGATTGAAACGTAGCCCTAGAGCTTCCATAGGGAAATACGGGGCTGCGAGACAGCACTTGCCCATTAGAACATTAACCAAAATTCACTGTACTACGCGAGTGAGGTGCAAGGCACTTTTCCCTCTAAGCGCATCTAATATAGATTCCCGTTTCTCTCCTTCAGGGAATCCTCCAACTTCGGAGTGGAGTGCAGCTACCCCTTGCCATTAATAGGCGCAGCAGTAGCAAAATAAGTATGTGCAGAACGAATCACTTTCTACACAACGCCGCTGCTGTGAGCTGCTCTTCTTTGTTATTCTTTTTGAAAATACCCTCCTGACGCGTTTCTTTATGCAGTATATGGAAATTTCGTTGCTTGCCGGCATTCTCTGATTCCCGAAGCACCGCCATGTGCGTGAAGCATATTTGCACACATTTGGAAATCTTGCATATCCCATGCGTTATTTTGGATCCAGAAAATAGCAGAATGCTTTTGTTCTGTGTGCGTATTACTACTGCACTAAAATTCTTCATCTTTCACAAGAGATTATTCAGTATGCAAATTGTTCACCTAAATGCTCCTCGCAGTAAAATAGTATGATAGAGGTCATCAATCCTGGGACTATGAAATGCTTATTTTGGGATGTCCTTGAAAAGTCTTGTTGACCATTGTGCGAAATCTGTTTAGTATGACGGTCGTACAGCACTTCAACGGTTCACATCTTTCACTAGATTGCTTGCTTCCACTCTTCCCTTTTATTTCTTGTCAAGCAACGGGGGATGTCCTATTGGGTACTAGGCTGAGATAACACACATATCTGCAGGTCAAGACTTCATTCCTGTAAAGTCTACGGGGATATGTTTCATAATTTTTTTAGTCACAGCTAATAAGCTCACACCGCATTTCGCGCGAGTATACAAACATTCACAGGCACAGCATCAGTGAGGGCTGGGGGAGCTGCCGAATAGGAGTGAATCGATCAAGGGAAAGAAGTTTGCTGTTGGCTTTACCCAATGCCTTCCTCTAAGGGTCATGAGCACATCAGCAGGAAAGAGGGAAACCTCGGGTATTTCAACAGTCGGAAGTAGAGGCTTCAAGACCATCCAAACGACAATGAAGAAATCGTTTGTCCTCCCATAAACTTGGATCAATGTTAGCATGCGCCCCTGTAAAGCGTAAAACGTAGAGTTCTAGTGGCTCTTACACCCACTAAGGTACCCTGCTGCTTCACAAATGGGTGCCTGTAAAGTCTTTTTTAACGCAGCTCCAAGCATCTAGACTCTGAAACATTGTTGGAAGCAATGTATCTATACACACGAACTCGTACTGTATCCCACACCGCAAATTTCAGGCTTCAACATACAAGTAGAACCTTTGTGGAGCAGCAGAGGGAGGAAAGGTAATTGGGTATGCCAGCACCAGGATACTCATCCAGAGACCGAGGTCGTGTTCAAGATTTAAATGTCTTCTGGTATGTGTCTACATATGAGTGGAGGATTGCTTCATCCGCTTGTCACTTCGTCACTCATCTAGCCAGTTTTGCGTTAGCAGGCGTGATTCTGTATACTGCGGCATGGTATATACCATCTGTTCAGGGTGATGACGAATCGGAGCTGCAGTGTCCCACCGCTCACCCAGAACACTCTCCCTTGCAAGATCCGAGAAGAAAAATAGTGACACATTATCCAAGCTTCGAGATACCTACTTTTCCTGCACACGCCTGCGGAATCGACGAAGAGTTTTTTCTTCCCAGCATGTAGGGGGCAGTATGGAGCACAGGGAATAGTAGCAGGTAACTTGCAATTAAAACAACAAAATTACCGAGCAAATGCAGGAGATCTGACACGAGGGGCTCAAATTACAATGCGTTACTTTTGTTATAGAGGTGCTTCTTGCCGAACGCCCGCCGTGTGACTTTTTGTGCTTGAGTTCGCCATGATCTACGAGTCCAGGTAAACGCCTCCCCCTCACTGGAGTAGTGGCTCACGCTTTACCATTACCACAGCTACCTGGTGCCTTGCTTCCTCACTTCCAATATTCTCCCGCTTGTGCTGGTATTGCATTAAGTGTGGCTTTTCTTCCAATCCTGCCATCATGCAGCAGTTTTGTCTGTAAATATCTCAAATCTGCCTTCTCGCTTGCTGTGCTGGCCTCATCGCTTGCACGAGCTCCACCGGCTTGTCTAGAACAAATCCACTCCGCAATGTCAGAACCCATCAGCAACAGCACAGTATCACCACTGGATCTGCAAGCTTTTCCGATGTTCTTACCGCGCCTGCGACGGAAGATGCAACCACAGGTGAACTCTCTATCTTATAGCAGCCATTAGCTGTGTTTCAGGAATAGTGCGAAAATATACCCTCATACACGACCTCCTACTCCATTTGCTTTAGCTTATTTAACTGATTTGTTTCTGCTGCCTTTTGTTTTCACATAGTGGCAACACTCCTGATTCACCTCCTGGGCTTATTTAGCGATCGTCTACTTTTCCGTGCCGCTAACGGCTCACCTGCCTTGTAGTGCGGCGTGCCCGCCAGAGCCTCGAATATGCCCCTACTGCGTGGGGTGTAATTTGCCAAGGAAATTTTTTTTTGCTGCGTCTTTATCTTCAGCGTGTTCGGCTGCTATCAACAGCCTTCGGACCACGAACCTTACGCCAACAACCCCGTTGGCTACGCTTGAGAGTGATACCCAAGCAGAAGAGGCTAAAAGTACTGCAATAGCACTTGCAGGGGAGAAAGACAAGTGTGAAAAGGGGGCAGAAGCGGTGGCGTCGAATGACGTAAGCAGATGGGAGAAATACGGGTAAAAGAATCGTAAAATAGCACCCTCAAATCGCGTCAAAGCAAATGCAACAGCCGTTTTGATGTGTCCGCAGCACCGTGGTCTTAGCATCTCCTTCGACTCAAAAACAACTTGCAACTGTCCAGCCATGCTTTAGGCTTCCTACACAACGGGGCCTCAGCATCTCCAGTCGTAAGTCCTCATCCTTGCCCCTGTACTTTCACGTATTCCTGCTTGCTGGTATCGATGCATTTTCAAGCTAATTGTTTCGTTGTGACTGCACAGAAGCAACTTCGATGCAGAAAATGGCAATTTTACCGTTTGGACGGCTCCATTTGACAATGTGAATGCCAGCAATGTCGCATTCGTGATGTGGAACGGTAACGCGAAAGTAAGCTGTGTCTGGTCTACAGACTGTTCAGAAGCGCATAACGTTCTGTAGTGCGCGTTTGAGGCGGAGATTCAGGACGGGGCTCAGCCTTTCTTGTAAGCTTTGGGCAAAGAGTCCTAGCTTCTACAATTGGCGGTCGCCCATCCCAGGTGTCTAGCAGAGAAACAGCCTCTTAAGGACTTTTGAATCGAGGAAAACACGAGAAAGAGTTTGTTTCTGTTTTGTATGGCTGCTCAGGAGTGAACTCTACAACGCTCTTTTGCAGCGCCAAGCTGGCTCGGCGTCTGCAGTGGCCCCTGGCATCACTGCTGTGCTTCTCTTTTTCTTACTGACTATGTTTAATTGAAAGTAATATGCATCCACGCTGCTTAATGTAAAATGCAGTCTCGCAACGGAGACCAGCGGACTATAGCACCTACCCGAAAGGCTTCGACCCAGCGCCTTGTATTATCCCTTTGTTTTGGGTATTGAGTCCAATAGCGACTCGAATAATTCATATACCCTCCCTTGTAGTCTTTTTATCTTGGGTGTACTAATGGCAGGTAGAATCCCAGCTGGCAGATTTATTGTTTGTCCACAACGCGCACTATTCACGGATATTGAGGGACAATATCCAGCTATACAAGACTTCTAGGGTTTTTCTATACTCGTTCCATAAGGGGTGCAGACTGACAGGAAGGAGAGTTCCTGACTGAAGGCCAAAACAGCATCGACAGGTGTGGAGCCAGCGCTGCCACAAGATTTTAGGTAAGAGCCGGCGCCAGTTAGCTACTAAAGGTCACAAACAGCGATATATAACACGGTGCGAGTGATCAGTTATGGCAACACTGCGTGCTCACTTTGTGCGAATGCCCAGCATTTGCCAGATCTAGGTGCTGCCAACTGATAGAGCACTACAGCTGCCACGAGGCAGGACGACAGGCGGCGGAAACACATATTTCATCAGCGAACAGGAGAATACAAATAGGAGCCACAAGATTTGGACACCAACAGGCAGCTAGCTACAACTTTTGTCGTTATGGGTGGGGTGGAATTCTAGGTGGTGCGTGCCGATGCCGGAACAAGGCGCTACCCTGTGGCACTTCAAATTGGAATAGCTCACAGAAATTATCTGAATAAACCTCATGCATCTCGATCCTTCAGCGCCATTGTTTTTGCGACTGTGCTCGGCTATGGTATATCGCGTTTCAGATATTTTTTCGCCGCAATGCTGCAGCTACCGCTTGTCTTCGGTGCTGGCCTCATTGCCATGTACGGCAATGGAGGGCTTGCAGAGGCACTTTCAAATAGTTCTGCCTCTCATATGGGGCAAACTAAAGGTGCCGACGAGCTTCCGGGGACCGAAGCATTGATGAAGTCTAAGCTTATTGCTGCCATTGGAGCCGAAGCAGCAACCGACGGTAAATCGAGGGCCCCCTCAGGATTGCGTTTTCTCCATATCCCATATTGCTGTGTTGTTTCATAATTTCTTCATACAAAATCAAAGCTCCTTACTCTGGTGTATCGCAATACCTTGAATTCTATGCAACACATTCGCTGCAGGTGTGTCAGCTAATGCCTTGTTTGGCGTAGTATGAGTGAAGCCAAGTGAATGCGTGTTTCTCTATGAATGCGGCTTCGTGACACAAAGTACGCTGCTTATGTCTGAGACATTATTTCCCGGTGATCGCAGAATAGCTTTTGTATGGCTTCTTCACCGTGCTTGGCCGCTCTGAACGAACTTCGGACCAAGGATCTTTCGGCAGATGCCTTGAAAGGCCCTACAAAGGACGAAAAGAGTGAAAGCAGCACTGTAAGCAACGTAATTAGCCTTGCTGGAACTAACCGAAGGAAATGTGAGACTGGAGCAAAAGCAAACACACAGAAGGTGCGCCCCGCGGAGACAGCCGTACAGGATGAACTGGACTCTGCAGAGGATACTAGTAAAATTGCCCCTTTTGTAACATGCGCTATGCTCCTCTGTAGAATTATGGTATTGTTATACCCGTCCTCTTTTCTACGGTCTTTGATTGCCAAGCGCTATTTGAAGAATCCTATTCTTCCGGATTGAAGTATCTCAAGTCGTAAACCATGCCCGCCAGGCCCAGGGACTGCGATTCGCAGCGCAAATGGACATACTGCTATTTATATTCCTATCACAGCAAGACAACTTTTGCCCTGTAAATGCGTTTGTGCTCGGTTGCCCGGTCGGCTTTACAGGAAAAATTTGGACCCGAAAAAAACCTTATACGATATTACGAAGAGCCCTTTTGACAATGTTTCTGCGAGCAATGTACCATATATGATATCAACTCAAGACAATCAGGTGTCATGTGCCGTGACCAACAACTGCGACGCTGGGCGCAATGTTCTCTATTATGCATTTAAGACAAATCTAAAGTCGAAGGAACCTTTCAGGTGGGGCTTTCTTCTTGATCGAAAAGCTTCGGCACAAAAGCAGCAAGTTAAGCAGGTGATCTCCTACCTCTTCAATCATCGATATTCCCCTCCGATATTACAAAAAGTGTCTTTCCGTTGCTTTGCTGTTGATCGTGTTTCTCAATTCTGCCCGCTATCAAGCGCTCTTAGCCCGTCAGCCAAAAGCGGTCGCGAACTCGGCGATCAGCCCGTCCATTGCCACTGCCCTGGCATCCTTCGCCGTTCTGTTCACTTACTTTTGAGTCCTTGGCATGCTCCCGGAGTAGGAAAAGCTTTGCAAAGGCCGTTTCGGCTATTCTTGGCATAGCCTTCTCCGGACAGTTCAGTGCACGGATGCGACGACGCGTGTGATATAATGTCCCAGCATCTCGATTTTATACAGTTGCTGTGTTGGGGGAATCAAATGCCATTTTGAACCCTGCCACAGGCCTGCTACAAGACCAGTTTTTGGTATTCATATACGATGCTATATCGGACTAGGCTTATATCAGAGAGTACTCGTCTACTTTTTGTTTCCGAACCATATTATTCTTTTTAGCATATCCTATTTCGCAATTCACGCTAAGTAGACCTGCGATTGGAAGAGGGTAAGGATGAAATATAAGGCGCTGCCGAGTCTCATAAGATGCTGCTGGGGTGTCTGCAAATTTTTGGTGAGCTTTGTCTGCTCAATTTTCGGGCAAACAGGCCGATCTGCACTTTACCGGCAATTTATGAGGACTGTGGCACCGTATTGAAAACCACCTATTAGCGCCCTACTACACTAAGGTAAGCAACACATGCAAGCATATCTGAATAGGGAGACCCAATAAAACGACCTTGTGAATAGTGGAGCAGGCCCTATATGCAGTCCCCAGGATGACTCGACGTAGATCTGACTTCGGCGCCAGCTGCACCGGCGTGGGCCGGATGCACAAATGGCATTAAGGTAGCTAGATAGAGTTAGTCATGGGGTTCAAGTGTACAAAGTTTGCCAGTTTGCTTTGTAGCTGTATAGGGTATTCTAAAAGGTGCAGCACATTCTACTTGTTCACACTGTCGAGTGATTGCAGCGCACGAAGGCCTCATGAAGAACTGGCGAAATCGTACTGAATGTATGTAAAATTTGGCAAAATTGATCTGTAGTGGTGTTGGCGTGCGTGAGAAGCATTATTTGGGGGGTCGATATGCACTAGCACAGATACACCCGGCTGGCAAGCCACAATGCATGCAAAAGGGCACGACGAGCTGACCCCTGACATACTGAAGAACTTATTCCATTGAGTAAAGTTGTTGTCTGGGAGAAAGTCTTTTAGCAAAGGCAAATTGGTCCTGCTTCAATATTGGGTAGGATGTGTTTATCGTTTGGCGCAATGCACATTGGTACTTTGGTCGGCCTCAGGAGGCTGTGAGGCTTTATTTCAAGTACCTCAGGAAGATGTCTAGTTGTATCAAGAATTCTTTTCCTCTGCACAGCTTTTTGAAAAATCTGCATCTCTGTTGGTTCCAGTCGGCTGCTCGTCGTTCAGTACACCGACAGGCAGCGTGGCCATGGGCCTCGTCGCGACCTCTACGGCGCGTTGCATATATTTCTTTGGGCAGTAACTTTGGTGGATCTAAGCGTCTCCGCACCATAGAAAGTGCTCTTACAACTGTTCGGGAAGAAGTGGGCCCACTCGATGCCTGTTCTTGCCTGTACGAGTCCTTACCAGGCTACGATATTGACCCGCGAAGCAAAGAAGAGCACAACTTGAGTATTCCTCTCCATCTGAACGCAGTAATCCGCGTGAAGACAGACATCGCAGATCCTCATCGAATCCTGGACATTCTTCTTGACATTGAAGCCCGGCATGGAAGAGATCGGTCGAGCACCGATGAACGGCTGCACAGAACGTTAGATCTTGATCTCTTGCTTTTTAAAAATGAAAATGCAGAAAGCATTCTCGTAAATGCGGAACAGCTGACACTTCCTCATCCACGTCTCGCTCAGCGAAACTTCGTTCTGTTTCCGCTATGCGACATCGATCCTGACCTGATGCACCCGACTGAGGGACAAACAGTCAAAGAGTTAGTACTGCGGAATCTTAAGCGCAGAGAAGAAGCTTTGCAGCAGTCTTTAGCTAACCACTCTTCTTGTGGAAATGACAATATAAACGGGAGTGCTGCACCGTACACTCTGGATGGCAACCTAGCTGTCCCGCGTAGATGCTTTGCGCCTAACGACAAAGAACTGTGGACTGTGAAGGGCTCAAAAGCAGCCATTACAGACACATTGCGATGGATTGGAGAGGTCATGCAAAGGTATCGATTCAACAGTGCAGGCAAACAAGAGCAGGCGGAGCCAGAATTTGTGGAGTCCCTTTGCCACCTGAAGCGGCTTCTGGAAAATGAACCGCAAACCCCCAGGCTAATGGGAGTGCTCAACATTACTCCCGAATCTTTTAGTGACGGTGGAAAGTACTATGGGAATGTGGAGGCTGCACTAGGACATGCACGAAATCTGGTGGCTGATGGGGCACATATAATTGATGTTGGCGGAGAAGCAACAAACCCCAATGTTCAAGAGGAGATTCCTGTGGAGAAGGAAACCGAGAGGGTGCTGCCAGTCATTGAGGCTATTCGAAAACATGTTGGTGCTGGTGCGGTCATATCCGTTGACACGAGGCGGAAACCAGTTGCACATGCTGCGGCAGCCTTTGGCGCCGACATGGTAAGATAGCTTGTGAATCGATTGCATTCCAGAGACACAGCATTCTGAACAGGTCGCAACTGGTTTGTACATATGCGAATAATGAAAAAGGCGCCTCTTTTACTGGTGGGACTGGTTTGGTCCTGTGCATACCTCAGGTCAACGACGTCAGTGGAGGTGTGTCTGACCCAAATCTCCTCAGCTTTGTGGCATCCAGAGGGCTTCCTTTTGTCATTATGCATTCGCGAGGAACACCTAAATCCATGGACAGCTTGGTGAGTGGTTCTTGGTGTTCACCGTAGCAGGCTCTGGGTACATCAAGTGAGTGTCGCGCTACGTATGGCATGCCGATAGTGCATATTGTGTGAGAGGATGAATTCTATAGTGCGAGCATTGTTTGGGTTTGTAGGCAAACTACGAAAACACAGTAGATGAGGTTGCAAGATTTCTTACGGAGAAGGCCATACTGGTTATGCAAATGGGTCTCCCCAGGTAGAACACATAAGACTCTCTACTAAGCCTAGCTACTAATCCACCATTGTGTTATATATAATATGGTGAGAAAGTGGGCAATATGTTGAGATCTATGTTCTATTTCACGCTTGCTTCAGGTGGCGGCTAATTCTTGATGCGGGATTGGGTTTTGCAAAAACTCCGGAACACTCTTTCGAGATTTTAAGGAGCCTCAGAGAGCTCCAAGCCAAAATACCAAATGGCATACCTATACTCATTGGGCATTCACGGAAGAGGTAACAAAACGTCTAACTTACGATGAACATGGGATGCATGCATGCCTCTCTCCTCCCCCGGCCGACAACAAAAACACAGTTAAGTACGATGCACTGGCCCAGCTAGGTTTGTTTGCCTGCTTGCTTTTGTGGTGGCTGGCCAGGTTCATTGGCGCAGCAATCAAAAACTTTCACTGCCCAACGACTGTCAAGCTCGGAGAGGCACGTAATTCAGATAGAGATAAACAAATGGGAGACCGTGATATCGCTGGGCTCGCAGTAGCCTGCTGGTCGGCAATGTGCAACTGTGTCGACATACTGAGAGTCCATGACGTCAAAGTAAGGACAGTCATTAGGCACACCTACGCTTATATATCGCAGTGGATCGTGCAGTATTTTACTGACATTGCAATCACTATCTGAGCATACAATTTTCGTATAAGTGGATGTATAAGAGGGCAGGTGATATAGTATCAGTGCCTCCAACAGTCTGCGAGTGTGCATTGCCTGCGACTTCACCTCTGCAGAAAACAGCTCTTGTTTGCTCCGTTATGGAAATGTTAGTTGCTCAGCACGCTTCAGACCCCGCAGTGGACTTCTGCGCTCTGTTCCCCGGGTGCCCATGCCCTGAAAGTAAGAATTCAAACCCAAACACCTCTCAAGACTAGTGCACGTAAAACTTCTGCATAGTGGGGCCGATGCAAGATATGATCTAACGGCAGCGGCTTTCCCTATGATGCAAAGAGTACCACCCTCTACGAAACGGGTGGCTGTTCCGCAACAGCGGCACCATTGGCGACCTTCGGTCTAACACTGATGAACCCTTTTCATAAAACTAAAGCCAAGCTATCCAACTTTGATCTCCATAAATGCCGTACCCCAAAGGAGCATTAAAAATCCCGAGGGATAGAATCATCGCTGGCATGAGCGCGAACGCAACATGCCGCTATCAGAAATTCTGCAGTTGGCACCCCCGTATGGAGGCCCATAGCCCATTACAGACAGCTGAGTGCAGTGCTCTGCTCCGGACTACGACAGGGTGATGGACGAGCCACCCCGAGCGCCTGCCAGGTAAGTTTAATTAGCCTCTCTGTGTTACCCTCCACCCCATCGGAGCGCGAACCGCGGATAGGTATGCAGTCATACCTTTAACTTGAACAAGAAAAAACCATGAATTTGTACAATTGAAGGCGTTCGAGTCGATAAAATCAATTTCCTATTTGTTATAAACGAACGGGGGGGATCGTGCACAGTTTCATGAGATTTCCGTTTCACCGTGCATGCCATTCGTTCCCCGCTCCTTATGCTGCCCCACAGACGATCAAACCTTTTTCGATATGCTTCACTTTTCTACCAATTTATTCCTTTTTAATTTTTAACATATTCACTGCCGGTTGGAAGACGGTTGACCGTAGCAAAGTCGGTAGCAAGCGGGGGGACGAGTCCTGCACTTGTACCCTTCCCAATTTTCTGCCTGATGGCTCGTCTCCCCCTAAACGGAGGAAACATCAGAAACGATTGATTTCGGGTTGAAGTTTCATGCTATATAATGGAGGGAAGAGGTGGAAGGTGCTGCATTGCAAGACAAACAACAGCCCAACGTCTAGCAGATACTTGAAACAGTGATTATGTGTGAGGCTGGATATGTGCGATGCATTGCCTCCATCTTGTTCCCTCATATGAAGATTCTGTGGATTTACATTTTCTTGGCGCTGCCTTTCGCTGCTTTCCAGTGCCGGGGATCTGGACTGTCCTCTGATGCTGTCAATTCCTCTGCGTTGTCTTCAATTAGCACAAAGGGACCGTCACACCTTCTACATCCGCATTGGAACCTCCAGGCTTTGATACACGGTCCTCATTTCTTGCGGAACCACAGTTCCGCTCCCGTCTGCGCATCCTGTAATCCTTGTTTCACATTCGGCCGTTGCCGTGGAAGACCAAAGCAGTTAACCGCGTTCTTGACAGTTGGTGGTGCTGCTCCTCGTGGAGCCTCTTCAAATGTAGTAGGACACTCTACTGCTGATTTCAGGACGTATGCATCACTGCGTGAGCGAGACATGCTGTGCATGTCTCGTCGTGGGTGGAAGAGGACCTCGTTAACGACGGGTATACTGACTGCGACTCCTTTTCCGACGCAAAACATCGGTCTCCTAAGGAAATTTACGGGACCTTGCGGTGTTATTTCTGGAGGAGGTGCCAGAGGGCTCACTCCCGTATTCGCGACAGGCCGGGCTGTATCTCGGATTCCACTTTCGACTAGACAGCTCAAGCAAAAGTCAGTTTTCTGCAAGTGCTAATGGCTGCCCTGTGACCTTTGCACTTATTCTGTGTACTTGCTGGTTTACTAGTTCATAGTGGCTAGGCAGCGGAGCTTTTTAGGAGCTACACCAACAGCCACAGCCATGTTCCGACGGTTGTGTAAAGTACACGGTGCATAATTTGCCTCGAATGTGGCTTCCAGCTGGTTTATTGCTGTTCTTGTGCTTCAAGTGCGAAAATCAAAAGCCGACTGCTATGAGATTGTTCAGGGAGCAGGCTCTTGTTCAAACGTCGGACCAATCTGGAGTCATTCAAGAAGAATCGTTGAAGGACACAGAGGGCGCAGAGAAAAGGCTCAAGCGATTGAAAGAGTGGCGCGTTGTACTTCACAATGATGACATCCACACGTGAGCTTTGTATTTATTTTGTTATTAGTGGTATTCGCATTGCGCAAAGTTTACGTATTTGAAACAAGCGGGTAGATGGTTTGTGGAAATGCTTGTCGCTACAGTTTCAGTTTGTTAGTTGTCTTTGAAAGTTCCCAGGGTACATAGAAAATGTGGTCTTAACAGTATATGGCGTCATTTAGTGGGTGAACGTGTAAATGATTGAAATGGCTCTGCGAATTCCTTCTGCGCAGTTTTGAATGTGTGGAGACCGCCATCACAAAGGTCTTACCGCACATCAGCCGCGCAAGAGCTTACGATATAGCGCTTCATGCTCATACCAATAGGCAGGCGACGATCATACTGACCTGGAAGGAGAAAGCAAGCGAAGTAGCAACGGGTTAGTTTCATCTTACGTTAAGTACGCTTAGCATGCATGCCATGTCCGCCATGTTCCCCTTTAGGTTTAATTCAGAAAAGCATGTGGTCCCTCCCCCATGCAATCGGCCCCTAAACAAGTTACTAGTCAGCCATTAGTTTTTTACTTCATAACTTATGTATTGCTAGATGTCTTCGTGGACAAACAGTGTAAATCGTGCCTTGCTGAGTGAGCTCATTGATGGTTGGCTAAAATAAAACGCAACACCTACATGCGTGGCTACTGTTCGCGACATTGTTGCTTCCTTTCATTTGGATTTTTGCAGTTTTAATATGTGTATGGGTAGGGTACGGACAGGAGCTATGAATAGCTAGCTGTTTGCAGCTCGTTGTATGCTTGTTCGCGACTGCTTTTGTGTTGTGGCGGTCAGCACTGCAAGACGAAGGACTAACGGTGTCGATACTTCCGGAAAAAATATTCACTGAGGATGCCTGATGGCAGACAGTTTGATATATGAAAAGGTGAATGGATCATAGCTTGAAAGGCTACTGCAGTTGACGGACTAATGTTAGAGCGAAGGCCTCCTCAAATCTGGCTGGGGGCTTTTCTCACTATGTAACCCGTGATAAGTGGTCAGTTGTTTCTTTGGAAAAGAACAGCAACACATCGAAGTGTCAAACCTCCTACGCTTGCACGAAAACCGAAACGACGTAAACGCATAGGAGGCATTCTATGTTATCGTCGATTCGTTCTATTTCGCGACAGTCGATTCAACCGCTGATTTCCTCGTGAGACAAAATCTTATCGATTAGCAGACTCATGCATGACTCCTAAAAAAGGACTGATTGACGATGCCCCACAGATGAATTCTTAGGGATTAAGCACTAAGGCAAACCATAGGGCCCACATTCATTAAATATGCGACTCATTGCTGCAGAAGCAGTAATCAGAATCACGCGACGCCAAAGGAAAACCGCCCAACGTAAGGCCTGTCTTCATTTGCTAGTTTGACCCTCGTCTGCTCCATAAGTTCGACAACTGCTTCTTCAGCTGAAAAAGGCAGTGGCAGATGGACATCTGCGCTGCATTCGCTAGTTGCCCACCTCATTAGCGGTCACTCTTCGATAGCGTTTATCTTAGTAAAGTTTAGATTTATTACTCAGCGGGGCTGACGAGATTACCTGGCTAAGCCCCATGCTTTTGCCTCTCTGACCCTCCTCAGTGTTCCCAAAGCGCCTGCAGTGCAGTGACTCGCACAAAACCATTGGTTCATCTGTTCACCTGAGCTCCCACGGCGTCTTGGCCCAATTCTTGACGTTGCTGCACTACACAGCAGATTTATGCCTATTCTGAATACACATGATTAGGGATGCCTCTCTCTAAATGGGTCCTCAGCCGTACAGCTGACCTGTTGAGGATTGTTTCGGCGTCCCCGAGGCATTCCTGCAGTTCCCGCCTTTCTAAAATGGCTATAACACATCCGTCTGGCGCTGCGGCCGCAATAGTTACATCGGACGGCGCGTCGTGTAGCAACGCCAACGCATTGATGTTGTCCCCTAAGCAAACGGAAAGAAAAAAGGGAATGGGACCTCCAGCGGGATTCGGTTTTCACCTCATTTTGTAGCTGTCTAAATACACCGTCTCAGAGGCCTTCCCTTCAAAAACACTTTACAAAATTACATGCGTTTGTTTCTACAAGTGTTGCTGCTAGCTACACTCCACGCGTCTACAAAGGTTCATTCACTTATTTGCAATTTCGCACACCTGGCCCAAACTCATCAACAACATCGGGGTTTCCTCGGCGATCAACAAACCGCAAAGCTCTTGCAAAACCTGCCACACAACTAGTTTAACATATGTCGTCAAGTTAAATTAAGTGCCGCCGCCGCATGTAACACTCATATCCCCTGCAGGTGCCTTAAAGTGCAACGTACGGCACGTGCTCAACTCATTTAGCTCAGCATACTGAATTCTTTAAAAGAACACTCACCATGAACAACGAGCAGGAGGGCGTTGCAGATTTCCCCCTGATGGCATATAAGTTCTTCTGGGAGAAAAATCCTCCATTTCATGAGAGCTGCTATCTGTACTCTCTCCCTCCTGCGTGGAAAGGAAGACCGAATGAGCACATTTAGGTAACGATAGAGAACCAGGCAACTCTTCCCATCCAGCTAAAGCCGGCAAAGTTGGGTATAGAATAACCTTTTGTCATTTTTTTCTTACCGAGTCAGAGATTCAAGGATTGGACAAAACCCTAGAAAATTCATCACTTGTGGCGCTTGCCGGAAAATGCAGGCTGCGTTGGCAATTAGTACAGCATAAAAAGTTAGGATTCGTTTTTCCTAAGCTTGTAGAGACTGTATGGAACGCAAACTAAGCACAGGCGAAGAAAAAGGCTGCACTCGCACACGCCCGAATGGTGCTTTCATCTCGCCACTAGCAGCTTTTTACTCGGCCCGTGGTGACATGGTGCCGCCCGTTAGCTTCCATCCTTCACTGCCTCCTGTTCATTTCATCATCTCTTTTCTCCCTGAATTTTGCTTACCACTGATCACTTGTTGGAACGAATGGTAACTGAGCTTCTGGAGGGTACATGGCCTTAATGCCACGAGAGAATGGTTTGTCTGTTCTTCACGGACAAATGCCCTTGGTGTCACAAACGCTCCAGGTCCGAGCTCAATTGGAAACCTTTCTAATGGCACTTCAACATCGTAGCTAGACCTTCTCCTGGCATTGCTCCCGGACGATATAAGAGCAGTTGCAGTTACCGTATCGGTGGTATTACCGTTGGGTTCGGTCATTCCCAGGGACCCTGACACTAAAAAATACAGCGTATCAATTTTATCGCCTCTCTGAATCAACCTGCATCCTTTTGGTATCTGTACAAAGCTGTTGGTCATCAAATGTACGCAATGCTGTCGTTCTTCCGCATCCAGCAAGGAGAAAATACAGCTACTCATTACTGCTGTAGTTAGATCGGCCTGGCCGTTCGAAAGAAACAGCTCAATTCTGTCGTCTTCATCTACATATCGGGAGGGCAAACTGGTCGTGTATCCCGCAGTGCTGCGGTCAAAAGCCAGAGCTCTGCTGGACCGTGTTCCACGCATCCATGAAGTGTTCTGCGCGGGGGCTAGGCCGGATATGTCACTACGACGCCGTTTGGAATCACATGGAGCCTGTATATCTGATGCATGGGGAGCTGATGTCTTTGTTGGAGGTTCGTCGAAAACCTCTTCTCCTATATCTTTACTCTCCCATGGAAATTCGGCGGGAGAGCCGGCTGACATGGACGGAAAAGGTATAAGAGGAGCTACTTTTGCCTCTGGTGCACCTATTTCATGAGACCGCGTGTCTTCATGCTGTGAGGGGTGGCCTAAATTCTTGCTTGATGCGATTTCTCTGGCGGCGGTATCTGCTGGATCGACGACATTCAGCTCCCTGCTGCCGAAGTGCGGGAGATAATCGTTGCTCTGTTTGTGTGAACTCAATGCTTTCGCGCTGCTGGAATCCGAACGCAGCAGCCTGCTGTGCTCGCCAGTCCTATGATCTTCGTCTTTTAAGGAAGGCGGAAGGCTGTCTTCTGATTCAACCAGAGATTGCCGCGATGTTGATTGGTCTTGCATCATGTATGTAATAGATCTGCTGGACTGCGCGGGATTAACGTTCGCCGTAACACGAGACCTAAGATCCTCACGGGGTGAAATGTGGCTGCCATCTGATCTGTAAGGAACGACAGAGGTGACTGAAACAGTCGAGCTGGGAAAGGCAGGATTCCCCGCACCTTCCTCATCTATGCTGTCAAATATGTTAGGAATCGACGCTAACACAGAACTCTGGCTCCGTCCATCCGCCCAAATCTGCTTATTCCCCTCCTGAGCAAAGGAAGATACGGCATCCTTTGATGCAACTGCTGGTTGTGAAGTTTGTGGACGTTCAGAGCTCTCTGGTTTTTCTGCTGCGGATGTTATTGTGTCCATGGCCTCGTTTCTCTTCTCACTCCTGTGTGACAGCTGAGATAGGGAAAGCGCACTCCGGAGCTTGCTGTACACGCTCTTCTTCTTTCTTCGCCCTTTCCTTACCACTGGCGCCACTGTATCCTTTGGCTTTCTCTTCTTTTGTTGTTCACTCTCCCCGGCCCCCGCGAGTTTAGCAGTCACATCTGCTGCTTCCTCCAACTGGTGCTCATGTTGCTTCTGTTTTGGGGCTGAGACAGCCCTGGCAGCGACAGCTCGAGGCGAGGATGTCTGTCCTTGTTCATGTTTGGGCGTTTTTACGAACACGGGAGATACTGTGTACATAAGGGTCGGCACTTCGTTCCTTGCCGTTTCTGCTTCCTCTTGCTCTGAGGAGGGACTCCTAGGGCCCTCCCCTGAGGGCTGCTGTAAAGGCGCTGGTTGACTGTGCCTCAGAGGCAATCGCTGTTCTTTGCTGCCAGTGAAGTCCGGGAAGCTGGCGCCTGACAGCCTCTGTCCTGGTTCCCGCTGGTCAGCTCTCTCCACATCAGACACTGTCACTGTGCGAGTAGCTTTGGACTCTCTTGGGCTCGAGGGTCGCGACGATGTACCAAAGATACGCCCTACAAACGACTTGCTAGGGGTATCAGACAGAAGCCTATCAGCGTGTGGGTTCAGGGTTTCCGCAGATGAAGGCTGAGGAGCTCCTTCTGTTGCCCCAGCTTCCAAAGAGGCACTGGGAGAAACTAAATCTGTCTTAGGTTTGCCACCTTGCTTGAGAGTGCTGGCGATCTTGCTCAGGTTTTTGGCCTCTTCAAACTCCCGTTGCGCCTCTTTAAGACGTTGCCATTCGGCCTGCAGCTGAGCCCTCTCCGCTTCGAGACTCATTCTCTCCTCTCCGAGACGCTCCTTTGAGCTGCAAATCTTCTCTGCTGATGGGAGGATATCTTGGATTAGTTCCTCTGTCTTTACAGCTGAGTCCCACTGAGCCTCGATTGACGCCAGCTTCTTGTTGTCAACATCAAAGGCGGTCCCCAGTTTTTCGATGGCCTGTGTTAGGTCATGCCTCTTTGAGCCAAGTTGCGCCTGCCTAAACGAAATCTTGCCTTCCAAAGACCTGGCCTCTTCTTGCAAAAGTGCCAAAGCCACCTCGAGCTGACTGCATTCCTTCTCAAGCACTTGATATCCCTCGGCATCCTGAGCAGTGTCTGCATATCGCCTTAAAAGGGCATTCGCTCTTTCGATTTGCCCATTGAGAAGCTTCAAGTGAGCAGCAGTAGTGGAGGGCTCCAAACGAAATACCTTGTACGCCTCCACAAAAGTCACATACGCGGGGTTGACCATGATGCGCAGAAGTGAGGCTCGCATATCCTCTGCCCACATCAGTGCATGTTCAGTCTCCGTTCCTGTTGTGAGTAACCTACAGGGTAAGTTCCCCTCTCCAGCCCCACACTCGCCTTCTCCCTGCCCTATAGCTGCCGTATTGTTCCCTTCCTCTACCCGGAAAAAAGTCTCCCTGAGATCCCGTCGAAAGCTCTGCTCAGCCTGGACACTGTGGAAGCCCTGCATCTCCACCAGGCGTCCCCACCAGAGCTGCGTGAGCCGGAGGCGCACTGCTGCATCGATATCTACCTTTTTTGCTGCAATCATTTGCCGTATGGACTGGTGGCGCTCGTGCAGCTTGGAATACATCAATGCATCTCTCCATTGCCACTTCATTGAGTCCACCAGCCACTGCTCAAAAACCCTAAAGCTGCCCCAGCCACCCTCCGGGGGCGCGCTGTTCTTCTCTCCCCCTCCTGCCCACAAAAGTGCTTCGTATCGCTCGATTTCTGCCTCTGATGACATTAGCGCTAGGCCAGGTGGCACGCTTTTGACACAGAAATGCCGAGGGAGGGCCTGCTCTAGGCTTAGGGGGGGAAAGAGTGTATGCAACCTGTTCGCCGTCCCGCACGCCCCAACAACAGAACATTGTTGCAACGTTTTGCTGTCGGTGCACCTATTTCGATGCTCTTTTTCCTCGTCCAGTGGCTGCGTAAAGGCGGGAGAGTTGAACGCATAAAGCCTGAGGCGGGAGATAAATGGAGGGAGATGTCCCAGCCCAAGCCGTTGGCTTGGTCGCCAGTGGCTGTTGCAATTAGAGCGCAGTTGAAAACCGTGCTCCACACTTTTCTTTGACTCACAAATAGCCGGCCGCCCATACAACGTATCTAGTGCCGGAGGCTCTTCGAACTCTGCAAACGTCTCGGAGATCGTGTTGGCTATCCTGTCAGTCAAAAGCTGTACGCTCTGGTTCAAGCGAATGCACTCATCGTGGTAAGTGCGCAGCACTCCGTTGCGTGAGGTGCAGACCTAAACCCACCACAGGTAAGCACTTAAAGCAAGGCAACTGCACACTTCAACTCTTACCGGCAGCAGGCACACGAATCGCTGGTATTTCCATACAAGGATTGCAAGTACGTAGTTCCACACAAGATTTTCCCAGGAGTCGGGCTCCTGCACACTGTCACTAGGGTCTAGGGGAAGGCGATATTGCACGTGTGGTAAGGGATTACTCGATTCGTAGCAGCCGGGAAAGCCAGTCAGGGATAAGTGAGTGTTCAACCAGACGTGGGAGTCTCACGCGTTTGTAGAGGTTTTCAAGCAAGCCTTTGTTCTCCTGGAGTGCGCCATATTGCCTTTGCCACACTTTCAGCTGTTCTTCCTCTCCCTAAACGTATGCATCAAGAAAGCGGACGGAGGTGAACTTCCTGTTTGCAGGCAACCAAAGCAGCCAGCATAATCCACCAGCTAGTCGGAAAATCTGAACACACCCTTTACACGTCTTGCAAGCACTGAGAGCCAGACGTTCAGCCCCCAGTCCAAGAAAAAGTATCACAGTGGCTAACTCGACAAGATAGCTGCACTGCCCTGATCTTGCTGTTGACACATAACTTAACAGTCAGCAGTGCTTCAGCATTACCCAAAAGGAGTAGTGTACAATGGAGAATGAGCGATAGGGCACGGGACAGCAGTCAGCGCACATGGCTCATGTCGCGCCTATTGACTGCCGGGTGTGGCAGTCCTCGACGCTCCAAGTTTAGCACCCAGCTCACCCTAAGATCGTGTTGGATGGCGCTGTCCAATTTTGTTTTATATTTGATGCCCTCGAGAAGTCTCTTGACAAGGGTGATTGTTTGCAAGAGTTCTACAAGGATAAGTTGTTCCCCCTGCAGCTTCATCTGCCTAACTGTGGATTCGTCCGCTTTGTCCATATCCCTCCTAGTTTGTGCAAGAAAGTGCTTCTGTCCCACATTCCCAGCGCCTCCAGCCACTGCGTCTATGGCAAATCGCTTTTCCTGTCCGTCCTCTATATGCGGTTGCTGTTCAGCCGTCACCTCGTTACTCTCCAACAGCCGCCTTATCTCAGTCTCTAATTCACTCAAACAACCAGCAGCTTTCGCTGTTGCGGCGCTGCAGCCCCCCATGAGACTAGAGCACGAACCGTGCCCGGCCTCGAAATTTGAGAGCCAAAGTTCAGCAGAAAAGTCGGGAGGAGGTGGACGTACCAAACGCGCAGAGGGAGTACCTGGTGCGACTGACGAACTCGAGGCGACAGATGCCGCCATAGCTGATGAAAACATAGACTCAAGCATGAAATCCGCAAACCGCTTTGGATGTCAAGGGATTCAAAAGAAGGAAAAGGGGCACACTATACTGAATTCGATCTGAGAGCGAAGTGAACAGATCAGTCTGCCTCGCCACAGAGCTGAACGACCGCCAGGAGTAAATGCTGTATTCTCGGCTCGTGTCGATACCTACTGTCTTCCAAGTAGGCTTCTTCGCCGATCTCTGAGTTCTGGGCTGTATCTTTACGGCTCCGACTTCGGCTGTGGCTTCTGCTGAAGCTTCGACTCAGCAATCGCCCAAAGCGCGCGAACCTCGAAGAGCTGTGCGCCCTCTTCTTATTGCTTCCATGCTCTTTCTCCTCCTTTAGCAGAGACTTTGTTTCGGAAGACTTGTAGCCTTATGGCGCACGCAAGCAATTTCGAAGCAGAAGGGGGAAACGTCCTTTACACTAGCAGAGTGACAGCGATTCCATCGTAAGAACTGTCTCTTCCCAATAGCTCACAAATCAAGCACTTATACATTTCAGACGAGCATGGAAGCCATGGACACCAGCTAATCTTTGGCACTTCCTCACACAACACTGGTGGCCCACCCTCGCCTTTGCAGCTTAAGGTACCAAAGTTTCACAAGGATCGCGCCAACTCTCGCCTGCTGGTTCATTAGGCAAATCTCACTACTACCTAGGGCCTTAAAAACACCTCAAAGCTTTCAACACCACATTTTTTATTAAAAAGCAGCGTTCCAACAACCCTCAGAGGTGAGCGTACTGTGTATTCGCAATGATTCGTCCGGAAGGCCATTGGAGTCGCTCTGCTCTCCGGGGTCGCTAGACACGCTTCTGTTGCTGCTTATTCTTCTGGGTTCCGTGGGAGACTCAGCACCTGATATGGGAAAACTCAGCTCCTGAGCGGTTCGGGTGCGGAGTACCGCACCGGGATGTTGGTAGCTGGTTCTGTCCTTAGTTGCTAATTCCCGCTTTACGGGTTCCTGGACGGACATGAACATTGCCGCTAGAGAAGTGACGTTGGTGGTGTCTCTGATAGGGGCGGGCTTCACCCCATCCTCCGTTTCGCCTGCATCTACAGTATCGTCTGCCTTGTGGTCCCGAGGAGTTCTGCTAGTGTCTGTAGAGCGGAATCTGCGGATACTGCTCTGTCGCAACCAACTCATCATGCCTCTGCTGCCCTTCTTTTCCACATCGGGGACATTTTGCACACTTTGTGCCTCTTGCTCTTTTGGAGTCTCCATGGCGCTGGTGTTCCGTGGTCAGGCCTTGGACCAGCGGCATGGAGGGAAAAGAACGCGTCATCGAATTGCAGCCGTAGCGCCAAAGGCGCAAACTAATGTTCGCGCTATCTCTAAATTAAACACAATACTCTGTTTCAGCTCGGTGCCGCTAGTGAACAATATAGCATGTGCAGATGGCGTACATAGGTGAGGAGTTCAAGCCCCTGGTCAGGCCGTTGCAGCCGGAGACAGCCCCGAACCCACGAAAAGACTCCTACCCACCATAGAGCCTTCCTTGTTTCCAATGCTCTCTGGATGTACCTAGTTTGCAGATATAACAGCAGAGGCAGTAGCAGCTTCCCCGCAATCGGAACAGGGAATCGGCGGTTTGGTACATGTAGAGCCCAAGGCCCTCTCAGGACACGCACCATAACGGCCCCCAGATTATCCGATTTCACTGCAGTGTTTTATGGAAGGAACCAGACAAATATCAGAAGAGTTTATTCTACTGCCTAGCATTGGGCACTACAGTGCGGAGACACAAGGCCTGCAACCCTTGTGCTGAGATATTTTTTAGTCTTGGAAAGTCAGGCTCTAGTAGAGGATGATAATGTAGTGAAGCAAGGCCAGAGTGGAGCTTAGGAGGCCAGCAGCGCAATATCTAAGGAACAGTAGTTGCACCTGAAAACACGCAGTGTTAGGCGTCTGGAGATGTTCAAATTGTCGCTCTGTTGACAGAGTGGGAAAAGGAGAACGGGTGTTTTGTTGCTTGAAGGCACCAAAGTGAACGAATAAAAATACTCCTTTTGGGGCAAAATAATTTTGTTTGCCACAGTATGAGGTGCCATGTAGGGGAACCCACGCCTACGGACTGCAACTGCCCTAAAAGCTACCATCAAAGGCCTCAGGAGTTACAGCCTTCCACTTTCATGCTTTTGCGAATACGCATTAGCTTGAAATAGCTGAAGCTTTATTTTTTCGTTTGCCTTCAAAAGCATCATGGCATTCAAGTGCCCGGTCTGTCTCCCCGGTTGACAATTGCAAGCACAAATATTGCTGGGAACGGCCGAAGGCAGGCCGACAAAATATACTATTTGCATCGCTCAATCGAAAAGCTCAGATTTTTTCACTTTCCTGCAAGGGACTTGTAAAGTAGGTGGTCGAGCAACTCCGTGTTCTTAAAACGACAGACAGGAAGAATTCCACGGGCCATAGTATGGTGGTGCAGCACTTACCGAAGGGTTTTGTATATTTAATGCACTTCTACTTACACGATCCCTGCTGCAACAGAATTAGCCAGCTGCGTCCGTTGCTCTAGTGGTATACTTCGGCGGCCTGGGTTTGTTCTTCCGACCCAAGCAACTGACACCTGGTTCATCTGTGAGCCAATATGGGGAAAAGGGAGATCCTGCCTCAAATGAGTTGCTGTGAAGGGCGATGTCCTACGTTAGTTGGGCCAATGTGGGAGAACAGGGTAGCTTATTGCACCAGAGATCGGGTAAACAGATTCGTCAAAAATGGTGAAGAAAGGATCTGGGTACTCTGCGACAACAGTATTGCTTTGCAGCCGTAGTAGACAGCAAAAGAACAAGGAAGCTCATTTTTCATAGTATTTATTTTCGTTTGTATGCAGTCTGTCACAGGCTGGAATGCCTTTTTTGGGGTCTGAAGGGAGGTATAGCGGGGCTAAGCTACACGTAGGCAACTTTTACTGCACTAGCTGCAACAGGCTTAGAGCGTGGGGGGAGAGGGACCGTCAGGTGAGCGATGTTCCGCGATTGCCGAGATCAGAAAACTCTTTAGGGAGATGAAATTCCATCCGTTACCAGTGGATGCTCAGAAGACAGGATGCATCACGCTGTGAAGTCCCGACCATTTCAACTCCCACCAATGATTTTTATCAGCAAGCACCTTGCGCCGAACCCCATTGAAGACATCCTGAGCGCTACTGGATGCTTTTCCCTCCTTCATCATGCGTGCGTCCCGGAGAGCTCAGCACATGAGGGGACAGGGATCTCTAGGGTGAGCGATGTTCCTGCCTGTAAAGAGCTCTGAGCATTGGTAGCTCATTGAACATAGCACCTAGCACAGGAGCACAAAACAACCTTGCGGCTCGTCGGATCGTGCTACAACTACTCTGTGGTGGAAAGGAGCTGCCAACCCTAAAACAAATGGTCAATTCTTTAATAGTCCTTAACTTGATATGACTAACGCAGTAAGAAATGCCTAGGGGCTGCATAGCCCGTTCCACAGGCGGTGCTTCAATAGAAGATCGCAGTCCGCAGTTCCCCTGGTTGCCAGTGGCGACTGGCCGTGAACTACGATTCTTCGTGGCGTTTGGCATAATGTGACAGGGTTGAACTGGAACTGCAAGAGATATTCCCGAATGAGACAGATATATAGCCGAAAGCACATCGACGCGGGGGATCCACTCTTCCAGCATCCGACTGGCGAAAGCATCCCATCTCCCTGCTCCAAAGGCAGCGCAAGTAAGCATTAGGCCACCAGAAACACTCATTCAACAATAACGAGGCATTATTTCTCTCCCTTCATCGCTATAGAATACTAAACTGCGAGGTAATCGCTCGCTCCTCCGCCGTGCTCCCCCTCGTAGGCCCCAGCCCCACTTCAGTGTTGTTCAACTCCTATAGTGCTGGGTTTGAGAATATCAATCAGTGGCTAAGTTTCATGCAGTTGTTTTATGTTGCTTTTCGCCGCCTTTCGCCCTGCGGATCTGTGATTGCGCGTACTACAGACGAGCCAGCCGGTGCCTCTCTAGTCCTGATGAGGTGCGCAGACGGAGAAGATCCTTTGGCGTCTGTTGCTTGTATCATCCGTTTTTGTTAATTCATGCCTGATACTAATGAAACCTCTCCGACAGAGCTAAGCAGCGGACTAACTCTCGCCGGGGTTGCGGTTTGCGCCGCTTCTCTCCAGTTCCAATCTTTGCTAGATTGGGTGAGGGGACCCTTCAGGAAGGCAGCATTGGGTAAAGGGGCCTCCAATTCGGCTTCATTTGCGGTAGCCTGCTTCGGGAACGGTGGAACGGCCAGTCCGTGCGTGACCAGCAAGTGGCACATGCACTCGACCACTGGGGGATTTATGACGCGTTCATTGAAGGGTGGTTTCGACTTGAAAACGCGAGCAGCATGAGCTCCTGCCAAAGAAAACTAAGAAATGGGGGTTCCGAATCATGAGGGACCGGCCTATGTCGCTTTGCGCCCATGTAACACAGCAGCTCCGGCGCAAGGCGGAGAAGCCGTCTTCCGTGGCAGTTTTTTGACTTGCACGATGAGCTCTGGCTGCAAAGTTGGCCCCCCACATGATGGCGCTTCACGCAGAATATCAGGCAACTGTGGTTCTTTTGCGGCAAAATATATGCTGTTGTTTGTTTTGTTCGCGAGTTGCGGACTAGCGGGGTTCTTCTTGGGCACCCTTTACGGACCTGCAAATTACAATGTAAGCCAAAAGGCCGGGGACGTGGGACCTTAAGGAGTATGTACATATATCGGCTACTTCTGTGTGCATGGATGTAAATGGATGCCGGTTATTGTGCTGCACATCCTCTGTCATTTGGCCTCATGCTTGCGCGCCGTGTAGTTGCAGGACGCTTCCTTCTCCAGTCGGCCGCAAGCCCGCCGCCTTTCTGATTCGAACAATTACGGGTCTGGAAACGATGGTGATTCGGGAGAGGGTGGGAACTCCGACGCAGTAAGAGGCAGCACTGATTGGAAAGACAAATCAGAAAGTTCCGAAGGTGCATCCGCGGGTCGGGAGAGAGACCAGGGAGCTGATCCGTTGGTAGGGTCAACTTCAGCAAACTCAACAGACGCCGTAGTGCCTTTTGAAGGGGAACAAGCATTGTCGGGTACTCCCGCCGCTCCGGTTCCAGGCGCTGGTGTGGAAAAAATCGACAACGCGGGCAAGCCGAACTCTCACAAAAGCCAGCGACGCCGGAACAGGAAGATTCGCGAGGTAGAAGGTAAGAGAAGCGAAACGCAGAGGCGAACCGGCTGTTCTATATGCTCAAGGCATTTTCTCATCAAGCACATATATTTATGTATTTGTTATGTCGGTGGCGCCCTGTTACCCAGGCCCGGTTTTCCTTGAGTGTGTGTATGCAGGCCCCAGGCCGGATCTGTACAGGACGGAGCTTTGCTCCATGCTGAGAGATGATCCAGGGTTGCACGTCTGGTATGCGCTCATGGTGCTGTGGGTGGCTGAGTGGCCGACGTACGCACGACATGGAAATGGCGGCGATGCGTACTTGAAGTATCTTCGCGGTTTGGCGGAGAACTTTGAAGTGCCGAGACACGCAGCCTCTCAGATCCAATGCTTGTTTGCGGACGAGCTCGTTTGCGGCACGCCGACCTTCTTTTTGGGAGGAGTGAGTGTGGTAGTGTATTGGCTGACAATGCGGATTAGTGTGCGGGAACGGAACATATCTTGAGATGGATTTGTGGCGAATGCCGAGCATGGGATTTTCAAGCTTTCAGGGCGTGCCTGCGCCAGCGGAGTGTCCGTTGTTTATTGGCTCGGGATGTTTCCTACTTTCATTATGACGTGGGCCATGAGCTCCTTGCGGATGTACCAATTTAATTGCAGTAGCGCCGACGAATTGTGTCAGTTCACGTATTGTCTGTGTGCAGATTTGCGTAGCATGGAGGGTTTTATTGTGTCTATGCATATGCGAATGCTTGTGGTGCGTGTGCATATGAATTCGGATGCAAAGATTGTTAAACTTATTCTTATAACGTTTCTTCACACGTGCATGTTCATATGTAGTGTCTCCTCGTTTGCTAGAGCGGCTGTGCGTACAGCAATGGATGTACCTCAAGATACAAAAGTGGAGGGCTCTACACATCTCCTTCATGTGTTTTTGTCGCAGTTGGACGTTGTAGGTAGAGATATTCACCGTTTTCAAGACCTGATAACGGTCTTGAAGAAGTATAAACAGAACCAGCATTTCATGGACTTGGTATCCTACACTCAATCGTCGAAGCTGCCTGCCGATGTCTCCATCTCGGGCTTTCCTATGCTTTTGAGAACCGCCTTTGAGGGTTTGGCTTTCACGTTTAGCAGGCGGCTCTACATCAAATCTGATAAGAAAAGTGAAGGCAAATCATCCAAACGATCTGAAGGTACAGTTAAATGAGGAAATTTTCCTATAGCCCTTAAATCCCCCACGTGTCTCCCGTTTTACTGGATGTGCTGGTGCTTCTGTCGCCTGTCGTGGTCCTTTACGGTGAGTAGCAAATTCTTCCGTATGAGTATGTCGTAATAGGATCAGTTCTTTTGTTAGTACTACTCGGCTGGCTGCTAGATGAACAGCAGTTTGTCAACCTTCTGCTGTATACTTTTTTGGGCCGTATTTCGGTCATGTTGCATAACGGCATTCGCGGTTCGGGTTGTAGGGCTTGAATTTTTTTGTTTGCTGTTGTGTTAAGGCTCGATGACTATGAGTGGATTTTACAACACATACGTGTGGCAGTACCAGCTTAACCAGGTCCAGTATTGGATGCTGATGATGATGGCCAGTATAATGAAACGGATCGTCTCTATCAGGTATAACCCCATTTTCAAAATCTCTCTGGAAGCAGAAGCTTGCTTTTATATACCAACTCTCTGGCTGTCGTGTACGCGATCTCAGTCGCTTTCTATGCGTTCGTATACGTCACCTTTGATCTCAATCAAATTGTGCTGCCAGATAGAAGCGTTGCTACTGTTTGTTTTTGCGGCAGTGCGTTCACCCTTTGGCTGCGCAGTATATGTTTGTCTGCAGCCGTACTGTTTTGTGGGTCCTATGGGTTATGTGTTTCCACTGCTGAAACCTTGAGTATTTCTTTGAGCATTGGGTAGAACGGAAACATGGATGTGCTCGCAACTTCTTAATGGCTTCAAAGTATCGTTTTTCAGTACTTTGTACTCTTTTGGGCCTTTGAAAGGCCATTCGTTATTCTATTGTCCTAACATCTCTGTGCGTCTCTTCAGGCCCCATGCTGGCATTATGGTCTTAAAGTTTGACTCATCTCAGGCCCCTGGAATGGGTCTTGCTCGAGGGGTCCATGGCCCGGACAAAGCAGCGATTGATTCTCTGCAACGCCAAGTGGCTGCGAGCATCGAAGGAAAGCTGGATCGTTCTTTACAAAGGTTTTCAACTTTGCAGTTTGTGCAGGGTGTGCCAATGGCTGCTACTTCGGCCATGAGGCCAAATGTGTCTGTTACGGGGTACTTGGAACTTACGCATACTGGCACCTTTGTAGACCACGGCATCTTTGGTATGGACATGGAAACTGACACTCTAGAAGAGTTGAAAGAGAGGATGCGGCCTGGAAATCTCCTGGTGGATGTTTCACTCGTTGACCCCTGGACTTCAAAGCCCCCCAGTGAATGGCCTGACCCATTGCAGCGCGACGTCTTGGCTCTGACAGCGTACACCGCTACGCAGCTCCTTTGTGCCGAGATGCAGTGGGATCCATCCTTGGGCAATCTTGGGCGTGTTGAGGTTGTTTACTCCGGGTTTACAGATGTTTATGACTCAACGGGTGGCACGCAACAGGGAAAAGCCAAATTCGACCCGGATGTGCAAGTGTTGCTGCTACGCGACAATCAGAAATATGTTGAAGACGCGCAGGAAGAGGGCAGCAAAAAGAAAATTATAAGCCTGATGGCGCAGGAGCCTATGCAGTGGGTACAGAAGAGGGTTATAGATCCAGAGAGGATTCAGTGGAGAGGTGTTGCCAGGCTGTTGACAGACGGGCAAATGTACAGGAAGAACGCTTTTGGCATGGGATTGCCCCCGGCACTCCGCCGCAACGCGGAAGAACTCCTCAAACCCAACGTTGTCCTAATCCATATCGTTATTCAGGGTCTTGGGCACCTGAATGGCGATACTTTAGGCTTCGACATGACAGCTAGCGAAATGGCGAGCCGGCTCGTAAGACGCTGTCGCGGAATCTACGACCCCGTCCTCCTCAAAGCCGTAACCCCGTTTGTTAAGGTAAGCAACCAAGGTAGTACAAGTTTGCTGGATTTTGCCAGATGAACTGGAAACGAATGTAACTTTGGCTTCGGTTTTTCAAAAACCTTTCTTGTTTAGGTATCCGTTTGAACATATTCATTCGTTGTGTCCCGTTTTGCTGTTGCACAATTTTCAGGTGCAGGTAAAGAATGAACAGAAATGTGTCGGAGACATGCCAAAATGGGTGGTCTTAGTCGCGACCTCTGGTGTAGCCTTGTTCTTTATCATCTTAATTACTCTTTTGTTGTACCACGACAAGATCAAGCTTCCATGGTGGATAATGTGCATCTGTAGCAGTCGTGCACCGTGGGAAGAGTCATCTTCAGCCACTAGCTTTTCGAATGTTTTCACACCAGAGGTTCTAGACAAACCAAGTAAGTCCACCCGGGACATAATTGCATTTGCACCCCCAATAAAGGAAACTACATCTTCCCTCCCTTCTTAATCTATGTGGAGAGACAAGACTATGCGAGATTCGCCGGTCTCTGCCGAAAGGTGGCTTCTGCCCCTCGGGTGTACGTTTGTCCTAGCGGCAGATCCCGATTGCTACTGACCAATTCGTAAATGCCGCCATTAGTCCCGCACTACATCCTGGCAGGTGAATACGGGCATGCAATATGGCTATTCTCATCGCTGCCCGTCTCCTGTATCTTACCCGTTGTGCGTGGCACACGTATATGGCCTCGCCATACCCCCTGAACTAAGGAGGCGTAATACTTTAGGGGCGAACCCTTTACCTTTAATCTTTAGAAGCTTCTCCAGTGCAAAGCAAGCAATCGTAGATGTATAGAAAGCTACTAACCATAGGAGTGCCCGCAGCAGCCGAACCCAACGTTAGGCACAGGCCAACCACACGACGGGACAGGCACGGAAACAGCCTCCTGAAGTAGTGAGGAAAAGTAAGACGGAATACGCCTCACCTCACCGACAAGGGACTAACAACTCAAAAGGTACCCCGCGCTGAAAGGGCTAAGAACGCAAAGGCAGCAAAAGACACAAAAAAAAGGACTGTTGGCGCCGAAGCGCCCCAAAAATTGGGCTAAGATGCATTGTAATGCGGCAGGCACACGGCAATCTTTAGTAAAAGGCGAAAGATTGGTGCGTGCTGTGCCTGCCGCTGCATCACGATAGTACCTTCTTCACACAGCGCCCACCCTGTGGGGAGCTCAACGGCGAATAAGCAGACATAACAGGAGACCTTTACCAGTAGCTGCACTTTTTGTTAAGATATTGTAGAGTTTGCTGTGTTCTATTTGTGTAACAGACACTAAATGGCTAAATTATTGCTCGTTTTACATTGCATTGCAATTGTGCTCTTTCGCGCTTAGATTCGGCATGATTGCTACCACCGCCAGCGCTCTGTAAACGGGATGTACGAAGAAAAATGCGATCTCCCGAGATTAAACCCCTAATGGAATGTAGCAATTTAACTAATGTTTCTCCTAGTTCGTACCAGTCTAGAGCATAAAACGTGCTACTCTTAGAAGCGAACCGTGGCACCGTCTGCGGCGCATGGCAGAATTGTGTTGGACCTCCCACTGCGCGCTATTTTCTCATTCGTAACATCTGTACTATTCTCTTCTGAATAATCAACTGAGCCACAATATCACAGCATGCTTTAATCTGTAGCGGATTTCCCCAACCTCCCATGTCAGCCTCTCGTGCCTATCCTACAGTCATTCGTCTTCTGCGCGTGCTGACTTCGGTCCTTGCTTATTTCTTCATCAGAGCGGCACACATTAACCAAGCATAAACGAAACGTACAAAAAGAGGCATCCTCGACAGATGATTTCCTCGACTCTACGCTTATCTGCTGTCAAGACCTGGGGGTGAATCAATTGCACAAACAGTTCAAGGCGTTTCCGAAACGGTGTTTAGCACATTCATCTTTGCTACTTCGGGCGTCGGTGAAAAGATTATGGAGCAACGTCTATTCGTGGACTTCTTGTTGTTATTTGAATCTCTGCTGAATCCCACCATTTTCCGTGTACAAACTGTCTCCTTGCTACAAGCGCCTCTATGGGGAACGCGCGTGCTGACCATTGGCGCTGTATGCTGATGACTGGGAGTGGCTCGATCACTGGGATTTCTCAATATTCCGTATCAGACCACATATCTGTGCGTTAGTGGCGACTTGTCATCCACTACGCAAGGCCTAATTTTAGGCCCTAGTTTATAGCAGTGGAAAGAGAAAATTAAAGATACTACCGTCTGGCGTAAGAATGAATAGTCTCGCCAAAAAAGGTATTGCATGTGTGAGGAGACACCCTTTGACGCTGTGGCTAGATGCCCAGCGAATTATCTGTTCTTTCACCTTCACAGCATGAATATTTTGTGCTGATTCTGTATAGCTAACTACCAAGGGAGACGCTGCCGAAGAAGTCTTTCCACGACGTCAAAGCTGTGATTATTGTAATCTTCCTTATGGCTACATAGGCACGTATTTCCTCGTTCTCTTACGGACAGCTTGCTCGCATCCACGAGCTCTCAACCGGATAGGTATTGTTTTAAAAAGTCGCTACGTATCAATAAAAGCCAATTCAGTAAGAAAATCGGTACTGCGATATGGCATTTCGTCTGCCATTGTTCGAGAGACTTCCGCCAAAAGTTCCCTACTGCGCTCAGCCCTTTGCTTTGGTATTCTGCTATGACTGTACTGGTGGTTCCTACTCTTCTGGTACACTGTATGGGTCAGCATATCCTGTACTTCCATCATACAGAAATTCGGACTCCTCAAGAAAGTCGAAAGCTTCAGAAGAAAACACAGCTGGCTCGTCTGGAACATAGTCCTCTGCCGACTCACTCCTGGTTATCTGATCATCTACTTCGGCATCGTATATCTCCTCGTTGTCTGTAATAGTATAATTATTCTTTGTACCTTCACTGCTTGTAGCTGGTGGTTGTTCCAGGGCTTTGGCAACGATTTCCCTAACATTGTCTGAGAGCCCTTGTTCACCGAGGATTCTCTTGAGCTGGTTCGCCACCAGCTCCTGCCGTTCCGGGCCAAGCTTCCTCCACTGCAAAAACAACTTGGCCCCGCGAGCAGCAGCAAGAGGATTGAATTTATCAACCTACAGGGGTTAGAAACCAGCACGCGGCAAAAAATGGCAGTCATTAGACATTGTGGAGGCCTGAGCTGTGGGCTAAGGTAAACGGCTTTCGGTTCCCTTGCGGGGATTTTTCTAAAAATTATTGCAAGGTGCTACAAAAGGACACCAAATACTTCTTTGGTGGTAATGTTAATTGTTGGCATTCTGTGTATGCACAGTGTGCTCATCCTACCGTAAGTATTACATCAGCCAGAAGCTCATAGCCCTTTCCGTCGAGGCGATGGAAGTGCCTGTAGTTAAAATTTGCGAAAGTTAACACCAGCGAGCGAAACCTGTTTGGTTTGGTGTAAGAAAAAGAGGGATGTCGCAATAGTGCTGAGACCCTTTCAACCTCATCAGGGAGGTCGGACAGTGCTTGGGCTTTGAACCACTTGTCCAACACGAGGGCGTCACCTGAGCGTTCATAACGAAGGGGTGAAAATCAAGAGTAAACGCAGTAGAACGGCACAGGCTGACAAACATTGACACTCATAGCGACCAGACTAGGCAAGCACGGACAAGCAAATGTTCGCACTGCATTGCCCGGAAAAGGCGATTGTATTTTGCTTGCTAGAAACTGTCTATCTAGGAATCTACCCTACCCGCTTAGCCAAAGAACAAGTGGGCTTATGAATGCAAGCTTACCGTGTGCCTCATCGAAGAACCTGGAAAAGGCTGTTTCCCTTTCCGCCGTAGGCATACTGGCAAGCGCAAGTAGTGCCGAGTATTTGTCGCTCATGCATCTAGCGCTCGTGAAGTGCTGGAAGGCCCTCTCTGATGCCAATTGGTTCCTAGGCTCTGAGAGTAGAAGAAGCAGAGAATTTCTTAGTTTTCTTCTGCTGAACTCTTTTGGTGAAACTCCGTCTTCTTGGTTTTCAGGAATGGTCAGCTGAGTGTACAATGCAAGCATGTCCTCGTGCAAGACATTATACAAATCCATGCGCACAGACCGAAGTGCTCTGTACAAAGCCTCGGGGTCTAATGGCTTCAACTCAGCAGCCAAGGAGCTCCAATCTGGCAACTGGAGCATCATCGCCTGAAAGCGATACAGCATAGCAAACTTGAAAAACAGGAGGGAATCAAAGAAGGCCCAAAATCATGAACGGAGCATGGTTCAGCACCAGTAAATAGCAACACAAATTGTCCAAGTCTACTTGAGCAGCAGAAGCACGGCTGGACCATGCAACGAGATTGCTGCTGGAAGATACTGGACAAAAGAGGAACTTTTCACGCACGTGTATCGAGTCAGTAACAAGAAAACAGCCGGATATAAGGCAAACACGGTATATTGACACTCGCTTTGAGTTACGCTCAAGTCAAAATGCTGTAAGGCACCCTCCTGCATACAGCTATGCGTGCTTTCAGCGTTTCAATTAAATCAATTAGCAAAACATTGAATTAGTTATGAAGCCAAGAGGTGTAGAACGTCGATACTACGGTGTCAGAGTATTACTGCTCGTCAGTACAGGCAGATTTATTCCAACAAAGAGTAGAGGGGAAAGAAAGCATATGAAGCACCAATGGTGTGCATTTAAATGCACTGATGTATACGGGAAGCACGAGGCCCAGTGTAACGGTGAGCTGAGGAGATCGCATTATTTGTGGCACATTGCTCCATTATGCCAGTTTTTGTGGCTTCCCAACCTTGAGAGCGTGGTCCGTGGCCTGGTCCTGAAGAATCATTCTAAGAGCTTTAATATAATCTTCAGGCAATTCCTCGAACTTGTCTGCAGCCTCATCTGTTAGGGCTTGCCTTGTCCTTGAGAGAATAATTGGTGTAGCCAGGGCTCTTGCTGCCATCCACTTTGTAACTGGGTCGGTGTCATAGGCCAGCAAAAACGCCTTCTCCGCGAAAGTCTGTTGGGGGTAAATGAGTTTTACAGGAGCTGAAAAGTTCCGGAGAATGGAGGGGAGGCAGTCCTCATTAATGCCGCCTATTCTGAATTTCTGCTCATTTTCTGTCAATTCCAGCACCTGAACAGGCAGCAGAGGCGAGGAAACAGTGGGAACGGAGATACTGAGGGAGGTGGTTGCGCAAGCCAAGAAAAGGCGTGCTTCATCATATGCTCTTTCCCTTTCGCCGCTTTTCCGTGAGGCCTCTCGTGTGAAGGCTCGGTAGCAAGCGGAAAAATACAAAATGTTCATGTGGACATATCTATATATGCCGTTTTTAGCTCTAAACTGTCCACTGCCATTACCATTATGACGTAAGTGGAATGCGAGAGATGTGGAGGGGTGTAACGCAGTGAAGACCTCGCGTATCCTAAATACACTATCTATGAGGATTAGAGGCCGCAGTAGGGACAGGGGCATTGCGTCCTTAGATCTGTTGCCGGCCTGTATTCCGAGCTGTCATGCATACTACTTGCCCCCTGACACTTTAGCCGCTACCAGCCTCCCTGACCGGCAGGTACCCTTAAAAAGAGAACACGAATGCATTGACTGATTCAATGGTGCAGCTAATGAGCCGCTAAGTGGGTAGCTAAGAGCTTTTCTGTAGGTGTCGAGCTCTTCCTTACCATCGTGGGCTGTAACAAATCCCTTTTGCTCTCTTTGCCTATAAGTCCAAGTTTGATGGGAATCACTTGGGGTCTTTTCGTCTCTTGGCCGGGAGTCGGCGGAGTATGCTGTCTGAAACCGATCTCAAATACCTGATCTTCTGCATTGTACCGGGCGTGTGTCACTTCTAAGTGAGGAGTCCCGGCCTAAGAAAAAGAACATGGTGGAGGAAGGCCAGCGAGAAACCACAGAAGATGGCCGAATATAAGGGAGGATACATGGTGGTAAAGCACAGAAAAGAGACTTGATGTACGACAAGAAATTAACAAAGGCACAAGGGCCCCTCAGGGATCCCGGAAAAAAGAAGCGGGCCCTGCACTTGTTTGTCAGCATGCATTGAATATCTGACAGGGCGGGAGGCAAATGAGCATAAGGAGAAATGATGTCCTGGAGACAAAAGAAAGAATTTCGACCCTTCGTATCATCGAACTTTCAGTGCTTAGGTCATGGTCTTGTAAGGTTAAGTTAAAATTTTTAGAGGCATACTACATATCGTCTTAAAGCTGCCTATGTTCTAGGCGTCTCTACTCGCCGCCTCCCAAGGGTTGCCTGTGCTCCATACTTGCGAATACCAGAGTTCGAACTGCGAGAGGTCCACGTCGTTCGCGTCGGCCATGGCTGCCCTAAAGTCTTCACAGGTAGCTGCATGCCCGTCGTTCCGCTCAAAATACAAGTCCATTCCTTTCTTGAAGCCTGCGGGGCCCAATAGAGTCTGATACCTGCGAAGGGCGAAAGCTGAGTGAGCAGGAAAGGATCAGCAACGAGCGAGATGCGAGAACAGGCACCAGGTGTATACGGTATCAACAGCACACAGCAGAGTTTTTGAATCCAAGGCTCGACTTTGTCAGCTTCGCAGCAGCATCATCAGAGGATGAAGCTGAAAACGGAAGCCTTTTGGGCTTTCTCGGTGTATCTGCCTGTTCCTACTTCAAAGCCATGCAAATGGGCTAAAGCCATATATATGGCGACTCAAAAATTTTTTTTTGAGACGATCCGGTGGCTCATGACACTGAAAGGAATGCAGTGCCTAGGAAATCCAAAAGGACGAAGCGGAGGAAGAGGTGTCATGACATGAGCGAAGAAACAGGAATTATCATCAAAAGCGTGAAGAACATGCAGAGGCAGTAAAAGCGAGAAATGGAGGGAAGCAGGGAGGCTTACATGCGAACAACCTCCGCGCCCTTATCATAAACAGTGGAGGTGTAAAAGTTGTCTACGGCCATGTAACTCTCTGGCTGGATGGGGTGGGCCATGGGACCGGCGTCTTCGACAAACTGCTTGGATATTAGATTCTCGACATATTGAATTCTTTGCACGGCGGCAGACATAATGGACGCCATAAAGGATTGCTCCCGGAACACGGTCAACCCCTCTTTTAGCGTCAACTGAAACCAGTCGCTGGGGCATCAGCGACCGACAGTGCACGCAGCAGATAGAAACTCCTCGAACCGCCGCTAGTAGAAAGGTGTGCCTGCCCCTACAGTGCAAAGACCGCTGGCTTCAATGAGGGTCCGTGGGTTACGGTGGAAAGAAACATGTAGAGGGAATTCGAGAAGTACCGAACAGTCACGCGATCACCAGTCCAGTTGTGGAAGTACTCATGACCAATCACCGCCAACACCCGCTCAAAGTCTCTGTCTGAATGAGACGCAATCAGAATCATAGGCACAAGCAGACACGGTAAAGCCAGGGGACACTTCCTGCATGAAAAATCACAGAAATTAATACTGTGGCTGCAAAACAGTGCTGCCGTTAGCACTGGGAGCAGACCAAACCCTGCTGCACAAGCCTTTGGAGGGATGATTTAAGCAAACTGTGGCACAGAACGAGGCAAATCGGTCTAATGTTTTTGCAAGGGCTCTGCCTTCCCCATTTTTGCACTTCTCGACCTCCGCCTATGTGTCACCTGTAGCTGTCTTGATATCAGCAAGAAGCATTGAACAGTTGAAGATGTTCAACCCCTTGTTTTCCATGGCACCCGCATTGAATTCAGAGACGCATGCGACGTTAAACTCGTCGAGATCGTATTCCCTGTCGTACGTTTCTTCGTCCCACTTCATGGACAGCTTCACGCTTTCCATTGCCCAGGATAACTTGGACAGCTGACCGGGCTCGCTATACACTGCAAGGGCCACCTCGTTCCCGCTCTGGAAGCATGAGCACGCGTTGGCGGAGACAAGGATGGCGTATGAGTTCGAAGCAGGAAAAAGATGGAGAGCGAGCGAAAATGGATAGTTTAAAGCAACTGTCAAGGAATTGACGAAGGCTACAAGCTGCTAGAGCAGAGACAGGGCGAAAGTGTGGCGGGGGGCGCAAAACATCGCTCCTGGGGTTTTGCGTTTGGGAACAGAGTTGTTAGCTTCTAGATGACGCAACTGAGGGAAGACATCTGACCTTGGTGGTAAAGGTGTCGGTAACGGATGCGAATGGGCCCGCCAAGATAGCAAAGAGATAAGATGGTTTGGGGTGAGGGTCCTCGAACAGAACAAAATGCCTATTAGAGTCCCCAGAAAGCGATCCCTCATCAATCTTATTCCCGTTGCTAAGCAGCACTGGGTACTTCGTTCGGTCTGCCTCGAGGCGAACCTGAAGCAACAAGAAGATGAAAAATTCGCTAGAGCCTCTTGGCGGGGTACAGAAGTGCAAAAGAAGTAGCACGTATTTACCCATGCAGTGTCGCCCCATTAAAATTTCATATATCGAGGTGGCAGCATCCTTTAAAAGAAATATGCACGGCTGCCCTCCCATTGCCTGAGCAAGTTAGGCGTACTTTCATATAACTGTACATAGATGATGGGAAGCGCCACTGCCATCTAAATTCACTGAGGGTTGCTACGAGTGCATATCGACTGCTTCCACATACGTATATATATATTTGCAAAAGGAGGCCTCTCGTGAATGCGAAGATGGATTCGCTCTTCCTGCATCATGTGCTCTTACCCGTGCCAAGCAGACAAATCACACACGGCAGATGGCAGGCACACAATCCCCTGCATCGGATAACACCACGGCAATAAGGACATAAGGGCTCACTTTATACTTGGCCTGCACATCGGGTCTGTCCAAGGAGAAGGTGATTCTCCTGAAGCCCTCAGCCTCGCACTGCGTGACAAGAGCGTCTCCCGAAACGTACAAGCCGCTCAGCTTTAAGTTAAGATTGGGGTGTATCAACACTCGAGTTTTAACTTCGAAGCGCTCTCCAGCCTTTGCGGGGAGCACCGATTTGCTGATGACCAAACTGCCGTCTTTAAGGAGATGGTAGCCGCGCCGTGCGTTTGCCTGCTCCTCTTCTCCCTCATGCGAGTCCACCTCCGCTATCTCCTCCCCATTGACACGTAAAGACAAAAGCTCCAAATTTTCTCCATCCAGTAGCAAGTCAGAAGAAGGTACTCTTTCAGCGCGTCTCATAAGCATCGTCCCGGTCACCTGAGCACGTGGCACAAACCCCACGGAACTGAAGTGTGGCCTCAACCTTGCAGCTCGAAGCCTACTCGAGCTACTGAGAATGGCAAATCTTCGGAAGTGTGTAATTAGTTACTGTCTGACAATGGTGATAGAAGGGTCCAAGACGAAGTGTAGGTCCATGTTGTCCACGAGGAAGGCTGAGGGCTTGTATTCATCCCTAAATTTTTCTCCTGGCCTGCCCCTTGCGGGTGTCTCAGGCAGTGGGCGAGTGCCTGGCTCTGTTTCCTCACTGGGGGCGTCTGCCACGGATGCGCTATCCGGCAAGGAGCCGTCTTCTCGAGATATTTGATCTTCTGCTGCTACGGCTTCATTGGAAGCATTCTCCCGGAGTGTCTGATTCCTTGTCGCAAGGTCGTCAACGTCTTCACCGAGTGTTGGCAAATGGCCATCTCCCCCGGGACTTACCCCCTCTGTAGACGATTCTGAAGCCAGTGCTGCCTGAAAATGGGGTAACTGAGAGTACCAAGGCTGAGGAGCTTTCGAAAGCTCAGAAGACGCCCCGTCAGCCACCACTCCCCCTCGGCGCCATGAACGAGGGAAGGCAGGGTTTAGCAGAGAAATGAGCAAGGGAGAAACCGACAGGTCAGCCGTAGAAGCCGACGCTGCACTGTTCTCTGTGGAAAGAGGAACTGCAACAAGCCAACAGATGAAGAAGAGGACGGAACAGACTGAAATGAAATAACTCGTGGGCAACTTCAAAAATCAGGGGCTATCATGGGGGGGTGAAGGGATAGGGGGCAGGAGCACCGCTCTTTTGCATGCTAAATTTAGAAGGAAATGACCTCAAACTTGTCAGATAAAAGCAAAATCATGCGGTTTCTAAGTACCAGAAAACGAAGACGTTCACAGCACGAGGTTGCAGCGGCATCCTCAGTGTCCTCGGCCTACGTCCCTTTAGCCATCGTATTCAAATTACGTTGGTGCTTTTTAGACGTCAAGGGAAATGACTCACAGGAGTTCGCAGTCTGGCAGATTTTATAGGAAAGGAAGGGGGCGGTGATCGTGGCGAGGCGCGCGACAGCAGAAACACGCATTTTCAGTATTAGTAGTAATAGAATGACGCAGAGGGGTGAAATGCGACTAAAGAAGGCGACAAATTATCTAATAAAGAATACTTATGATATTTCTTTCTCCTGTGTCGGGCGGCAAAAAATAAAACTCCGGATGCCAGTTTGGGGGAGAGAGCAATACCACTGGTCACTCACGACCCAGTCACCCGCCTCAGGGGGGAGATTGCTCCGGTGAGTATCCACCAACAAATGAAACAACTACAAATTACCACTTTTCTACTGACTTTTGAGAACGAATGGCGATTTTTGTGCCTCTTGGGACGTGTATAGGAAAAAATAGTGGAAAGACGGCCACAAGTGTGGTAGAGCCCGCTAGTATAAAGTTCTCTATCGACGGAGCGCTTTGTGCGTAGAATAGGACGTGCGCACAGATAGATATGCCAAGATTTAACAAATAAGGGAAGAGCATTGGAAGAAGACGAAAACAGTGGTACCTGGACTTGCTGCATTCGATGCTCGAGCGAAGTGCACAAACACTGGCGAAGCACCTTTAATTCGAGCTGCATCACTCTGTATGTGCATAGCAGTTTTTTTCTACTCCCGTGCCCCGTCCTGATCTGTGCCCGTGTTTACTCTAGCCCTTTTCAGTGGGCAGATAGAGTGCAGCCCCTCGATTCGTCACGCGTTTGTAACTGCGTCTAGAGATGAACGATACTACAGGATTAGCAAGCTCGAAGTCGAAAAAGTAGCAGTATGAAAGGCAGGTGGGAAGATAATCCACGCTGGGCCTCTGAGCCCTCGCAGTTTCTTCCAGTAGACGATGAAGAAGAGTTGCACACAAACAAGACTGCACAAGGGGGAGATAGAAGCTGGCTCACCTGTCATTGTCTGTATCCCTAATAGCTCCAGTTGTTCTATGTGAAACGGTGTTTTATAAATGCGTAGCTCCAGCAACGTTTTTCTTTAAATGGGTGAGTCGCCTCCGCAGCTTATGCTGTGAACCATAAACGTCTATTTTTTTGCACTCCAAGTACTGGGTTCTACACTACAATAGACTCCAGAGACACGTATGCAGAGCTGCAGATCCTTCTTTATCCTGTCAAGGAGCAGTATCTAAATGGCTTTAATCCATGGCTCCCTCCCTGAGATACAAAACTGGAGTTCATCGTTTCGTTGAATAGGATTGACCTTCTGTCTAGGCGACGTTTTCAAATACAAAGTACATGGGTTAGCTGCAGTTTGCCATGGGACGTAAAGCACTGCTTGAAAAACTACAATTAGCTCTTCTGGAGGGTAAGGCCCGCTGGGGTTATGCCGCCCTGCAAAAGTTGCCATACCAACTACCGTTTAAGCGTTCTGCTGCCCATCGCGTTTGGATTGATATTCTCAACGCAATTGTACGTCCAAGGTCCTTCACAGAGCGTGCTGCGCCTCCTTGAGCCCGCATCGAGCAGCGTGGGAGTGGACGGTTGTGATTCATGATTTGCCGTCATGTCGGCGGCGAGGCATCCGTGCCTTCAATATCTAGTAGATGCGCCGCTGCAATGCCAGACAAACATAGTGGGCAGAGAAAACAATCAAGGGTGATTGCCAGCCACCGGACACTGTAGAGCTAAAAGCAAACGCCTTAAAGTCTTCATGAACAGCCCCTCCTTACGACACCTGTAAAAGTCCTTTTGGGCACTCTTGGGCCACCATTCGCCTACCTGTGAGCGATCTAATTACAGTTTGCCCCTTCTCGGCCAAGATTGTCTCTATATCGCTCTCTTCGTCTCCGAACCATTTCAAACGATCAGCTACCAAGTGCACTGAAGCCCACATCGCACATCACAGCCCTGTGTAACTCTAGCGCTCACATTGACAAAGTACCGCGGGGCGAAGCCGTTTCCTCTACAGCCCCCTGTATTTCACCTAGCAAGCAGAGAAGGGCAGGACGTTTCAGATCGTCAGATGGGAAAGAAGCCACATACGGTTTCTGCAGCCGGGACATCGAACGATTACCACTCCCTGCATATATGCAACCTACAGGTAAAACACAGAGCCACCCTAGCAGCCGTTGCTTCCAATGAGTTTTACCATATCGCTGAGTCTTCTTTAGCAACAAGAGCAACGACACTACGACAGCAGCAACAACAGAAGCAATCACAGATGGCGCACCTTTGAGAATTTCTTAGCTGATCGGGTGTTGCACTTGCAGCAGGTGAAAACCAGCGCAAGCAAGCCGTCCCTGGCGTTTTCCGTCCCTGGAACTCGAGACAAGTCGCACCTTACGAAGGGGCCCCCTGGGGTCCCCTCTGCCTCGTTGCCTGACGGCACTGCCGTCGGTAGGGAGCTCTCTGGGGCAGGCGACGCACTAGCGGATTCCTTGAAGGGCTCAGAGGCCTCCGTGCTAATATAACGCTGCCAACGGGCCTTAAAATGAAGGCAAGGAGGGAGAGCCGGCTCTGAGCTCGATGCGGCTGGTGGTGCACCGAAGAGCAGCCTCTGGGCATTGTGCTGTATTGCTTCTGTTCCTTTTCCTTCCGTACGTAGCACGTCGCGGCTGAGACTTGAAGCTCCTTGTTCCTCATATGCCCTCTTTAGGGCGAGGAAAGGCCTCCTTGGGGTGCCTTCGTAGGCGGGTGAGGGCCCCCTAAGGGGCGCCTGCGGGCGCCCAGCGGCTGCCAGCCGCTGGCAGCCGCTTGGCACGTCGTATAAGACAAACCGCGTCTCAGCCTGAGATCTAGAGAGGCCCCGACTTGCCTTGATGACCCTTCGAAAATGCCGTGGCCCCGGGATACCGGGAACCCTGCAGAGCATCGCGGCGGGGCAATTGTAAAACCAGGCAGTACAAAAGTAGTCTGATGAGTAAAAGTATCCAGGAATTAAACTATAATAAAATTAAAAGTAAAAAGAAAATAGACCTTGAACGGAGCGCCTTGGGATGTTCTGACAGAGAGAGGACATCCGGAAACTAGGATGAGGCCCAAGGGCCCAGACGATCTCTTTACGTTTTGTTTCTTCGGTGATTCTGTATTCCTTCCACTAACATGAAGATACAAATGGAACAAGAGCACTTGAATGATAGATCGGGATCTTAGATGGACACGTCTTCTACGCTTTTTCGCGCATATCTCTCTCCTGCTTTTGGGGGCAGTAGGTGACCTGAACAGGTGTGGAGTTTTCGTTATTAGAATCAGTCCCCTAGGCAGGCTGCTTGCAAAAAGTTCGCTGTAGCTGTATCAGCGGCAAGCGTGCATCTAGTGCATTGCTTAAGGTGTTCTTGCCCTTTCGGTCCCGTTGAACCTGACTGGCCATGGGGGCACTTGCGACAGCACCTAAAGTGAGCAGTACGCAGCACAAAATACCCCCAAGTATGTGGGACAGGCAGCGAAGTGGAGCAGAATAGTACGCCGCGGATTCATGCCAAGAAATGAAGCTTGCAGCTTGTAGGCTGCCTGGGTATGCTTTCTAAATCCAAGTTTCCTGATCTGTGTGGTAAGCCTGCGAGGCAAATAACAGCCTGAAAACTGATGGTCTGTTGTCTCTTATAGGAGTCATCATCTCTTTACCCAGGGAACACTAACCCATGCTGCCTTGAGGCTGCAGCGGTCTAGGCATTTGCAGAACAGCACTGGCGAGGGGCAGCTCGCAGGCTTACCAGACCATTCGGCGCAGTATAGCACTCAGTTTCTCGATATGCACGTATACAGCAGAGGCTTGATGCCAGAGTCGATGCAGCACTAATGTTCCAAGCAGGAATTATCGGTCCTTCTAGAATCTCCGGACGGAGAGCTTTAGGTATAACGCCACGTAGTTGATTAAAATAAAATAACTTTTCAAAAGGGCTTTCCTGTCTTCTTACCCCTACCCCGCATGACTTCACGATGAGGGGAGGGCAACCAGCGGGGATGCCTGGCAATCTTCGCCCTGGATACACGTATTAGCACTCTGACGCTCCATGCAACAAAACGAGCAAGCAGGCGCCATTCACTCCGAAGCTATGGAGGTGGCCCAACGGTGCAGTAAATAGCATCTACATGCAGACAAAATAGTTAACCAACATGTAACTACGTGCCAATACACTGAAGATAGTCCAATGAAGTGTTGAAGTGTACGCTGGCCCTCGGAACACGACAGTGCATTGTCGATAAAGCCACGCTGTAGACTAAGGTATAGCTAACACCATCATAACGGAGCTTAATGACGCCAGAACAATGGAGCCTAATCAAGTACAGTCCCTCTTGGGGGAAGTGTGAAGCCCTTTGCCTAAGGCACAGATCCGGATTGTCTGTTTAGGCTTGAGCGTGGGGGAGGGAGCGAGGAGGAGCTAGGGAGGAGACCTTAAGCCCCATTTAGCGGGACTGGAGATAGCTGTGGCTATATGCAACGCTACTCTAGCCACAAGTTAAGGATTTGAATCTATTGTACACAACAACCCACCGATTTCTGTACATATGGCGTTGTCGCTCTTCGGTAGCATTTTGTCTCTGCTTCTGTTTCAGCCTATGGTATTTTGCATCCGCATAGTAGCCATCTTAACGCCCCATGGTGCCGCACCTGCTTGCATGAAGGTGCGATAGGGCTACCCCTGCACGCCGTTGGGGTCAGCCGCTCTTTCACACTGCGGTACGAGTGCCGCATGGACTCACCAAAGGGACCCCGCTAACTGGGACAAGCTGTTGGGCCATTTCAGTCAGCTATCCAGAGGGCCTCAGAGGGGGGCAGTCGGGCTGGAATTCACACTCGGGAGGCGTACGCGTGCAATGAAAGTGCGGAGGGCAAAAGACAGAGCGGTTTCCAGAAGCTCAGTGCCCCGGACGACATGTACAGCTGAGAAGTAGCCTGCAAGGGTGAGGGGCGCTCTTCTGTGAAATTTGCTGATATTGAGAGAGCCCTGCGTTATATGCAACGGAGCTGGAGCACTTGCATTATTCATACGCTAATTATCCTCTACAACTCGTTGGGGCTTTGCTTGAGATGAATAAAAATGGCACCGGCTTCAGGATGCAGGACATACAACTTCCCCGCTGCAGGGCCATCCGAAGCTCCTGTAATTTGGTGGGCACTGCGCGCTGCAAGCCAGTAAAGCCCACCAAAACGCCATTCGGCTCTGTGAAGGCCTTATTGTGCCTTCAAGGTAAAAGTTGGGGATCAAAGAACTTGGCTTCACACCGGGGGATCCTTACTTGGTGGCAGATCAACTAGGCAGGCATACGCAGTCTTAACACCATTTTTGTCCCTTCCTGGTAAAGTGGAGAAAGAGGAAACACGATTGACCATGAGGGTTACACACTGAATAGTTCAAGAGCACAACATATAGCAATAGCTTTTGTGGCCCCAAGGCCATGTTTGGTCTTATTCTACAATGATTTTGCAACAAGCATTGCAGCGCACTAGAGCTTCGATAGGCGTTTAAGCCTTAAGTTGTAATTTTTATGTTTATTCTTTTTTCAGCTTCAAGTTGGCACCGTGTTTCCTCTGGCGTCTGTGTGCAAACTGTTCGCAAGATTATTTAGCATTCGTGGTGCTTTTGTGGCTCGACGTTGGATGGTTAAGCTACATTGAAGCGCTTTGTATTGTAGTGGCTATGTTAATTGTGATTTCGTCAAGCTCTGGCTGATGGATGTAGGTGTTTTCTGTCTCACATGTAGCAGAGAGGGAAGAATCCAAGCTAGAAAAGCATGTGCGCCGTGCTCGTCTAGTAAATAAGAAGATGCATTTGGCCGCAAGTGTCCGGAGTCATAAGAGTGTGCCTACCGCTGCTGCCGGGCAGCTCTTGGAAGCGACAGGTCCTAGCTAATAGCCACTGTCACACGGCGTGCTCTTGGTCTCAAGCTAAAATATCAATTTTTTCCTCTTGAGATTCGGTTATCCTCTTGCATGGTGGCGGACAGTTCGCATTTGATGCAAGGAGCTTTGTTTAAGGCTTGATGGAAAGTCGAGTGCTGTTTTTCATGAATCGGGTGATTTCTTAGGCCGGAAAGCTTAGTTGCATGCTCTATGGAGCTCATTGGAAAGGCGAAGCAACTGTGGGTAAATGCTAGGAAAGCGGAAATGGAAAGAGCTACATGCTTCGTGGCATTGTCTAACTTCCTGTGCCTAGGGTCCGTTTGGCTTAGGGAACGAGGCCGGAGGGCATCCCTTGTATTCCAGAAATTAGCTATCTGAAAGGCTTCATATGGCTTTTGAGAGTAGGCCTCCATGCGGACACCCTCCAGGGTTCTATCTTTTCTCTGTTGGGGGTCAACTTTGCCGTATTTCATCCGTCCAGGAGGCTCATAGGCCAATAAGTAGCAAGAGTACATAATTAAAAATTGTTAATAGCTTCTAAAAGGCAATATGGTGTAGGTACGGATCACAGGCTAATTGTATAACAAGTAATTCCCGGTGTGGGTTGATATTATTGTAACAGCCTAAAGTACGTGGGAGTTAAGGCGTACGCACATCTGATCCCATCTGTTTATATTAAAATTCAATGTAAAAGCATTTAGATGTGCAGGGTGAAGCTGGGAAAATGTGATAATATGCACGCTTCGATGCAAAACTCCAGTGGCCGGTACGCGCGACTGTCCAGTGGTGCGTATGCCTTCGCCCTTCAGTGTGTATAAGCGCTAACTGCAAACCTCAGGGTAAAACCCCTTTCCATTGAGCTTTGACACTTGTAGAATAAATCAATAATTTGTTTCTTCTGTTCCGTATTTCGCCCTGGGATATGACGCATTGCAGCTCGGACGGAGACAGGCAGTACAGACATGTGGTCAATGCCCTTTCGTATTGAATCATTGAAGCGTTTCCCCATGTCTCATAATATGACTGTCCCTCGGTATTAAAGCCTTCCCTTTAGGGGGAGTAGCGCCATGGAGCATCCGTCTCGGAGCAAAGGCTCCCCCGTAGGGGCGCCAGGGGACGCCGATTCGGGGGCCTCCATATGGCCGGATGAACCTTCGAAGGCAGAAAAGGGGCCCTCTCTTGAGGCGTCCTATGATGCCTCTGGGTGGTGGAACAGGTTGTTTTTCTGCTGGGTCAACCCTGTGCACATGCGGTGCATTGGCGGCTCAGTGGCTCCTAAGGAATTGCCGCGTCTGTGGGCAGGAGATATAGGGGAAATTAAGAGGGAGGCACTAGATAAGGCAATCCAAAAGGAAGAGCTCACAAAGATAAGACCATCGATCCTCAGGGCCACCCTAAGTGTGTTCTGGGCACCAATCTGCATTGCTTTTGCTTGGACAGCGGTCAGAGAAGTCCTTAATTTCGCCAACACGCTCCTTCTCAAGGAATTTCTCAGAAACGATAGCGCACAATGGCAAGATTCATGGCATCAGGGTAAGGCTAGCGTTTCCTCGTGAATGCCTGCCTTAGATATCCTTCAGGTGCATTTTCATGGGGTCCTCTTGGCCTAAATGCGGGGCCACCAACCTTTAGAAGGCGATGTACAGGACGACATTCTTTATTAGAGTTGCGCCAAAGGGTCCATTTGCCTTGAGATTGCTGACACTGTCCTGTTTCATGGGCGCGCTTGTAGCAGGCCTGAAGGGTCCAGATTGGCTGTCATTCATCTGCGAAAAGGTGGTTTTGAAAGCCAGTAGAAGATTAACACATACACAAAGCTGCATCTTGTTTCTGTATCACCTGTTTTGTTTGCAGGCCTCATCGCGGCTGGCGCTTTAGCTGCGGTTCAGCTGCTGCTTGTTTTCATGAACAGTCACTTGGACTTTTTCATTTGTCGCATATCCATTAGAGTCGAGGCGGCATTGCTTACTTCGCTATATAAGCGGATTCTGAATGCCGAGGCTCTTGGCTTTGCTGCGGTGACCATCAAAAGCTTAGCGGCGAGAAGAAAAGCACCTGAATGCTCAGGAGATGATATAGGGACTAGCCAGACAGCTAGGCAGGCAGCTGGACCGGGAGGACCCAGAGAAGTCACAAGCCGAAAAGGTGCAATCTTTAGTATCGTTTTCGTCGACATTCCGTCGATTGCAGAAATGGTAGTAACATTTGTGGACTTTGCGCTACTCCCAGTGAGAATTGCGTTAACGGCAACAATTCTTGTCATCCAGGTACTGCATTTTGATACATTTTAGGTCTTGGGAGCTAAAAATAAGTTCTAGCGGTTTCTTGCCTATGAATTTGAGCAAGCAACTAAACCTAAGGGCAATGGATTGGAGCAGACGACTACTGACTGCTTTTAAAATGCTTCTTGAGTACAACCAGGGGGGCCGCCTGCTCGCAAGCCTCGAAAAGAAGTGTTTCCGTCGATCATCCGTATTTGCCGTTGCTGCGTCCGGTTGTATGGACCACAGGTTGGATCATCGTGCATACCTGCAATCTTAGCTCTACTTGGAATTGTCTTCTGTGCCGTCGCTTCCGAGGCGTTCAGCAGCAGCCTCAAACTCCATTTTCTAGTGCGCCTTTCTTGACTGTAGACGAATACTCCCAAAGGCCTAGTTTCAAACTTCTTAATCAGTTGACTTGTGTGCAAGACTTAAATACCCTATGGCCCGCTTTCATAGTAGTTCGACAAATTCTTAATGATGCAGATCAAACATAGCTGTCATGAAGCACACACAGACAAATGCGTGTAAGAATCTGTATCTGTGCAGCGATATAAAACTGTGTACATACAGATATTTATGAACGTATTAGTCAGTATTTGCGTCTCCGTACACATGCAAATGCATACTCATTTGCGTAGCCACCTCAAGCAGCAAAGTCGCGCCCCCAGGCCATGTTGACCATGTCTGGTTCGCTGCTGTATGTGAAATCCACACCTGTCCTGTATTCTCAGAAGAAGCGCGACACTCGTCTGCAACGCTGCCATGAATGTTTAACTGAAATGCGGTCTCTGAGGCTGCTTGGGTGGGAAGACATTGCGGAAGATATCGTAAACAAGCAAAGAGTGGAGGAGCTGCGATGGTGTTCCATCCGCATGTACTTATCAGGATTCAGCTACTGGCTGACCTCCATTGCTGGTGGGGCGCTCAAGGAAATTCCTAAACAAGTAGAGGCTTTAGCAGCAGGAACGGCCGTTGCTGCTAGTGCTGGGCACTTGAAAAGCTGCTTAACCTGAAACCGGATTTCGCATGGAGACAGACAAATGTCTCGAAGCTTCTTGCTTGTTTTTAAGGAAGCAATCAGCTTCCTCATCCTTTTTTGCGGCGCCGATGACTGCTCTGTTGATTGTCACAGGGCCTGTAACATCCGTCGCAACTTTCGCCGCATATGCCATTCCGTTTATTCAAGGGCGAGCTGGAGTAAGTCAGCAGCACCTTTTGAGGTGCCGTACAAGCTGCACCGCGAGTAACTGAGTACTTCACCTAACACGGCATCTAAAGTTTGTTGTTGGATTTTATTTCTTTCCGCGGTGTTACGTTACAGGCACTCACTATAAGTCCAGCTTTAGTGGTTCCTGTGATTCATGCAATGGATAACTGCATCGGCCCTCTTGCCGATCTACCATACACCATATCGTCTCTCATTGAAGGGCAGATCTCTCTAAACAGAATACGCTCCTACCTCTTCCGCCCAGAATACTTAGCAGCACGAAGTTCACCAGAAAAAACTGCTGAGTCTGCTGAAACAAAAAGTAGACAACAGCAAAAACTGGAGGAAGAGCCATTGCTGACGGCTCAAAAGGCAGAAGACAGCATCCAAACGGAACCAAAATCGGGAGTATCATTGGTCACAAGCCAGGAGCTCATGGATATGGCGCAGAAAATGCTTCAGTAGGGACTACCCAGTGCTTTAGTACGGCCGTTTTTGCTATAGAGGTTGGGCAGTTCACTCAAGATGATCCCATGAATTGATGTACGTCTCTTCATTTCCTTGAATATCATGCATATTGTGCATGCCTTTGCTGTGCAGAGCCATACATGATCCGACGCTTAAAGTCCGCTTCTTGGATGCCTCGTTTTCTTGGCTCCCTGTCCTTTCCACCCCTGGGGTGTCAGCTGCACCGGAGAGACCCCGGAAGGGCCTCTATCCGGTCCTTCTCAGCTACGAACATGATGAGCAAAGCATGCATACAACTTTTTCGCTCGATAAGATCACCCTGGACCTCCATTGTGGTGAAGTTCTCCTGGTTACAGGGCCTCCAGGGAGCGGAAAGACGACGCTAGTTAGCGCCATCTTGCACAGGGAAGGCCTGCGGCTGAGCGGTGGCGCATGCTACGTGCGCGACAGCTTTGTTCTGGACAAGAAGCAGAGAGAGCTAATGGATGCAGGCAGCACCAAATTTGACGTTTATGAGTGCACACTGGATCGACCGCCTGTTGGATATGTTCCGCAAGAAGCGTGGCTTTGCTGTGGTACAGTGAGAGAAAATATTGTTTTTGGAGAGGCTTTCAACTCTGAGACGTACAACGCCGTAGTAAACGCATGCGAGCTGACAAAGGATTTCGAATCATGGCGTCATGGCGATCTCCGGGTCATTGATGAAGGCGGGTTGGACCTTAGCGGTGGGCAGAGGGTCCGTGTGAACATAGCAAGAGCCGTTTACAGCTGCAAGCTGTATCAGATGAAGGTTGCAGCTTTAGGGAGCGAAGCAAAAGCTCATCTTCACAGCAAGCAAGAAGATCTCTCTGAATGCCTCTGGTCGGAGGTGTCTAGGCAGCTCGACGGTAGTGAGGGATACGAAGAGTTTAAGAGAGTTGCTGGCAGTTCCCCTCCATATCCAGAAACCCCCTCCTTGGGTTGCTTATCCTGCTTCGATGAGTGCTTTAATAGCCTCGATTTGTCTGTAGCCGGTCATGTCTTTCATAATCTTTTTGGTCCCCATGGGCTCTTGGCAGACTGTGCAGTGTTAGTATGTCTGAACGACAGCTCCCTCATGGGCCTCATGCGGCAGCATGCAGGCCAGCACAGCTTCGACGAGTTGCACAGGCAGTATCATACAGCAAAACCAGACACAGAAATCGGTTCGGAGGCGGGAACTGATGGGCTCATGCAGTTTTCAGTCTGCCGCTTAATTCAAGGAGAGATCACATGGAGAGGAGGAATCGACGAACTCAGGGAACTGGTAGGCGGAAAGGAATTGCCGATGAAAGAGGACGCAAGGACGCATATGGAAACAATTGAGAACCTAATGGCAGGGCATGAGTTTAGCAGGAAAGAAGATGAAAGTACGCGCGAAACCCACCAGGATGAGGTTTCCCCTGTCAAAGTGAACCAAGAAGCTTATGGATCACCCCGCTCGCTTGCCATTACTGAACAGTTATCAAGCGGCCAAGTGCACGCCGCATCGTACTGCTGGTTCGTTTCTAGATTCCTGTATTTTCCTGTATGAGCTATGCAAGCAAACGGAGCTTTTTTGCGGTTTCCTGTAGGCTCTAAAAGCGTATCTTTCTCTTCGAATATATTCACTAATCAGAAAACACTTGCCTTCACGTAGTGAGCACTGAACTGCAAGAATCGATCACTTGCTGTATGCTTTGTGGACGCCAAACAGGTACCTGAAAAACACGGGAAGGTGCCTAGCACTTTTATTTTTTGTTGTTCTCATATGCGGCTGCCTTTCTGACATGGCTAGCGATCTGTGGCTAGCAAAGTGGGCCTCCTTGGATTCACCAGCCAGTCACCAAGAAAACACCACGTCCATCCCCTTAGACGGAATCGTGGGAAAAGACAGCAGCATGCGCTCTGTCCACGGATACTTCCTGTGGATGTTTATAGGGTAAGAGAGTGATTAGCCCAAACGAGCTCGAGATACACTAGGTCGCACGAAAATAACGTTTCTTTCTGATTTCTATCGAGTTTTGGAGCAGCCCCTTGCATATGTGCAGGTGCAACGATATACCCAGCGTCTCCTTTTTTCTGATACTATGATATTCCGCAGCATTGTTTCTGTAAATATCGCTTTCGAGCTAAGCGATAAAGCTGTTGCTGCCGCGGGCTCCTTGAAGGCCTCAACCATCATGCATCAAAGATTATGGACTGGAGTGTGCAACGCGCCCCTGTGGTTTTATGACCACAACCCCATCGGCCGGATCTTGAACAGGTTTTCTGCCGATATTGCAGTGGTCGACTGCGGAATTTTTAGACGCATTGGATACACTTTCACGACTGCCATCTCATGTATTTTTTGTGTGGGTTTTCTTCCGTACACGGAGTAGATATTCGTGCCAGAACACACCGCCGCTTATCTTCTCCAGATAAAGCAAATATACATCACAGAACTTACAGTGCCCCGTCCTTTTTGCAAGGCCCCCTTTAATTTCTTTTCCCGATGCTTTAAACCGTGCCTCTATTTGAGAAAGTCCAACGTTTATCCAAGCCATCCATATACATATACCAGACGCCAACAATTAATAGCATGAGAGCTCGCTCATCCGTTCTGATCTTCAAATATTACCTTGCAAAGCGTCTTTTCTTCTTGCTGGTGTTCTTCAGGCTATTGTATTGAACCTGGCTTGCCCATGGGCGGTATTTGTTTGGCCAGCTGTTCTGGCTGGAGTGTACCTGCTGGTCTTCCGATATTTTAGAAGCTCTTCGCGTGAAGTGCAAAGGGCTTCCCTCGTATCGTTTTCGCCACTATGTTCCTGTTTTAGCGAGCTTCTTAGCGGACGCGAAGTCATTTCCGCTCTTCGAAAGCAAAAGTACTTCATCAGGGACATGACGCATCACCTCGAATTATGCCAGAGAACAAAACAAACGCAGTGGGGGTAAGAGCAGCGGATGTACAACTGATATGAGCTGAATTCGGGACCTAAAGCCTGATCTTTATACCACTAATGTCTGTTCAATGCTAACTGGTACTGCTGGCAGGCATCTCCCCTTTATCCTTGTTGAGACGCTCGCTACAGGCTGCTTCTGCCTTCTCGAGCGCATAAAATGTTTTGGGTCGATTCCAACGGCTCTCGATGCCAAACAGATGTAGTTGTACCCGCACTGGAACATAAGAACAGCTGAAAGTTGTACCGCGTATATCGTGTGCATGCGCGAATTGTGCGCAGGGTCAATTCCTGGTCCAACATTCGCCTCCAGCTTTTGCTGCTGCCTGTGGTTGTCCTGAATTCCGCTTTACCGCGCCTGCTTAGCTACTCAAACGGCGCTGTACCCGGCCCCAGTGGACACGCACCTGCTAAACAAGCAAACCTAGGGCTGATAGGGTTAGCCGTTTCATATTCGCTTTCACTTGCAGGAGCCCTCCGCAGGTTCCTATTTAATATAACCAACATGGAAAGGGATATGTGCTCTGTTGAAAGAATCCAGGTGAGGCAAAGGTGCCGTGCACTCAAGAGCACATTATTTTCTTTGGCCATTATGCACTGCTGCATTTTTTGTGAAGTTCTGCTTTTGTTCTTCGAAAGACAAGAGAAAGGAACATATGTGGTACCTACATCTTGTAGCATCTCGTATACCACCATATATTGCCATACTGTGGCAGCGGCAAAGAATAGCCGTTCGATATTTGTGTGTTCCCCTTCACAGAGCTACATGAAGGAAACTGAGCTTAAACGATTGGATTGGATTGGCAGCACTGTGCATTCCATGGCAGGAGGCCTAGAAGCAGCAAGATGGAACCGCGAGGTTTGTCTTCCCTCAGCAGTGCTACCGAGAAGGCACTCAGGTCTTCAGTTATTGAATGTAGAAGTGAGGTACCGGACCTTTAACCGTGAAGACATAGGCACGTCTGATGCACAGCCCGCTGCCAGCATCGCGATACCTCTCTCTCTTCCATCCTCTCTCGACATCTTAGAGCAAACGTTGCTTCAGTCTAAGCCAGAGGTACAGCTGAGATCTGAGGGAGTAAGTGTGCCTGATTTGGAAGCCAGCAGTGCAGACGTTCAACAAGAGCATTCGGTCGAGGGCCGTCATGCGTACTTCCTAAAGCCGAGCATTCGAAACTTTTCCGCACAAATCAAAGCAGGAGAAAGAATTGGGGTTGTTGGCCGTACTGGTGCTGGTAAGCAGTCGCATCGTCTCTAGACACACCTCCCATGTCGCGCACTCAGAAAGTGTCAGTGGTCCTCCACCCTCCAACCCCCCAACATCACAGCAGGGCGTTCGAAGAAGGGCCAAAATGTTGCTAGAAGGGCAATCCAAAAAGCTATACAGAAATACTTTCTATGAGGACTTTATCTGCAAAAATTTCGTAAAGGGTCTGGCTGTGGCTTGCCTTCTCAGGGAAGTCGACGCTGCTACAGGCTTTGTGTGGTTTGATCCCCTGTTACAAGGGAGCTATATTTTTAGACGGCATCCGGTTGGACTGTCTCCCACGGCAAGTCATTAGAAGCGTATTCGGCACGCTGCCCCAAAAGTCAATCGTCTTTGCAGGATGGACCGTTCGCGAAGTCTTAGATCCACGGGTTAGCTCGACATCGCTGCTGTACGAGTGTTCGCGATTATACAGATCTCTATATGTTTATACATGCGTCAATGCTTACAATACATATATTTGTATGCTTGCAAAGGCCATGCATGAATTTTGATACACGAAGGTGCAAGTATCCATCAGAGAATTGAAGCCATTTTACATACCTAGGAATGCATGTGTACAACACAATATTATTCTACACTAAGGAAGAGCCGTTGTTAGGGGGCAATGGGGAAGCGCAGAGCCTTTAGCAGGCCCCTTTAGGTCTTTGGGTTGTGTGCCTGTCGCTATGAGCTTTCCTGTTGCCTGCATTCCTGTTTTGTCGCTACATCTGCACACAGTCCTGTCTCAGCCTCTTTGGAACGGTGCGTGTGTTTTCGCAGCGCTTGCACTCAGATGCGTCGATATGGGAGGCTCTTCGGGCAGTAGGCCTCGTCTCGCTTATCCAGGCTCTCCCTGGGGGTGCTGGTTTGGACACAGTTTTGCAAGGGGGAGGCTGCAGCATCCCTAGGGTGTCGAATGGTGGCCAGCTCGCCAGTGAGGGGGGCCAGCTGGCTGCTGCAGAAGAGGGTTCTCCCCAAGCTCTCTCAGCTCGTCAACTGCGGTACCTTGCACTGGGCAGGCTGATCCTAGAGGGCCCCAAGCTCCGCGTCGTGCTGATTGACGAGCCGCCGGCGGAAGAGCTCTGGCCTGTAGGTGACTCCAAGGAGAAAGACGAAAACAGCCATGGTGCTGGTGGAGAGGCGACGAGGCGAGAAGGGCAAAAGGACGGCCAAGGGGGTTCTACGCGTGGATGGGGGCGGCCAACAGCAGAGATTCTCTCAGAGCATCTTAAGGATTGCTGTGTAGTTGTCGTGGCGCACCATCTGGCGTCTCTGCGCGGTTGTGACCGCGTGTGGGTAATGTCGGATGGCTGCAAAGTGGGGGAGTGTCTGCCTTCGGACATTGACACAGAGCAAAAGTTTAGCAGCTATGTGACCGCATGGGCAAAGGATAAGGCTGGAAAAAAAGGGGAAAGCATGCAATAAATGTGTGCTCTTGGAAGGCAGAGCGAAAGACACAGAGAAAGAAAGTCGGGCGCAGAGTGCCGGCAGACGGCATGGGTAACGGTCTTCATGAATGGCAAGCACAGGACTTTTGTACGGCTTGGCTTGCTTTACCGCTTTGCATCGTGAGGCATGCTGGGGGAGGGGGGAGGTGCCTCACGGTCGGTATTCACTGCTGTATAGAATCCGGCTAAACAGTGGGGAGAGCTGGGGACTGGCTACCCACGCGACAGTGCTGTGCTCGTGTCGTCTCTGTTTTCGCACATATCCCAAGACGGAGGAAGTGCCTGTGGGTCTTGCGAATTTCGGAAGCATATTTTCTATGAGCACAAAGACGCGAGTCTAGCGGCTTTTGAGCACGGTCTAAGGGAATCTGTGGCAATGGCTGAAGGCTGATTTTCCAGCCTTGCAGTCGGTGTTTACTGGCATGCCGCCCCCTTGGCTCTTCGCTTCAAGCGATGCCAGTTTGCCAATAGGCCCCCCAGTCGCAAACAGGGGAGCAGGGCCTCTGGCTGCTCTCACTAGGAAATTGCGATGTGCGGAGACTGACACCAGTACACGTGTGCACCACAGGAGCTTCCAGCAGCAGGAAACGAAGCACAGCGTCGCTCAGCTCAATACAGTGCGACTTATAGGAAGCCGGCTAGTCCACCAGGAAGCACACTGCACAATATAGCTCGCCGAGGGTAGGGGTATATTGAAGAAGGGCGTGCGTGCGTGCCACACGGCACAGCTGGCGTCTTGGAGTGCTTGCCATTCGGTAGGCAAGTTACACGCGTTTCCAACCAATAAGTGCCGAAAGTTTTTGCACAGTATTGACAGCAAGCACCCCCCAACCAAGGTGTTGCCTAACAGAATGCCCCTTGCTTGCATCCTAAAGGTACTCCTCGCATGGGGCCTACCAGGAAATAAACTCCGCCTTCAAAATGTTTTGTGCAAAGAAAACTGATGACAAAGTGCCTGAGTAAGCACCGGAAGGGATACTGTCGTGCCCGTGTATTCTTTTCGCGGCGCTTGTATCGCATCGTGAGGCCTGTGTTTATAGAGCCGCCTATCTGGAGCGCTTGTTACACCTGCCTGTGGGGAGCTTTACGATGCGTGGTCTAGGCGGAAGGGCGGCAACAAGCACGTGCTGCCGCCTCTCCGAACCTCCACCCGCTTGTGTGTATCGGCCTTCGCGGCTTTGCTGAATTAGGCGGCTCCTACGCCGCAGCAAGTATTCACAGGAAGCAACTTTCACTGGCAGGTGCTAGGCTCTGCAAATTACGGCGTCTACTGGTACAAAAGAGAATAAGCAGAAAAATTGCAGCTTTCCCGCCTCCCCGAGGCCGGCGCATTTCAAACTGAAGAGACCGTTTCGGGGGCTCAATGTGCCAAAAGGCCGACACAGCCGCCGGCAGCACGATTGCGAGGAGATCTTTCAGAACCGAACGTGCGAGCGGTTGCGAGAAAAAGGGCCATGTTTCGTATGGGGGGCAGAGGGATGGATGCCCTCGAGGCACGATGCACAGAGGAAGATGAGTGAGAACCTGGAAGGCGAAGCTTGAGCGTGGAGCGAAGGGAAAGCCCAAAGGACTTTCTCCGCACCGTCTAGAGTATGCTTCCTTCCGCTCGCTTTGCGCTTGTTTGTTGACAACTTTCGTCCAAGTTCAGCAGCCGAACGAAGGCGTGGCAAGCAGGGGAAGGCGCCACTAGGGGAGTGCATGCACGTGCTCCCGGTCTTTTTCGCTTTTCTTTTTAGAGGAGAGGGCCGTGCACATATATATTTTGCCTTGCTTTCTCATTCCCTCGCTTTCTCGCTTTCACAGTATATAAAAGAAGCGCTCAAAACAAGAAAGGGGCAGTAGCATATGCCCATCTGAGCAAGAAAGGCTACATGGAATTCTCTACCACGTGTCCCTAGTCATCAGATGCTGGTTGCCTGCCGCAGCGTTGTGTCCCCAGAAACGCTCAGCGCTGTGGGCTGTATTATCCACTGTATGTACACCTCTAAGTTTTTGCCTTCGAGCTGCGCCTCCCTCTTCCTCATGAGGAAAAAGGCGGCGAGCTTTTGCTATGCCCTCCTCCCTGGACAGGCCGGCCTTCAGAGCAAACGCGCGCAGCGTTTTCCGCCGCACAAAGGAAGAAGAACCGCCCTTTCTCAGTGCAGCAACGCTGGCTCCTCCCCCCTGCCTGTCTGTATTGGCCCTTCCTCCTCTACAGCGCCCCCGCCGGAGGCGGCGTGCTGCTGCACTTGCAACGCGTGCGGGGGGACATGCAGCAGCAGATCCGCATCAGCGAGACAGCAGCAGGGGTTTCGTGCCCCGACAGCCGCAATTTCATCAAAAACACCATCTACAAGAGACGCATCTTCTGGCTGCAGCAGCTGCCGGACGGCGTCCGCAGCTTCCTCGCAGTCGGCCTGCAGCTGCTGCACGGCGGCAGGGGGGAGGGAGCAACCCCGAACGAATTCTAGGACCGCTCGAGCGGCGATGCGGAAGACACTAAGCACAGACCTGCATCGGTTAAAGGTAACACAGCCGTAGACGCGCTGTTTGCGGGCAAAGAGACGCTCCATTTCCCGTTCTACAGCCGTCCGCCGACGGCTCAAGAAACGTGCTAGACGGCGGGGAGGCAGCTGCTGCTGCATCGCTTCCGTGACAGAAGAGGAGCCCTGGGTAGCAGCGACAGCAGCGTTCTTCCCGGCAGAAGCGAAGGGAGGCGTCCGAGCAGTGTCTTCGGCAATGGCAGCAAATGCATCATCGCACTCTCGGAGAGCCTGCACGAGGGGTGCGAAGGCCCCCCCCCCAGTCCGATCTGGGGAGGCGCAAGTTTGCACCGAACCCCTGCCTGGCTGCAGCCGCAAGACGTACCGCTCCGCTAGCACCGCAATTGTGTCTTCCGCTGCCCGCTGTCCGCAGTAGAAGACAAACGCCGTCACGAGGCTGTGAACTGCAGCACGCAGACGTGCAGCAACGGAGGGCTGGCCGCTCGCGGCGCCCGTTCTCCTGCGATGGTCGTTGTTGTTGGTGTTGTTGCTGTTGTAGTTATTGCTGTTGTTATTGTTGTTGTTGCTATTGCCGCTCAGCCAGTGGGGCGGAAGCAGACTGGGGTGCAACTCTACCCCGACGGCTTCAAGTTTCGCAAGGCCGACTTGTTGCAGATGACGGCCAATGCGGAGACACACCAAGACACTGCTGAGAAATTCAAACTGCGCAGACAAGAAGGAGGGGCAAAGCGAACGCTCGGATGCGGGAAGCTCCGCCTTGCGTGCTTCCGGAGAACGCCAGGGGCAGTTAACCACCGATACCCAAAGTGCTGCTTCGACCTAAAAAAACAGAGGGAAAGGCAGCCACACATGAGCACATGGGGTTTCATGCAGGCTTGCAGTCATGCACGATTACTTTTCCTTCCATGCATGCAGAAGAAGAACGAGAAGAAGAAGAAGAGCGAGAAGGAGAATAACGAGAATAAGGAGAAGAAGAACGAGAATAAGCAGAACGAGAAGGAGAGCAAGAACGAGAAGGAGAGCAAGAACGAGAATAAGAAGAACGAGAATAAGAAGAACGAGAAGAAGGAGAGCAAGAACGAGAATAAGAAAATAAAAACAAGAAGAAAAAGGACCGACAAAAGCCCAACCGAATACACATCCCTCCTTGCTGGAGCGTGCCGCAGACCGCACGCGCGACTCCGTAAGATGGATTGGATAGCTTTAGAGAGCGTGATTGTAGAAGGGGGGGGAAAGGGCGGGGGAGGGGAAGGGAGAGGGAAGAGGGAGCCCTCTGAGAGGGGTGAAGTGGGGTACAAAGATTTCGGCGAGCAGCGCGCGAAGTCAGCCAACGTACTTGGGGTGTGAGATAGGTCCTCCTGGCGTGTGAGACGCTGCCGTTTGCGTGTCTTCGAGCATCTGGCTGCTGCAGCTCTGCAAGAGCTGTTTCTAGGACTATTGGACAGCCCGCAAATGCAGCAGGAACGTTGCGTGTGAGTTGTAGAGTGAAGAGGAGGAAGAGTTCGAATAGACCGGCTACCCAAGGGGTAATGTGAGCGTGAAGAAGGGACTCTTGTTCTGCAGGGGTAGGAGATGGAAAGGCGTCTTGGAGCAGCTGTTGCGCGTCTGTGAGAGCCATGCAGCCCTCCACGATGACACACTGCGCTGCTGCGTGCTGCTGCGTCACTGCCACAGCTCGTTTGGCAGTGTGCAAGACGGAGAAGGGCTTTGCCTGCGCCTCTTCTTCTTGCTCCTGCTCCAGTTGCAGTCTCGTGGCTGCCGCCAGCGTGTCGTGCAGCTCCTGCACGACTTTCGCGTATGCGCGTTTGAAAGTGAGTGCCGTGGCTTCGAGGAGCACAGCGCGGTGCGCTTGCCGCATCGTTTGCAGAGCTTGCTGCTGCAGCGTGGCGGCTGGCAACAACACCTCTTCCCAGGATTTCTCTAGCGCGGAGGTGACAGTTCTGCAGCCTTGCAGAACCGAGGCTGCCGCAGGCACGGTGGAAGCGATCGTGGCAGACAGTCGAGAGAAAGCAGCATCTACTAGCGACGTCAGAAAGGATAGCAAGAGGCACTCCCCCTCAGGCTCTATCGCTCCACACCCCTCTTCAGCTGCCGCCGCATCCTCGCGAACACGCCGCACAAGAGCAGCTTCCTGAGGCTCTCTATCCCGTCCTGCTGCTGCTGCTGCCTCGACAACACGCTTCGTCGTTCCCGCCTCCTCGAAACGCTTCTTCTTCTTCTGAAGGGCTATAAAACGCAAAAGCACCAACATGTCCTTCAGAGCCGCTGCCACCTGTGGTACAAAGCGGCACGCGATCTGACTGCATGCCCCTTCCAAGCCGATTTCCGTCCTCGCCACACCGCCTTCGCGTGCACTACTGGCATCTCCTGCAACTCCGACCTCTCGTTGATCCCCCTCCACTCCCTCCGCGACGGCGGCGTTGGAGGGGCCTCCTCCTTCCACCGCCTCCCTCCCGCAACAGCGCTCTAATACCCTCAGACACGCGTGTCGCCTGCCCCTCTGGTAGATTCTCAGCAGCTCGCGCGCATCCTCCCCACTCCTCAGCAACAACCTGACAATGCGGGAAGCCTCTTCACTCCCCAAGGGAGTCGCCGCTGGCCTCCCCGTGCTGCTGCTGCTGCTGCTGCTGCTGCTGCTGCCACCTAGAGAAGTGAATACGCCCTCTGTGCCTGCCGCCTTGCTCGCAGCAGCAGCGGAGGAGGCGGCAGCCCTATTGCTCAACGCAGCCACCTCTTCTTGTCCTTTCTCCTCTTCTTCCCCCCCTACCCCCCTGTCGAGTTGCTGCTTGAGGAGCTGCACGCAGTACGCAGCAGCCGCCTCTGCATCCCGCTTCAGAAGCAGCAGCCTCTGAAGAGGGGGCGAGGTCACGTTCTGCTTTGCCAAGAAAAGCTTCGCGCGATCATACACCTGGAGCGCTGTCAAGGGGCTTCCTGCTGCAAGGTGCTGCCGCAGAAGCTCCGGGAGGGTCAGCAGCAGCTGCAGCTGCTCGATGAGCTGCCGAAAGGCAACCAGATCCTCGATTCCAGCTGCCCGCTCATGCACCGTCTTCATGAGCTGGCCGCTGCTGCTTTCAATCGCCGAGACACTGAGGGAGAGGTGCTGCAACTGCTGCTCAATGTCTCCCATAGCCTGACGGACGCGACGCACAGTTTCCGTGGCGCTCAAAAACTTGCCATAGTTCTCGTACACCAGCGTGCGGATGTCTCTCTCGAGAATCCTCACCTCCGCCTCCAGCTCGTTCGTAAGCCGCAGGAGCTCCCGCAAGCTGCAACTGCGTACGGCAGCCGTAAAGTACGCTTGCATGTCGAATGCAGGGGAGTTCAGATCCAGAGACGGGGGAACTCTCGGAGAGGTAGAGGCTCCAAGAGCTCTGCTGCCTGCTGGGCGGGGGGATGAGGAAGCCGAGGGATGCAACAACGGCGGCATCTCCTGTAACAATTGCCGTGCCGCGTCCACGCCGCCTCTTGCCCCGTGAGGCTGACGCGCTGTTGTTGCTCCCGCCGATACAGGCGCTGGCGCTGTGTCAACCGAGGAACCCCCAACAGCAGAAGCCTCGCACAAGTCGGGAGCTGTGGCACTCGCCGTCGGCTGCTGGTCGGCGGCAAGTGGCCGCTTCTGCCCTCCAGCCTCTACGGCTGCTGGTGGGTGTTCAGGAGCCTTGTCTGTATCGCCGGCTTCCTCCAGGTCGTAGTACGCATGCAGCATCTGTTCAACTCTACTGAGGGGGCGGCCAGGCCTCCCATCTGCAGAACGCCGAGCAGCGACTGCAGAGGCTGTTGTTGACGGGGGGTGGCTGGGGGACCCCCTTGAAGCGGGGGGAAAAGCCATATTTTGTAGCTGCCTCTGGAGGTTAGGAGCAAGATTATCAAAACACGTACAAAATTACTGCGGTCGGGGCTGGGTATAGCGGCCGCGGCTCATATCAACCCACTGGCTTTAGTCGCGCGAAGGGCACAGACGGCTGGACCATGAATGAGGGAAGAAGAATACGAACAGAGACTCCCATTTCTACATATATTCTCGATTTTCCCCGCCTGTGCCTTCAGAATGCAGTAATATGCAGTATTCAACCGGCTATCCTGAATTGCATACTCCCGACTCGGTCATCTTTTGAGGATGAGCGCAGACACGGCAATTGTCTGCTCATGGACGAAGGGGAGGAAGCGAAGTAAAATGCACTTAAGCGTATATGCGTTCAATAACAGTTTGTTCTCTCACTTAACGAAGAAGGAGGGAGCAACGCACAAGAATTTCAAGTCGACTACGGCCAGAAAGCCACTGGGAAAGTCTAGGTAACGGGGATGACTTTGTGTGTGTGCAGGATTAAAAATAACCCTTTGTCCGCTTTCCTTAGATTAGTTGATGCAACTTTTATCTCGCTGTAAGGCGCCGCCTACAGCCCCAATAGCAAATTCCCCTGTTGCGGCTCGCCAGTCCCGTTCTATTGACGGCGGCTGTGGCTGAACTATATCCTCCGTCGTGCAAAGGGCTCTATATAATCTTCATTCCTCTTGGTGTGGAGGCGGAGAAGTGACCACTTAACGCATTTTAACCGCAGCAAATGAAAGATTCCAATGTCTGAAGGCAGCCTCATGCGCAGCAGCAGAACGTACTCGTTAGTTGTGACGACCTTTGAATGCATGCCAGAAGCACGTTGTATTACGCTGGCAAATCCTTATCCTATAGACTCCTGCTACGGTGAAGAGCCTTTTGGCATGCGAATTAGAGTGCAGGCCATAGTTCTGCCTTGTCTCACCTGGAAACAATTTAGTGTCTGTGTGTGTGAGGGCAGTAGCTTTGTCTGTAAATTGCCAAAAGTAAGCGGCCCCCCGTGGCTGTTTAGTCTAGGGGTATGATTCTCGCTTCGGGTGCGAGAGGTCCCGGGTTCGAATCCCGGAACAGCCCTGTCGTGTGGTGGTGCGACCAACGCTCGCCGGCGTGCCTCTCGTGATCATAGTGTGTAGTGGGCTCTTTTAAGCAGCGGATACAGTTTCTGTTTTTACTCCCTCGAGTCACTTGTGGTACTGGGAGAGTCGGCGTCCTTTCTGCGGTTCTGGGGGCATCTGCGGCGTTCTGCATGCCGCGCCGGTAGCTGCTTTCTTAGGCTAGGAGAAGGGTAGAACGACAGCGAGCAATATTGGAAGTAGCCCCCGATAGCCTCAGAATACGCTGGAGAGATGCCGAAGATTTGCAGAAATCAGCAGATAACAGATTTCAACGGAATGAGTGGTAAAATTCCGGCAAAGTAGGCAAATACAAGGATGAAGAGAGGAAGGAACTCAGACAGCGCCGCTGGTGTGACTGTCATGGTCGTCGAACATGGGGCTGAAGAGCTGCCTCTTCGTGAAAATTGGCTCCCTTTGTGTCTCTTTTACGCAAGAATTTTAATTTAAAAAGTTGATGTTACATATAGGGAAGCGCGAAACACATGTCCACCATAAACCTCAGCCCTTCCTTCATCGTGTAACCCGATTGCGCGATCCTTCGCCCATTGACCGCCTCTCTCCATCTTTTTTTCATTAAATCCCCCTAATACTTCATTTTTGACTCTTTGTAGTATTTTCACGGTTTTAGGGGGGGCTTGGAAGAACCTTTAGCCCACGGTGTCCTCTTCCGACTCGCCGATCTACATTCTGGCAGCCTCGGCCTTGTGTAACTGACCGTTCTTCTTGTCCTCAACAAGGCAATGGCCACTCCCAAGGGGGAGCGGCAGGATGCCTCTGTGGCGAACTGCATGGGTCCGCTGCGTTCCATGTCCTTGCGCACGGAGAGCATTGGCAACAGCAGCAGCAGCAACAACCTGAGTGCGTCTCAACGCGTGTGCGGGCTGCTCCTTGAAAGACATGGAGAGAGAGTGCTGCAGTTGTTGCTAAGCAGCAAGGATGGCAGGCAACTCCTCGAGTCCTTGCTTTCAGTTGCTTTTCGCAGCGCTGGCGTGGGAGGGAGCCCCCTGCTGGTGCGCCTTCTGCAACGAGACGCCGAGGGCTTCGTGTCAGTAATGATGAAAAGATCAGGTGCGCATGGCCTTCCTCCCGCTTTTTGGCCCTGCTTTCGCTCTCATTCTTTCTTATTCCATCGAAGGAAGCAGGCGCACGTAGCTAGCCGCCAGCGGATCCTTTACACAAGGGTTCCTCGCCGAACACTTCTTGCTGCTGCGGCGGTACATATGACACCGCTGAACAGTTGAACATCGAATGCATTCAGTGCAGTCCTCCTACCGGGGTGGCCGTCGAGCGTGCGTCTAGATACAATCGAACCCTCGAGACTCGAAGGTGGGGTGACACCGTTCGCGCCTGCACGCAGACACGTGACTGTCTAACTGATCTTGTTCTGCGCTCGAATGTTTCTGCAGAAGACAAGGCAGTCGCCAGAGGCTTGGGGCTTTGTTTGCTCCGAGGGGTAGCAGCAGTTGAGGAGGCGGACTTGCAGCCGCTCGCAGAGGCCTTGTCGAAAGCCATCCTCGAGCAGCTGCAGCAGCAGGCACCCGCTGAGGAGCTCCCCGCAAACCCCTCCAGCAGCAATGAGGCTGCGGAAGGCGCTGTTCTTGCCTCTGGATCTGCCACCGCTGTTGCTGCAGATGCTGCAGATGCAGAAGGAGGGAAGCGGTTGGCGGAGGAAGAGCAGTCCAAGGTGCGTTTTGTCTCCCTTCTCTCAAACCTCCGTCTCAAGCGCGCATTCGTATATGCACTTTTGTGTTGCTTGTGTGGTTGCCTCGAGTTTGCCGCAGCCCCTTGGCAAGAAGGCCTCCCGTGTGCAGGAGCTGATTGAGCAGCAACAGCGGCGTTGCAAAGAGCAGCAGCAGCAGCAACAACAGCGGCAGTTGAAGCATCGCTTTGCCTCTTCAGGATCAGTGGAGGGGCAATCTGCGCCGGAGGCACGTTGCAAAGGGCCTCATGAGGCGTTGATACGAGAAGCCCTTTTCTACGTTTCGACAGAGACTGTCTCATGCGACGCGGATGCCCTTTGCCAGCAGCTAGTTGACTTTGCACCCCCCGTTCTTACACGTGTTATTCAAATTGAAGTGGCCCAAAGGACTTCCCAAGACAGGCAGGGGGCCTCCGCTTCCCCTGTGGCGATTGCTGCCTCAACCGAAGGGGCCTCTCCTAAGGGGAAGCTCCCCTGAGTAAGGGGCATGGCGTTCCTGTTGGGGCTTGCATGCGATAGGGAGAAGAACCCTTAAAGTGGCAGGGGAAACATGCAATCATCGCCAAAAAACATTTTGGTGGGGGTCCTGAGGCCCGATCTCCTAAGAGTTGAGCAAGCCACATTAGTGTGGCGCTGCACGCCGATCAGGGCTATCAGCACGTGATGCGCCTCTCGCGAAATACAAGGCGCACATACCTGACGGCGACTTTGCGTGTCGGAATAAGCGGTGGTAATGCAGGATAGAGAAGACCCTCCTTCTCTATTCTGCGCTTAAGGGGCTTTCACTTGTCTGTAGCATACCTTAGGTACCACCCTCCAGTGGCTGCGCCCACCTGCGGGCTCTTATCGTCCGTCTCATGATCGCTGTTTTTCTTCGTCTCCTGAGCGCCTTTTTGAGTGGCGTAAGCAAAAGCAGGGGCGGCAGCAGCCGTAGCAGCCGCTGGAGTGGGCACTGTCTCAGGGCAGTCCGTGCGCGTCCTTTACACGTTCTGCGCAGGGCTGCTTTGCAAGAAATCTAAGTAAAGAGGCAGCAGTTATAAGAGGCAGCAGCAGTAAGGGGACGACATGCACTGGGAAGCAGACGCCCCAGGACGCTCCTCGTGCTGCACCAGCCACGAAACGATCCTGTCTTGCTGCGAGCCGCATCTACTCCTTCCTTTTTGTTCGCTTGCGGCTTTGTCTTCCTTTTCCTCCTCCGCTTCTCTTGCCCGCGGTCTCTGTGCGCGCCTCTGCGCCAGATGCCCCCCCGCACCCCCCCCAACACTTGACAAGCACCTTGTACGCACTGGGAGCTCTGGCCCTAAGATGTGCACCTGCATGGGGCCTTTATTGGCAGACTCGTCTGCATGCTCCGAAGAACATGATGGGATGCACTGTGGAGACTGTTGGGCGCCAAATGCACAGTGTGCTCATCGGGCACAGACACCGCCATTTCGTCACAGGGCTGCATCTGCGCGCGCACCTGTGGAAATCTCGTGCTAAAGAGTGTGCAATAGAAAACGTCCTACAGAAGCCATCTTTCGGCGAATGGAATCACAATTTGCCGAATTCAAGAGGCTCTCACGAGAGAGACAGGCCAGCGTCTAGCAAGCTTTTACCAAGTACCACCCAGGTTGCTTATGCGGCGAGCCGTATTTTGAGGAGCGTATCTTGTGGGATTCGGTGCTAGAAGAGGCCGTTGGCCTCTCCTTAAAGCTTTGCTAAGTAGTCAAATTCAAACGTTCTTCCTCCTCTTCCCTCCCCGCCCCCTTGCCTGTATCAACCCTCAGGGATCCAGCATGAGGGAAGAGATGTTAGGACAGGAAGTGTGTGCGTTGCTGCATGCTTTTAGCCTTCCGAAACAGTGTGGTCACATGTGTTCGTCGAGAGCGGCTTAAGGGACCGACGAGTGTGTTTATTCGTGCACTACGAGGAGCTAGCTAGCTAGCAAGCAAAGCGTATTGCGCGACACATAGATTCACTGAACAGCAAAAATACAGAGCTAAAATTAACTGAATTTTAAGTTGATGCAGCTAGTGAATATAGAAGTCCGGAAATATGGGTGGGTTACCTCCCTTGGGTGTGCGCAAAACATCCCACGCGCGAAGGTTGCACAAAGCACGACAGCATACACAAAGCCCTCCAGGCCGGAAGAGGTGGGGACGATGTCTTTAATGAAGCTGGTGGAGGGAATAGTGGAAAGATCTTCTACGTGCACATGCAGTAGACCGCGGCGCGGTCTCTTGTGCGCTACAGACATGTTAGCAGAAATAAAGCTTTTTAGAGGTATCAAACTAACGAAGACCTTGGAAAGTTAAAAGTGCCACGCAGATCTAGATACAAGGGAATCGTGATAGAACGCTTGCGGGGTCATTAACCACAAGACAACACCATGCAGCAGTAGCAACAAAAGGCGGACGACTGCACCTCTGGAAGACGCGGCATTGCAGGACGAATGCACGAGCAGCAGTTCGAGAGGAGCAGCACACGGAGCAAAAGCAACGGCCACAATGTTAGCGGCATATGCCCCTGACAGGGAAAATAGGCAACAGGCTGCTTTACGGGCGTTTGACGCGCCAATCTGTTTCCACGCCTCGAACGACCCAACTGCCCTGTAGGAGAAAACTCCGAGAAAAAGTTGAATCCACGGGTATGAGTCATGCGGCCCTGCAACAAAGGCCCTTAAAATCAATGATGGAGTGGGTGCTTAAAGAAGACAAAGGCCAAAAAAACGGTGGCAGCGCACATCGTGCGTCGTACATACGGCCTCGTACCGGGCAGGTCGCGACAGAAACAGCTGCTGCTGCCGCAGGTATCATGCGGGAATACATCCAGCTTAGCCCCTAAAAGCCTTCCTTTTTACCAATTTGGCTTCCTTCTCTGGGATAAAAGGCTTATATTTCCGTATGTTCTGCGTTGATACGGTAGTCCTGAGCTGTATGTAAACAGAGGGGCGGCAGAGCAGCCGCGACCATCTGTGGCAGCAGAGCGGCTCACTTAGTTCGTCCTCAAGCACTAGCCTCCGGCGTGCCCCGTTTGCCCTTTAAAGAGTTGATTTTGGCTTTTTCGTGTGTATGCATACATCAGCCGTTCTTTAGAACCCGACGGTCCTACTCTCGCGTCATCGCTTTCACAGAATGCTGCCGCCTTAGAACTCCGCCTCCGGTCGCACTAGGGCACAAGCCATTCTCTGGAGCTCTTGCGCTCCTTCACCCATCTTCAGCCTCCAAGACCGCTCCGCTTTTCTGCAAGGCAATGGAACTCTACTCTTGGGGGTCTTTGAAGGCTGCGAGGGGCCCTAGGGGGCCCCTCGCCCGTGCTGCATCGAACCGACATTCGAAGGGCGTTCGCAGCAGCAGCGTCCCCCCAGCAGAGGGCACCGCAAGATCCGAAGGATCTCCGACTCCTTGCGCCTCAGACCACGGAATTCCCCCACTCTTCCCCCCAGCGAACCCTTCAAACGAGGGATACTGTCTGCAGGCAGAAGACACGGCAGTGCGACACCCGGCAGTGCCTGCCTACCCCGCCCACGCAAGTAAATTCGAGGCCAAGAGATCCTCCTGCTCGCTGAGCTCCACAGAGCCGAACCTCACCAGTGCCTCGCACAAGAGACATACCGCAGGGCATGAAGGGTCCAACAACACAGGGACGCCTCGACTGCTGTCTACACACGGGCTGCCTTCTTCGCAGCTTGCCTCTCGTTCCACGCCACTCACTGAGCGCTCCAAGCTGCTGCTGCTGCCTCCTCCTCCCCCGCCGCCTTCCGCGAGGAGCTCTCCTGTGGACCGTCCGTACTCCGCCACCCCTCCTCACCAGACTCCTGAAGAGGCCCTCCTGCTGCAACTCAGTGGCTCCCGCACGGCTGCCTCGACAGCGCCACAGGAGGCTGCCGAAGAAAGCAGCCTCGAGGCTCTCAGTGCACCCAGCCACGAACACGCAGCACCTTCTTGGCAGCCGTCTGCGGAATTCGCGCCCTCCCCAACGCCCCCCCCTTCCCCCTTCTTCACCCTAGGGCACCTCCACGCATCGCTCGACGCATCCGCGACGTTGGAGCAGTCAGCGGCCTCTCTGAGTGCTCCGCGAGCCGCTTGTTCCCACCAGCGAGATTCCCTCCTTCTCCCCCGAGCTGCCTCCGAGCCAGCGGCAGGAGGGGGAAGGCGAAGAAGAAGCGTGTGGGGAAAGGCCCCCTCGAGGGGGGCCCCCTACCAACATGCCCCGCTCAGCCGTGCCCCCTCCAAGGCTCCTCTTCCGCTGCGGCGAGGTGCCAGAGAGAAGGCCTCCTCCTTCTCCGGAGGTGTCGTAACGGAGACCAGCTGCTGTTTGCCTCCGTCCTCCGTGCCGCGGGGGTTCTCGCGACGTATTCTGAGTGAGGCGCCTGCTTCTCTGGAGGCAGAGGGGGGGGCCCCTGTTGCTATGCATTTGCGGGGGGCAGTTTCTGCTGGCGCTGAGCTCACGCTCACGCGCGTTGCGACGGGGGTTTCGGATGCTGCTGCGCCTTCGGACGCTTTTGGGCAAGGATTCTCCCCCCGCAGCGAGAGGGTACTGCCAGCGGGGAGGGGGCCCCTCTCTCCTAGGTGGGGGGAGGGGCCCTTCTCTTCGTCCTTGTCTTTCGCGATGAGCGCTAGTCCTTCGGCTCCCTCTCTGCACTTCGAGGAAAATCCATTGGACGCGGAGACGGAGGGCTTTGCGGCTGCCTCAGCCGAGGCAACGCTCATCCTCCAACAGAGGCGCCCCTTTTCTGCGTTTGCTCGCGTCAGACAGTCTGCGAATGCTTCGGCTGCCGAGGGGGGAGACGCTCCGTGGAGTGGCGCAGCGTATGCTGAGGCCTCTGTTGCAGAGGGCGGGGGCCCCTTCGGGGGGGCCCCCGCGTGTGAAAAACGGGGGCCCCTTGGAATGGAGGGTTTTGTCCAGGGTGTACAGAGCTGCATCAGTCGTCTCGTGAAGCGCTTCCCTCCAGGATGCGAGCTGCATAATGGCTATGGGCCCCTCGTCGTTCCTGCGTACTGGACAGAAGATGCTGCGTACGAGGACGGCTGGGCTGCAGACGTTTCGGGAGTTGCTGGGCTCTCAGTCGAGAGAAAAGGGGGGGAAAATGGACTTCCTCCTCCCTCTGTGAGCAAACCTTCGTCTATTTCGCGCGAAATACAGACCAGTGGCAGTGGCGTCGTGGGGGGGACCATGCCGACCTCTTTGTCTGCAACTTCTCAGGAGGCAACGGCGAGCGCAACTTCCACGGCAACAGCGCATGCGGGGGAAGCAGTGGCAGGTGGTGGCGTCGTGAAAGACGGCTCGGAAGGTGCAGGAGGAGCAGCAGAAGGGGAGGGGGGGGCACTGAATGCGTGGAGTGCCAGACAGGGGAGCTCTCTAGGGTCGGAGGTATTCTTCGCCTTGGAAACAAACCCTTCGGATGCAACGGCGTCACTGACAGCAGCGTCAGCGTCAGCGTCAGAAGCAGCAGCAGCAGCAGCAGCGAGTTGTTTCTACGAAATCGAAGGCCTTGTCGGACGCGGTGCTCATGGGGCTGTGTTTCGTGCGAAGCGCCTCACAATCAGAGGGGGGGGTGAGCTGCCCACCCGACTGGCAACAGCAGCAACAGAAGCAGCAACAGAAGCAGCAACGGAAGCAGCAGCAGAAGCAGCAACAGCAGCAGCAGACGCAGCAGAAGCAGCAACAGAAGCAGCAACAGAAGCAGCAGAAGCAGCATTGTTGGCGGCTGCCTCCGACTTGCCTGGGGAAGTGGAGGTTGAAGAAGATATTGTGGCTTTGAAAGTAATTGATCTCGACGGCACTCTGCGAACGCAGTGTCGCGACAGTGCCAGTCGACGTCTGTATTTGAGGCGCGTGATCAACGAGGAAAAGGTGCTCGGGGAGCTGCAGCATGAGCATCTGCTGCACTTTTATGAGGCTTTTCAATGGCCACCTTCCTACGTCGTCTTTGTGACGGAGTATCTCCCAGGAGGTTCCCTCAGAGATCTCTATAAAACAGCAGGGCCCCTCCCCGAGCCAATAATCGCTGCCGTTCTCAAGTGAGCAAGAATCAGCTGCTCCCCGAGACGCACTGCGCCTCTGTCCAGTGTGGCATTGCTTAATTCTGGCAGAGGCGGTGTGTTGTTTGGCTGCTTGCTTCCTCCTGCTACTGCCGTTGTCGTCCTCAGCAGTGCATTCTTCGCAGGAGAGGGGGGGGGGCGCTTGCCTGCTCCTGCCAAGTATGATCGCGCAGCCGTGGGCATGTGCTCTCTGCCGTTTGCTTCTTGCCAATTTTGGTATTTGCTGTCTGCTAATATTTGCTGCTTGCTCTTTGCTATTCGCTATGTGTTGTCCGCTATTTTGTTTGCTGCTTGTTATTTTGTGTTTGCTGCTTGCTGTTTGTTGTTTGCTGCTTGCTGTTTGTTGTTTGCTGCTTGCTATTTGTTGTTTGCTAGTTTTTGTTTGCTGCTTGCTATTTGCTATTTGCTGTTTGAGGTCTTCTACTTGCGCTTTGCTATTAGTTGTTTGCTAATATGTGCTGCTTGCTGCTTGCTGTTTACTATGTGCTATTTGCTGCTTGCTATCTGCAATTTGAGGTCTTCTGCTTGCCGTTTGCTGCTTGCTGTTTGCTGCTTGCTGTTTGCTATTTACTGCTTGCTGCTTGCTGATATTTGGTGGTATGTGCTGTTTGCTATTCAGGGATGTTTTGTTGGCTCTTGCTTACCTTCACTCCCCTAAATCCGGTCGGGTAGGCGCAGATGACAGCAAAGCGGCGGGGGAGGACAGCGAAGACAAGGCTGGCAGCAACAAGATCTCTGCACAGGCGAGTGCTGCCGACTCGATCTGCATGCATCGTGATATTAAAGCTGCAAACATCCTTCTCACGGAGTCGGGACGAGCCAAGCTTATTGACTTGGGAATTTGTTCGCTGTCTGGTGAGCCCCTGCGGCTAGAGGGGGTCGTGCATTCTCGAGTGCAGTGTGCAAGCTGTTTTGGCTAGGTGAAATAAGGGGTGGTGCCTCTCTCCGTGTGTGACACGGGGGCGTATTTCCTTTGCGCTTCCCTTTTCCGCCACTTCTCTCCTAGGAGGCCGTTATCTTACAGAAGTCCCCTTGGAGAGGAAGAGAGAGAAAATAGATAGAGAGACAGAGAGGGAGAGGAAATAGGTAGATAGAGAAAGAAAATAGATGGCGAAAGGAAGCGGTATATACAGTACGTTCCTTGCTGCGCCTCCCTGTATGTATGCGTGTATGTGTTTGTTTTGTGTGTTTGGTTTTCTTTTTTCGCGTCATCTTTTGCGCAGAGAAAGATACCGAATTCGCGGGAACGCCGCAGTGGATGGCGCCAGAGATCGCTGAAATTTTTTGCAGGAGACTGCAGAACGACAGAAGGCAGGGGCTGTCCAAGCGGCGTAAGGGGGGGAAGGGTGTGGCAGCGGGGGAGATTCGGCGGGGGGTGTCTTCAACGCAGGAAGAAGCGGCTTCTTCGGAAGAAGTTGAGGATGAGGAAGCCTGTGGAGACGGCTCTCACGCAGAAGAGGAGGAAGAACCTCCTCCATACGGCCCTTCTGCCGATATCTGGTCGTTAGGGATTACAGCATACGAATTGGCGATGGGGCGACTTCCATGGCCCCAAAAAACAAAACTCGACGAAGTAAGCAGAGACTGCAGCCGCGGGATTGCAGCTGCATGCCCTTGGTGTATGATGAGAAGGCATCGTTGCTGTCCTTTTTTTCTGGTTGTTGTTACCCCCTTGTATTGGCTGATCTACGAAATTTCGAAAAAAACTCTCTAGGAAGCTATGTGCATAAACCTTCCCTCCATCTCAACGGAGGATGACTGTATCAGAGGGGCTTTCTTGTGTCGATGGTGGTGGTGTATAGACACATCTCATGGCACTTCTGGTGTGGTGTCCCCTCATTTCTTCTGTCAAGTGCTTCTTCCCCTCTCCTACTCACTCTCTTGTTCTCTTTTTACCGTGCTTTCCTTTCCTTCGCTCAAAGAGCAGTTCTCTGTGTACGCAGCTCACCTCCCGCGTTGATTTCTTCTCTGTTCGTGCTGAAATTGTCGCTCCTGCTGCTGCCGCAGTTGCTGCACATGATTGCATTTGGTTCGGCTCCGCGGATCAACCTGAGCGAAGGGCTCGACAAATCATTCTGTTACTTTGTAGAAAGATGCCTGCGCAAGAATGCGACTGAACGGTGGGTTTACATGAGACAGCGCCTTCGTGAGTGCGCAGAGAGGAGGAGGGGGGATCCTTCGTAGAGGGCAGTTGGAGCGAAAGAAAAGTGCGTTGGAAGAAAAGCTCCTGTAATGAAAGGGGGGGAAGCAAGCGCAACTGCACAGCCATTGCACAAAGCGGATACGCTAGAGAGGGGCACGAAGCGCTTTCCCTCACAAGCATTACAAGCGGCCTTATCCTGCCTGCGGCTACTTGCATCTGCTGTGGTGTATGCCAGAGGGACGGCAGAAGAACTGCTCAAACATAGCTTCTTTACGCGTAGGCATTTAGCAAGGAACAACCCGATCCCCTTATGAGCGAGAAAGGGGTCTTCTCCCCGTCTTTTCTCGAGAAAAGCTTCCCTCATGATGATGGTGGTCGCTACCATCATCACACGCGTCCCCGCACTTCTTCACGTGCCTATATGTGTCTGCACTCTATTCAGTGTCGTTTTCGTCTGTCTGTTTGTTTGTCTGCCTGTCTGTTTGTCTGTCTGCCTGTCTGTTTGTCTGTCTGTTTGTCTTTTTTCCTCCCTCCCTCCCCATCGCATTGCATTTTCATCGTAACCTCTTCACTTCTTGTTGCTGTCCTCAGTTGTTCTCCGCCTCGCTGCCGCAAAGCGAGCAGGCTTTCATGCGTTCACAGGCACTCCCTTTCTCCGTATTATGGCGTGCATGCGTGCTTGCGCTCCGTCTGCTTTTCGTTGATTTGCGTTGCATGCGTAAGCACCGATTTATATATATATGTATCTGTATCTATGCGGGCATGCATATGTGTACAGCAGTTATGCACACCTGTAGGGCTACGTGCTTGTGCACATGTATGTACACTGCATCGCTTCCTCGAAACCCCTGCATGCAGCGCGTTGGACGTCATGCAATTTGCTGCCGCCTCTCTTTAGGGTTTTCTCCGTCCAAAAGGCCGCAGTCTTATCGCGAGATAAGGGAAGCGGTGGAAGCGTTTAACGGCAAGCGATCGGGTAAGTAGGCAGGGCGCTGATCCCTTGATCGTGTGCCGTCATCGTTGCGTGGCATCGACTCCACTGCATCCCGCTGCAGCGATTGCTCTTGTTCAAGACATTCACGCGTCTATGAAATACAGACAGTCACAGACGCACCTGCATGCATGCAGGCATGAATGCACACGAACGTAGAGGCACAGGGGTCGAAGCGAGGTTGCTTTCGCGGAGTGCAAAGGTTGCTGCTACGAGGTGATTTGCATCCGCAGCTAATAAGCGTGATGTATCTGCTCCTCTGCATGCGTGCGCTTCTCTCCAGCTTCGGTTTTATCGTCCTTTGTGCGATATTTCAACGCGTGGAGCCGCAGAAACAGCTCCGCGAGCGCCTCTGCGTCAGTACTCTCAAAAAAACGCATGCCGGCACGCAGACTCGCGGCCTGGGGCTTAGCCGAATGCACGAGACATGTAGAAACTGGCGAGGGTGCGCGCCTGCTGCTGCTGCTACTACTACTGCTACTGCTACTACTACTACTACTGCTACTACTACTACTACTGCTACTACTACTACTGCTACTACTGCTACAGGGTGCAAGCATCGCGCTTTCACACACAGAGGCCCATGTACTCCTCTCGCCAGCCCCTTTCCACGAATCGACTTTTTTCAAAAACCCTCTCCTTCTCTCCCTCCCTTTCGTGTACCCGCCAGTGCGTATCTCCGGCTGCCTGCTTCGCTTTCGCTGCCCCTCCGTATGTTCCTCGATGTTTCCTTTCAACTCCTCTGGCGCGCATGAGGGCACACGTTACCTGCTGCCTCTTTTGTAGCTCCTTTCCTGCTTCATGCTTTTCGAAACCCTCTTCTTCTCGTTCTTCTTCATCTCAGCGAGCTCTATCAGCCTTGCATCCTTTAAGTGTCCTTTCGCACTCCTATTTGCTGAAACGCTCTATTGGATTCACACGCAAGGAGTCTGTGGCCATACTTTGGGTTTTCGTGTATGTTTGTGCATGTGTAATGATCTGTACTTAATCATTTGTATATTTCTGCATGAATAATAATCTGTACTTAATCGTTTGTATATTTCTGCATGAGTAATAATCTGTATGTAAACATTTGTATCTTTCTGCATGTGAAATAGTCTGTATATAAACATTTGTATTTTTCTGCATGTGTAATAATCCGTGTATAAACATTTGTATATTTCTGCATGTGTAATAATCTGTAAACAAACATTTGTACATTTCTGCATGTGTAATAATCTGTATATAAACATTTGTATATTTCTGCATGTGAAATAGTCTGTATATAAACATTTATATACTTCTGCATGTGTAATAATCTGCATTTAAACATTTGCATATTTCTGTATGTGTATATATATCTGTATGTGTTTATATCTGTAAATGTATATTTCTGTATATATATATATATTTCTGTATGTGTATATATTTCTGTATGTGTATAAATATCTGTAAATATATATTTCCGCATGCGTAATAATCCGTATTTAAACATTTGTATATTTCTGTAAATATATATTTCTGTATATATTTGTGTATATGTATATATTTCTGTATGTGTATATATTTATGTATGTGTGTATATATCTGTAGATGTATATTTCTGTATATATATATATATATATATCCATGTGTTGACATGACGTGTATGTATTTTTGTATGTGTGTACATATTTCTGTATGTGTGTCTATATCTCTGTATGTGAGTATGATGTGTTTTTTATGCTATGCGGGTGCAGAGTCGGAGCATGCCCTACAGAAGGGGGCCTGCTCCGTTCCTACGGTGAGCCGCAACCCTTCACTTTTGCTTCCGAGTGAGAAAGCGCCTTTGCCGCGTAATAGCAAATCTGAGTGGGGACCGTTTCTTGGTGAGGCAGCAGCCTCTTCAGAAGCAGCCGCCTCGACGGCAGTAGACGCGGGTGGGCACTTGGCGGAAGGGGCGGCTTCGGCAACGGGGGTGGGAAGCAGAGGGAGTTTTTTCGCTTTTGCCACGGCTCTGTGGAAACACAAGGAGTCGCCCCCACAGCCAGAGGGCCCTGCGTCTGGATCGGGAGGATATGGAGCGCTCCTGCAGCAGCCTCAGAGTGACCACCTCCCAGAAACTCCTCAAGCTGTTCCTCTTTCTTCAGGAAACTCTGGCAGCAGCAGCAGCAGCAGCAGCAGCAGCTCTTTCTCCTCCCTGGGTACTACCCGCACAGCGGAGAAGGCACAAAGCGCTTGCGAGGGGCAGGGCGCTGAAGCGGAGGCAAAGGCTCTCGACAGCGAGCGGCAGAAGTCTCTCACAGAGCAGCAGCCGTGCATGCGAGCCTCGGTGTCTTCGCAGTTGAGTGAGGAGGGAGTGACACAGCAGGAGCGACGAACTTCTCTCTCAGGAGCTCCCCAAGCTTCCCTGTCTTTTTTTACTTACTTTCTCTCAGCACTGCAGGGACAGACGGCTGTTTTGCCAGACAGCGGCGGCGCAACAGCCGAGACAGGAGGAGCTCCTCCTCCTGCGAAGCAGCAGACGCAGTCGCTTGTGGAAGCTTCATCAACTACAGGGATTACAGCAACTGCAGCAACTGCAGGGCAGCATCAGCGACGCTCGTTCAAAGAACAGCAGCACACGCGAGACAGCTCGCTTTTTGCGGAGGAGCTGGTGCGAGTCGAAGGAGGGGGGTCACCGCCGAGCGGCTTGAAACAAGTGCATCCGTTCACCAGGAGGTTCAGGAAGCGGAAGGAGGCCAGATCAAGGAGATCCTCGAGGCATCGAGACGGCAAGGCAACGCTTTCACGGGGGGCAGACCGCCTTTTCGGCTTGTTGAGGCGTGTCGGGATGCTCAGTGAGCATCAGTCGCCAGAAGGGGGGGAGGAGTTCAGCAGCCCTCCGGAAAAAGAGGGCGGCAAGAGCGACGTGAGCAGCGGCAGCAGCAGCTGTGGTACGCTCATCAGGAGTGGCAGGAGCTGCAGCGTTAGCAGCAGCAGCAACAGCAACAGCAGCACCAACAGCAATGACGCGCTCAGAGAAGCGGGGAGGCATTCTGGAGGCTCTCAGCATGCCACCGCCTTGCAGCGCAAGCGGAATAAGAAGCCGATACGCGGATTGCAGGGCGAAGAGTGCTCGCGACAAGTTGAGGACGCAAGTTCTTCAGAGACAGAGGAAGCCACCGCTCTCGCGAGGGAAGGAGAGGCTCTCGACAAGGGCCGAAGTGGGGAGCTCTGGAGCGCAGCGGCAAGCCATGGGGAGGCTATTCCACAGCACCGCGAAGGATTTTCCTTACGGGGCAGAACAGACAAGACAGCTGCAGCAGCTGCAGCAGCAGCAGCAGCAGCTGCTGCTGCTGCTGCAGGAGGAGGCCTGTTACCAGCAGCCGAGGCGGCGGCAGCAGAAACTTCCCCTTTAGCACTCCCCGAACACGAGGGAGATGCAGCGTGCTCTTCTGCGCGATCTGCGCATATTTTTTGCGACCTTTTGGAGAGTCCAACCGCCCCGACACCGGGCTTGTCTTCTCCTAGCAGTCCGCTCCGAGAGGAGCGGGAAAATCGGAAGAACATGCTGTGCGCAGTTTCGATTTCCGAGAGGCAGCGAACGTCGACGACAGATAGCCGCATTAGCAGGGTGCTATCGCAGAGCTCGAGTCCAGCAGCTGCAGGTGGCTCTCGCGTGAGCGAGGAAGAAGAGTTGATCTTTTACGGCACTCCTGCAGCGAGTGTTGTGGCAGTGCTGGATGTGGCGGCAGATGCGGCGACGCGGGAGCTCGAGGGCGTTCAGCAGGCAGCGGCGCGGACGGCAGGAGGCGGTGCGGGAGCAGCAGCAGCATCAGGCTCTAGAGAGGAGTCTGGAACGCCCTCTGGCGGAGTTTCTTGTGTTTCCTCGGCTGTTGCCCAAGAAGCAGCCGCCGAAAAGGCGTCGTCAAGGGGGTGGCTTGCAGGTCCTCCCCAGTTGTATCACCGGCTGCTCGACGGCATTACGCAGCTCGTTGAAGACGCTGGCATTCGCCAAGCGAAGAAGCTCGCCAGCGTTCCGTCGCCAGGAGGCGCTTCGCACGCGGACGGCCCCTCTCAAGAAACCCCTCTTCCCCAAACAAACGTCAATCAGGAGAGCAGCGGGACGGCGCCATCCGATGGAAATGTTGCGCATGCGGAGGCTTCTCAGTCGCTAGGCAGCGGCTCCCGTAGGGAGGGCGGCGCCCAGCAGCATGATGAAGGAGGCGTTGTTAGCGCGGCTTTCGACAATGCGGCGTCTGCTGCTCCGCGGCAGTCCAATTGGCTGTGGAATTTGTTGTCCAAGAGCCCTGCGCCGCTTCCTAAGGCGAGCGCTGCTCGGGGAGCTAGCAGCGTCGCAGCCAGCTACCTGTGTGAGGGGGGCGTGCCGCAGGGAGCTAGCAGCGTTGCAGCCAGCTACCTGTGTGAGGGGGGCGTGCCGCAGGGAGCTAACGGCGTCGCAGCTAGCTACCTGTCTGAGGGGGGCGTGCCGCAGGGAGCTAACAGCGTTGCAGCTAGCTACCTGTCTGAGGGGGGCGTGCCGCAGGAGGAGGCGCTCCCCAAGCGTTCATGGGCAGCCCGCTGCGCAGTTAGCCAGATGTACGTGTCTGCCGATGAGCCCGCAAGGGCACCCTCGGCACCTTCCTGCAGTGAAATCGTGCAGCTCCGGGCGACTGACACCGCCGCTGCGCTGAGCGCTTACGGCCGTCAGGCTGCCGCTTCGAGGGAGAGAGGCTTAAAGGACCATTTCTCCGCGGAAACGTTCTACTTGGACGGGGGGACGGCTTGCCCGACTCCCGCCGACAACTGGCAGCGCCACCCGGCGGTCAGTACAGCTGAGCGGATTCAGTTCACAACGTATGCTGATGACTTGAAACAAGAGAGGCGTCTGCAGAATCAGCCCTTCACGCTGCACTACCTGCCTCTGAAACACGAGTGCGCGTATTATGCGCCGGAAGCGCAAGGGCCCTTCGTGTGCGCTGAGGCACCCTTGCCGCCTCAAAGAGTGCAAGTGGATCTGAACGACGCAGAAATGCAACAACAGGCACTCCTGGCCGGGCCAGTCCTACGTCAGTGGGCACTGCCACATCCTTACTACCCGCCTGGCTATGCGAGGCTTTTGAGCCTCGACGGCAGAGGCGGCTTCGTAGCCTTCGCCCCTTACACCATGGCGGCAGGGGGGTTGGTGGCACCTCCTCCTAGGGAGTGGGGGAACGGTGAAGGCCAGCATGCCGCCGCGCTTTTGACGAGATGGCATCCAGACGGAGCAGGATATCCAACGCATCCCGCATACTCTGCAGCGGCCCCTCTTGCCCATCTGCAGCCCTTCGTCACTGGTCACAATGCGCGCGAGCCGCCGGCGTAAACTTCGGAGGCAGGCAGTCTTTGAGGCTGCGGGTGCCCGCCTCCCCTCTGTCTAACCTCTCTTAGCGGACCGAGGGGCTTCGTACGTGATTTTTCAATCCTAGGAATTTTAATTTCCTGAACGCAGCGGGCCCCCATATTTTACATTTCCTCCGGGCTCTAGCGCGTCTTTTTCAGTTTCGTTGCAGAGGGGCAAACGCGCCGCTGCCCTTGCGAGGTGCAACGCAGGGAGAGAGAACTTTTTTTCAGTTGTGTGTCAGTTTGTATATACATATATGTATATATGTCTGTATGTATATACGTAACTCTATGCCGTGCCTTATATTTGCGGCTTGGTCGCCGGCTCTGGTAGCGGGTCGACGGCTCTCTACAGAGTTGCTGGAGGTCCCCTTACTGCATCTGAACGTTTCCAGAATGCGGGAGCTTCGAAATAAGCTTCCCTTCCTACGTTGCCAATACTGGGGTTGGTGCAGCCACAGGTATTCAAGGGCATGTGGGAGAGTTGCGTTCTGCTGCTTCCAGGAGGTTCCTAAGGAGCCTCTCCAGAATGCCTGCTAGGGCGTTTAGCACGTTTCTATGCACTGCTGGCGTAGGGCAGTAGGGTTGGAGGGCTTGGGCGAAATCGGACTGGCGCGGCTCTTCGGGGTTATGGGGGGGGCTGCCTTCCTGGCACAGTGATTCCACACTCCCTTTCGGTAGGCTGCCTTCCCCGATACAGGTAGCCTGTAGCTTGAGGAGCAGCTGCCGAGCTGCTAGCTGCGATGCGGGGGAGGCGGTCTGACCTCTCGTCACTGCAGCCAACCGCCTCAACACCTGGCCCCAGTTGCGTTTAGAACAGAAGAGGACCTCGGGATAGATGCCTTGGCATGTGTATGCTCGATTCGAGGCAGCGTACCGCTTCTTCGCAGAGTGCTGCTCGGCTAAACCAAATGGGGTTGGCTTCGGCGAGCTGGACGGGGGCGGAGGGGGGGAAAGGCGCAGAGGCGATTTTTTGAAGGACGGGGCATATGAGCGGCAGCAGAAAAGGCTTACTATGAGCGCAAAGAAGGCACGGGAGCCCCTACTCAAATCCTCCTTGTCGTCTCTATTGTGCTCCCCGACGGCGGGTCTTATGAATTTGTTGCAAAGGGGCACGATGGAGAACGTGGTACAGACAAGGCAGCTACGCGACAGCGCTGGAACGATGCCACATGTGAATATTGCACAAAGGCACAGCAGGGCTGCGTCTGCTGCATTATCGTCAAGACACTGAAAAAGGATATCAGACACCAGGGGCGCCTGCTGAACTGAAACCTTCCGTACCTCCAACGCTGAGCCGATGCATGCCATCGTTAACCGAGCCAGATCTTCGTCCGTAAAGGAACAGACCAACTACAAAGGCACAGCGTACGAACCCCGTCAAAATCTGACCCTCTTTGCATGACTACCTGACAAGAAAAGACTGCGGCAATCATTAGGGCTCCAGCAGATCGCACTGTTTCATCCCTGTGCCCCAATAGGAACAGGTAGAATTCCACGTTGGGCCCAGTTGAAACAGGGAGCTGCTCTTTTTGAAATGAGCCAAGAAAAAAAGAGAGGAGTTGTTGCGGGATGTCCTCTCTCTGTATTTATTCGAAAGCGTTACAGAATCCAGATACTCCAGCGTTTTTACGTCTGCTGCTACAGCGTACCGTAGACTGCAGGAGTAAGAGAGCAGAAACTAGTAAACTCAGAGTGCCGCAGCCGTCGGCACAGCTTTGCCCTTCCTTCAAAGCTTTTATACTGTGTGTGATAATCTTGAGAAAGCTTGGCGAGCCTCTCAATGACTGTATAGCTGGAAACATACCATAGCTTCAAGTGTCACCGGAGATTTTTCAAGAGAACGCCAAACCTCTCTGCTCGTCGCTGTCAATACAAACGAACAAGAACTGCACAACAACACAGAGGAAGTTTGCTCTCAAAGACTGGGCATCCTGGTACAAAAAGCCCGCTAGCTTGTCGGGGAAATACGAACGAGGGAATGCAGCGCATTTACGGTGGCATTGAAGATTCCAGCGATGGCGCTTGCCAGCTGATGAAGCTTTACTGATATTCTTATAGCCTTTGGTGCCTCCAAGCGATCGGACCCCATAAGGTAGAGAGAAACAGCCTAGGAGAGTGTGTGTGAAGTCAGCGGAAAGCAGTGCAAGTTCGCTTTTTAGCAGCGCCACTACCTGCGTTGCCAGAGTGATATTGACTGCATCTGGACCCGCGGAATCTCTGCTGTCTGCTTCTGCCTCAAGGCACCGACTGATGATGCGTAGAAGGGCATCTCTGCACAGGAAGGCGTTGCAAGGCTGAGCTGTCAGGAGCCTCGAAACGATCCAGCTGGCACACTCGGGATGCCAAGCCGGCGAGTTAGCTTCGCTCAGCAGCACTTCGCTTAAAAGTGACTACGCCCCTATTGCTCTGGACACTTCAGGCAACTATACGCCAACAAAACTCCTTCGTACCTGAACTTTGCCAAGGTCACCTCGAACAAGGATGCAATCGGCATTTTCCGTTGCTATGAGCATGTCGTAATGAACCATGTGCCCGAGACTCGGTACGAGTCTGCCTAGCTCTCTGCCGCTCAAAGGCCAAGTATCTGCCAAAGCAAACAAGTTGTACGCTGCCTGCACGACCCAATAACGCTTCTAGTGCATGGCCTGAATCACCCTCTGGATAACCTGTCGGATGTCTTCTGCAAAAATGCTGGAGCTCCACGCGCACCACTCGGCGAAATCAATTGAACTTGATACGTCTGAAAAGAGCTGCAAAATGCTGTCTCTGAACCTCCTCAAGCTTCCATCCCTGAAAACGATGCCCGCTAGGCATATGACTATCCGCGGATGACGCAGAGCCTAATGAAGGACAAACGGCATGAAAGGGTTGGTTCTCTGCGCAGTGAATGACGCGCTCACCGTTGCGGATGTAGAGATTTCATCAAGCACTTTCTGAACAGTTGCTGCTGGCCTGTTTTCGCAGCTTAGCACAGCGTCAAAATGCGAAAGGCTCATCAATGCGCACGCTTTCATTTCTTGAGAACAGTTTTGAATGGAAGTGCTGTTGCCCAGGTAGGCAATGGTTGGGGGGTCCTTCCAGTGCGTTAGTGTGCAACTGCACTTACGAGTTGGCCAAGAACAACAGCGAGATGGAAACAATGGAGGCATTATACGTCACAAGCTACCAGCCCACTCATTATTCTATGCGATCGACTGAGAACACAATGCCAACACAAAAGCTACCTCGGAAAGATTTTCGAGAGAGCCTTGACGCAAGAACAATCGCTGCATCAATTCAACGTCTCCAAGACCCACTTCAATATCGCAGCCCACGCCCTTCGCCCCGTTGCTGCACTTTCCGCTCAGCAGCGCATGAATAGCAAACATAGGAAAGCCAGCCTTTTCTGCAAGTTTTGGTGGGAATTGTGGGTCCTTTGCGTCCTCCACAGCAAGGCGCAGTGAATGGCTTAGCAGGCACCTACAGCCCGAGATCAAGCCCAGAATTAAACATCTGCAGGAAAAAAGCACTTGCCCAAGGCTCTTATTTTGAACTGAAAACGCATTTTTGCATGTCTTTCGAGCATTACGAACGACTACGTACTTGTATCTGTCAGAAATTGAAGGGATTCCGTCTGTGCGATTTCCTCGTCATTATGAAGCTTGGACGGCACATGCACCAAGGAGAAGACAAGATTAAGAAAAGTGATTTGATCATCAATGGCAGCTGGACACGTGCGCTGCGGTGTTTAGTGTCATGTAACTTCGGAATGCTTGCTAATAGTCTTTCAGCAACGCACCCGCCAGTCAACAAAGAAGGATGAGATCATTTTCATGGTCAATCTGATGCATTTCTGGGTCGTATCAGCACTGTCAAGGCACCCTTCCGCGTGTGCTGCGAAGCTGTGGATTCGCAACGTAGAACGCAGCATCTGCGCCACCAGATAGAAAGCTTCAACTGTTGCGGTCGCTGGCCAGCGAGCCTCCATGCGATTGGGGACGTGCAACAGCTGCTGAAAGTCAAAGAATCTAAGGCGCACGTGAGATTCTTTAGACATATCTGTGTTTGTATCCTGCCGTACATTTGTACCCACGTATCGTGGGGATACTTAAAAGAGGCACCTCCTTTCGCAGCACTCTCGTCAAGCGCTGTGAAGACAAGGTCCTTATCTCCTTGCCGAAGTGTCTGCTCAAGCATCATGCTCGTCTGAGCTTACCTTGAAACACACGAACACAAAGAGCGAGGCTGCTAATGGCCCAGTCCTTGTCTAAATTTGTGTTAAGCTGTACAGCGCCGCATTTCGACGATTCTTCAAGAACTACGGAAAGGTCTTCCCAGCCCAAAGGCTGGGAACTTGTGTTGCCTCGGATGCTCTGATTCTGGCAGCAAATTGACGTCGTTGCGACGTTTACAATGGTTCTAAGCTTTCCGGGATCAGTATCCCATTGCTGCGAAACCGCTGATCTATTGGCTGCTTACGCGAAACAGTAGAAGCTGCAACTTGCCTGCCGCCCCTCCAACAGGGAGACAATCGCATTCAAAAGCAGCGGATTTTCTTGTCTTTTCTTCGTAATTATTGAGAGCATGGTGCTCAGTGCTGTGAAGCAAACCATAGGATGCTATACCTGCTAGACTGCATTCGCTAGCATGTCGAACCAGTTTCGAAATGATGCTGCAGAAAAGACGCGGAGTTGAAGATGTGCCCTGTCAGGCATTGGATCGCGACATGCGCCACATGTTTGCTATTTCTCACAGACTCCAACAGCCAGTCAATGATGCAAAGCTCGTCAAGAAAAGCCACCTTCTGGCTTTCTGGAAGCAAGGTAAACAATCTCTCCACGAGATGTATCGCGTGGTCTTGGACATTTGAAGTGGTCTCATCTGAAGCTAATATCGCCTGAAAGGCTTGGCCCAGCTGAAGCTGCATTTTTTGGTTCTTTTCAAGATATGGGATTATGCTAGGCGAGCGAAGGCACAGAGCGATTGTTTGCAGACAGTGACACATTACGGGGTGTGTCGGAGGTAACAGTCGTATGGCTGACACAACATTTGGCAAACATGCGGAAATAACTGCACAAGACCCTGGATCGCTTGTTGTCTCCAACACTAAGCAAAAGCAGTTGAGGATGAGATGAGCTTCCTGCGGATTGCTTTTCAAAGTTGCAGAAAGCTCAAGTGTAAGATGGCCCCAAAAACCAGGGTCCTGACATTTGAGTCACTACCTTCTACGCGTCTGAAAAGAACTGTAGAGTTTGCTGTACCGCAAGCACACTCATTGACGCGAAGGAAGAGCGCGACAACAGCTTCTCCAGAATGACGAGCAACAGATGCTTGTGGGTTCCAGTGGCTACTAAACACTTCCGCAACTTTCCTGCAAGACAAGTTTCGCCACAGAGCGAATCCTGGGTAGTGTACAGCAAGGAAGCCTCGTCTATGACCATGACAAGGCTGAAACGAGAGGTGGAGCGAGGAATTGTCTAACACAGGGTAAAGGTCATCCTACTCCACGGCGCTTTTTGGAGTTGTACTGTACGCGCACGCTTCCATGCAATCGTGTTTCGCAAGGGCTTCCAGCTGGCCAATGTCTTTAATCGCTGCCCATTATTCATTTTCACATGAGAAGAACTTACAACAGAATCAATAAAGGTCGTGTTGCTCATAAGGTAGCGACTAATTCTCAGCATCGCGTCCCGAGGGAGCTTCTGCAATGTGCTAGCCACTTCTTCAATAAAGCTTAATTTTGTCACGGGGGGGAGCTGCTGAAGGAGAAAGCCCGCCATACAGTCAAAGCAGAGCAAATGCCCCGCATAAACCTCGGTTGCAAACGGGTCATGGCTCTCGTGATTTTCGAGCTTTTTGCAGACAACGGATAGCCTCGCAGGAGAACCCTCCGGACCCCGTAGTCCGAACATCTTCATAAAAATGTGTGAAATACCTAGCTGGCATGTATTACTGTGCTGAAATTAGCGAAAAGGTATTTTAGAACGCAAACAATGGAGGCTTCAGACCATGTTGGCCTATGATCAATGCCTGACATCTTGCCCCAGCGTATGTATGTACACCTGAAGCCTGTCGTCCTCGAAAGAAAAAAAGTGCACTATGGCGTGTTTCTTAAATCAAGTGGCAAATATGTTTCATATCAGCCCTGCAGGAGCTAATGCGACCTACGAAGCAGTGGCAAGAGTCTGCTTGAAAAATGTGCCTGAGCTAAGCGTCCCCACTTCCCATGGACAAGAAGGAACTGTGTTCACCTTGTGAGAAAATGCTCTGAAAAATATTGAGCATATTAAATTATTCGAAACACGCCCCTGTGTTTTTACCACTTGCTTTGGTTTCAGACGTTCCCAGAGCTTCCGGTTTGCTGGAAGCATTGGGATGCTCCCGCCGGCATTGTGACAAGGAACAAATAAAGCTTGATGTGCAGCCTTGCCCCACCAACAGGCGATTCGCTCTTACCTAATTATCGCCTGCCACACACAGGTTCCCCTATCACGGGTCAGTTGAGGCAGCGAGGCACTGATTCCCCATTTACCTCCAGATCGGTAGTACACGGCTTGCTTTGGCAACTAGCCGGAGGCATTTCTTACGTTCACCATGCTACAAAAGGATCCAAAGAGCCCGTAATCGGAGGTGGCTGCTCAGTGGATTCTGGGTAGTTATCGAAATTCGAGGTGTCGTCAGGCGCCTAAAAAAAAGAACCTCACACATTTACAGTCAGTGCGGTCCAGACACGGACACGAAATATAGAACGACGCACCAACTCGTACACTGCAAATACAAAGTAAAAAGAGGAAAAGCCGACAAAACGGTGCATTCACTGAGGGGCACAAGAATGGAAAGCAAGGCTGACCTTGAATGCGGGCTTGTAGGGAGGAGGCAACTGCTTCTTCAGTAATGCATTCCAGTCGAAGCCAGTGAACCATTTGTGATCCTTGATATCCGCGACACCATTTCTCAGGTTGCCGTAACGCTTGGCCAGATCGGGGGTAAGTAGGCGCTTAACAAGCGCCTTTGCATTCCTGAGGAAAAAGGAACCGGCACCATACAATGCAAGTGTACTGATGGTAACTTCATCATAACCTGTTTCTCGCCTCTCTCGCACTATTCCGCCGCCAACGTCTTCGCGTCTGCTGCAAATCTCAAAGTACATCCAAAAAGTGCTGAAGGCCCCGTAGGCAGCACCAGCGAAAACTGCGTGAGATCTCACTTATCAAAAAACTTCGGAAAGACGATACGGCCCCCAAGAATCTTCTGGTAAACCCCCATTGGCTCGTCATCAAAAAAGGGCGGATACCCGACAATCATTTCGTATATCAAGATCCCCATCGTCCACCAGTCCACCGGCTTCCCGTGCCCTGAACAAGAAATACACGCAAAACTGAGATTCACATGCAGAAACATAGTAGACAACGCAGACGGAGGGCAAGAGCAGCCAGTTTAATGTATGGAAAAGAACACGGAACATCTAAACCGCTGTTATATCTCTGGCACTCCTTTTTACCGGGAAAAGACCTCATACAAAAATGCCTACCTTTGTTCAGCAGCACTTCAGGAGCGATGTATTCGGGGGTGCCGCAGAGCGTGTATGTCCTGTTTTCGATTACTTTTGCAAAACCGAAGTCTGTGAGTTTCAGATATCCCTCTGAATCTACCAGCAAGTTTTCCGGCTTTAGGTCACTGGGGGCAACACAAAGCAACGCAACACGCTCTTAAAGTTCTGCATAGGCAGTAGAACATTTAAAATGCACAAGAAAGATAGATACACGCGTATAGGCGCTTGTAATGCCTATACACATGTACGTTCATGTGTGTATACATCAGCATGCCGTTACATACACAAATGGCCATAGGTAGATGGATATGCAAACATCTGCCCACCCTTCTGTCCAGTGCTGCAGCATGCTTGCTCCCTCATACCCTCTCTTCTATCTATTTTCCATACTCTCTCTTCTACCTATTTCTCCAAATTCGAGCGTATCGAATTTTATGGAACTGCCAACGTTCCGCGAAGCGGATAAGCGAATTTCCTCGGAAAATGCTAACCGTACCGGTAGATGATGTTTCTGCCATGCAAATATTCAAAGATGCTCGTGACTTGAGCAGCATAGAATCGAGAAGCGTCGTTCTCGAACTTCCGGTTCTTCCTCAGAACTGTGAAAAACTCGCCGCCAATCACGTACTCCATCACTATATACAAATAACGATCATCTCGAAAGGTGCCTAGCATGTTCACCTGAAACCCCAAGAGCACATAGCAGTATGGAATTGAGACGAAGAGGGAAAATCATGTATGGTATCGTCAAGGGAAGAGGCGAAAGGTGCAGAGGTGACCACTCTCAAGACTCCACAGCCACTAACAGCAATAGGAAACCACCGCTACACACGCCACTCTCATACGGGCGACCCCACGATAGCCCACCAGCATAACAACGAAAGGGCAATCTGGTGCGTGCCCCCATCGAGGATTTCACTTTTAGTCATGCCCAGGTCCAGGTGGCTTCTGAAGGCAGCCGAGAAGCACCCTTCCTGAAGTGCATCTAGGAGGGCTGCACTTGGCTTGGCTTACGGTAAAAGGATGGTTGATCAATTGCAGGATTTTCTTTTCCGAGAGGATATGATCGACCTGCTTCTGCCTTATTACTGCTGCCTTCTTAAGGCGCTTGATTGCGACCGGAGGAGCTGAGGGGTCGTCTTTCCTCCGCGCCAAGAAAACTCGGCCGAAGGAACCTGCAGCAGCGGTCGTTACACAGCCACTCACGTAACCTGTGAGCGGGGGGCTACTCTGTTTCGCATGACCTGATGCTCCTCATTCCCAGAGACGCCAGAGCCGCATGGCTTTAAAAGCCTCCATTCAATTATTCCATTAACACAAGGTAAGCACAGGCACCTCAACGCCCATGTAGTGAACCGCCGTGCCCACGTGTCTACTGCTTCGAGCGCACTAAGAATATATCCACAGCACGAAACACCGACTAGTAACCCATGGCAAACAAGCTGAAAAACAGACCCCAGCTGGCCCTCAATGCATAATATACCAATTCAGAGCCTACCAGTGCCAAGAGTATTTGCGAATGCAAAGTTTGTTACGGTGCATTTTCCTTGGGGAATCCTGGCATGGAGCTGCGGGCTAGTCGACGAGGAGTCCTTCTGTGAAGGAAGAAGCTTCCGGAAGAGTTCCATTGACGCGACGCAAAAAGCTACGATACTGAATTTAACTAGAGCTAAGGGTCTGTTCAGATCTGCTTGTTTTCCATGCGGAGCGTGGAATACAGGGCGATTGCCTCCGGTGAAAAGTGTACACCACTAAGGGCTATAGCAGCGATGCGACTCTATGCTTCATGTAAACACCACCGCCTGAAGCAAAAAAACAGGCACACACACATGCATACGTACAGAAAGCAGCTGTTCTGGCTGAAGGAAAACAGCGTTCTGTAGTCCGCCTCAAAAGAGCGGCGTGTGCAGACAAGCAACAGGCACAGACGCAGCATGAAAACTTGCATCAGGTGGTCGAAACATGCCGCTTTCGAGCAGCAGGAAGCAAATCGCTCATACAAAATATACTCCTGCAATGTTGGTCAGTGGGTGGCCAAAGGCGAAACACAACAGAGCACCAGCGCCCATGCCTCCACCCGTCTTCACGGTCCCAAGGTAAGCAACTGCACCGAAGTATGGAGAGACAGGCCTTTCTCTCAACGAAAATGGAGCCACTGCTTTGGAAAGTGCATCCATGGGTCGTACAGGTCTGCTCCCAAATGGCTGCTAACTGCACATGGCAGCCGCTGAGTGAGCATTGCCCCTGCAGCAACAGGGCCCCCACTGCAGCCAGTAGCCAACGCCCTGCTTCGCTCATGAGGTGTTCAGTCCAAGTGAGAATTCTATGAGCAGACAGAGCTAAACAGGCCTGGCGTTGGGAAGCTGGGCCATCTGCTGCCGTGCTCTGATGCAGCAGAGCTTGAGAATGCTACGAATTACACACATGGTTTCCAGCCAACGCGAGCAAAATTCAGTAAACTCGCTTAAATGCCTCACCCATGGCGTGTGATCCCCGTAACTATGAGGTGTCGAAGAACAAAGAGTAGGAGAAGTACTCCGACGCGCAGTGCTGACTACCCACTAAACAGACGCCCCGTGGGTCGGGCAGCTTGTTATCGCGGCAAATTGGAGATGGTATGAGGGACATAGAGATAAGTAGAGAACAAACAAACTGCGACAGATTAGGTACATAAAGAAATATCTTGCAGGGCGTACCAACTGGCTGACCAGCTGCAGAGCTATTGGCCCATATACGGCATCTCCAGCGGCAGCACGAGAGCAGTCCAATTCCTTTTGGGGTCACTTTCTCCTCCCTTGAAGAATGATCACCGAAAATATAGCTCTCATTGAGACTCTAGCATCACCGCTCCTCCCAAAGGAAGAGAGAGGCGCACCCCGCGATGGGCACTAATGGTATGGTTTGGTAGGAGGTGCTTTCTCGTTACCGCAGCTACCAAATAACGCACATCCTCAGGCCTGCCTCTAATGCACTATCCTTCTTTTGCCCTCCTTTTCGAAGGATTTTGCGCAAGCGAGGCCATACTTTTCCCCATGTGCAACGCATAGACGCAAGGTGGTTTAAGTAGCACTCTAATTAGGCTTTCAATGGTCAGCCCTGACTAGTCTGGGAATACATCCTCCCCACCTGCACCATTGAGAGCAAACAGATGCATGAATATCGACAAGGTGAAAAGCTATATAAAAAATGAAAGAGTTAACGCACAGCTTACCGCTATCTTGGAGAAAATGGCGTGCATAACAGACGGTGCTAGCGAACCTGCACTGCAGGTGGCCTACTTATCGTACAATGCCAGAATAAGACGTGTTTCAGATCCGCCAAAAGCAGTTTCCGATATTTCTCACCATAAAATGCACAGAGTGCGCTTTGTGCAACGAAGCACGAGGAACACAGCATGACTGTCAAATCTTCATTGATATCCCTTCATGTGGGGTGGCACAAAGCGCCACCGTGGTCCCTCGAGGCCGCCTTCTCAGCGCATGGGAAATTCCTGAGATAAGCATTTACGCTCTAGGAAGGGTAGGTCGCCAATGTGGCGCTAGTAAATAAGGGATCAAGTACAACGAGCAGAGAAGTGTGAGCTGCTGCTCTCATGGGAGGCACAAGAAAGCCCTGTTGTTTATAGATCCGTGCTCTCACAAAGCGAGTGCATAATTGTAGATGGCCAAGTACAGAGGCTTGTTGCACGTTCCGCTCGGGTGTGCAAATGCACGGCGCCTTCTAAAACGTTGGAGCAAAGAGTCGACTTCATTCATAGTACTGTTCGAGAACTCCTTCAAAGCACTACAGACTCAAGGAATTGACGTGCAGACACCTGGTTATTCCTGTCAGAACATGTTTCAAACTTTAAACGAGCCCATCGGGTTGTGTCATGAATTTTGTTTTGTATAATAGTATTACACCGCCGATGAAATGCATTTGAGCTACGTCGTACAAAGCTCTGAGCTTGACCAGACAGCATGCGATCCTTCGCAAGGAACAAGTAAGAGAGAACAGAGCAAAAGGCAAATTCAAGTTTTCAAAATGCCACTCAGTGCTTCCTAGCAGTGCTGGCTGTCAGGTGCAAGCATGGCATGACGCTTTCGAGGTGTTCAGGCATCAGCGGAAGCACCGTACATATATAGTATCACGAGGGATCATACAAAATGTGTTTTGCACGTCTGCAGGTCGTCTGCCACAGCCTGATCCCATTGATGGATTGGATTGACCTCTGATTTCTGATCCTGCTCCTTGTCCTCTTTTCGTTGGTCGTTCCGATCCACGCAGGCTTTGTGCCTGCCTTATTCTTCACCTTCTATTCTCTTTGAAATGTATTTGCTTGAAAATCAGGCTCCGGGAAACTAATGTCTCCTGCACAAATACCTCATTTGGGTGTTCCGGGGTGTGGGAGCATCCATGTCGCTGGTCTATCTCTTTTATGTTACTCTTGTTACAGCATGTTCCCTGCGACTTCTGTTCAGTGAGTCTCCGTTCAAAGCACTCCTTAGCCTAAGCATACTCCGAAGGTGTAGCCAGAGTCTTCTCTCTCTCTTTTTCAAGATGGCTTCTTCAGCTGCTCGTCTGGAGAAACTAAAGCATTGCCTTTGCTTAAGGATTTGCCTTCCTGGCAGGTGGGACAGCCAGCGGAAGAGGTTCTAGTTACATAATAGTCCATGAGAGTCTATCCTATTTCACGTGAAAGGAAACGGAAAAGGATTCTCTCTCTCAAATGCGTGTGATTTGGTGTAAAGGAGAGGGCAAAAAACAAGAAAAAGATGGATTTTCCTTGAATATTCACAGCCTGTCCGGTGTTCTCAGCTAGGGGAAACGGATCATGACCAACCCTGCAGCATCGAGGTCAGGGTACAGTAGCAGTGTTCATAAGCTCTTTGTTCATTAAAGATACTCGAAGAACAGGGTGGGATGCATGAATGCATTCACGTACGGCTAAGGCCTCCCCTGATCTAGGTGCCGATGAATTTTCTTAACCATGCTACCCCTCTTAGCTGCACAGGCAGTGAGCAGTCAAAAAAGGCAATCGTAGCATTATAAAGAGCTGCATCATATACAGGGTTATGTGAAATGGGCCAAAGAGCCTCCAAGAGTGTCACTGCGGTTCCCCACTTTGAGGATCCGAAATTAAAGAGGCTGGTTCTGATGAAATGGGGGAGCTGGCATGATTCGTATCAAATATTCCTTCTTTCCGCCCTTCTTCGCTTCCCGTCGGCCGCGAAGAAGGTGAAGGAAATCAGGCCAAAGTGCCAAGTGCTACAGTTTCGCTGGTCTCTCCGTGAGAAAATCAACCAAGCAGGGAATTGAAGGCCGCATCGGAGACCGAAGGGACATGGCCGGCGGCAATGAAAAGTAGCGAAAATTCTCGTTTTTGTCTACTTCGTGGATGGTATATGATTAGCACAGCCGCATTGCAGCTCACAGGAAGAGCCTTGAGAGAGCCCTTGCACAGTACGTCAGCACACGCAGGCAAGAAAAACTAAAGGAAAGCACTGCGCATAGGGCGCGAAGTGCGCCTCTACAGCGTGGCAAAACGGCAAGTTACGAGTAAACCAAGGATCAGGAATGCCAGGCAGCCTAAAGACGCAGAGTGCAAAAATTAAAACGGCACAACATCCGTTCGCCGTCTGCATCCTTAGCACCCGAAGAGAGCTATTGTTTATGAACGGCAAGGTTTTACCCCTGCACACTCAAGCCTATACTATGTGCTTTTTCCTTTTTCGATGCGTAGCTGCCATCCTGCAGTCACGCCATCCCCTGGTTCCTTCCTCAGGTGATCTGCCCACTGCTAAACTGGCATTCTGATGGGATTGCTTCTTGCGACCTCTTCATCCCTGCTAAACACTCTTCTGAGTCTCCGTTTTGGCCTTCTTCCCCCCGCTACCTGACAGCACCCTCATGGAGCGCCACTCGTCGCTCTTGTTATTGCTCGTTATTGCAGCCGAAGGGAACAAAAAGTAGAAAGGCAACGTTACCGGCCTTCAGGATCTTCGGCAGCTGCTCAGCTGCAGAATATGTTAATGGTACGCAATATGCCACGCGAAATAGTTTTAATTTGATACAGCAGCGCCAGCGATAGGAGCTGCACCAGCAAATACCAGCAAAAGGGCGCTTGTGCACGTATGCTTGAGGAGGTTGATGCATGCTTCATTTTGTGCAATCTTTTGATCTCTGATCACTTCTTTTATGGAGTTACGGCAGCACATGATCTTGGCCGCTTGGTCTACGCACTTCCTTCACAGAGAATCAAAAAAAAACGAAGCATAGCACAGCATTTGTATGTGTGCAGATAAAACAGGAGAAGCAGGAATACAAGGAGGAATACGGTAATACGAACAGGCACCATTGCCAACATCGGCAACACCAGGACGAGGAAGTTGCGGTACCTGTGGCAGCAAATATCGAAGTGCAGCAAGTGCCGCAGAGGAGTAGAATACGCTCCTCCCTTCGCGATGACGACGATCTGCCCTTTTGTCCTCTTGAGATGCGGTAGGGCATATTTCGTGCAGAACACGGTGGCAGAAACGCAGTGTAGTGGGATGTCTCGTTTCCTGCACGTGATTGCACATTGTTCATAGAGCCAATCGTAGTAGGCGCGGAAAGCCTCCCCCCACAAAAACAAAGCAGAAAAGGCCTCTTCGTGCCTGCTCCATCTCCCTGCTGTGCGTGCTGGTGTAAAGGGAAGACACTATGCCATCTCCTTGACGCCCCACGGAGATCTGCATACACAAACATGCATTTCAATCCATCAGCTAGTGCGTGAGCAACAAAAAGGGGAATGAGGAACGACAGAGCGTATGCGGACAAGCTGACAGTGAATACCTCCCTAAAGTCCTCAAGGTGCGTTCGACGAAAGAAGGCACACACTGACCCCCCCAGCGCAAAGAAAGAAGGCGTTGCTGTTTTCTGCTAGTCTTGTTTAAGTTCGGGTGGATCCGATAGCTGGTAGCCACGTCATCGGTATGCCCTTTTGTTGGTAGGTGGAAAAGATTTTCTGATTGCTCGGGGCGGTCATATCCCCGGTTTCGTGGTGCTGAGGCGTTCTGGGGTGTATGCCAATGAAGCGTGCTATCAGAGCAGGAGAGTTCATTCACATTTTAGTTAGCTGTGCGCGTACTGCTTACCGCAGGAATATCCTACATTCTAGGCATTGATCTATGCATCGATGCGGATGTCTATATATTTTGCATGTGTACACGGATGGGCGTTCTTTGGTCTAATTTATGCCGCAGTAGAAGCTCAAGTGTCCACACCTCTCACTTACCCGCATTCAATTCATAATTTCCAGTGGTCAAGCTAGTTCAGCGTTTCCGGGATCGAAGTTGTGCATGCCTGCAGCGAATAGAACTCCTACGAGTTTAGGCTGCTGGATCAGGGAGCAAGCAGCCCAATGGAAAGGGGCACAACGCGCTGGGCGATGCATGTGACAAGGATGCGGAAGGGAAGGCAGTGAATCGACGAGAGCAACAGGGATGGAAAGGAAACACATAACGAATTAGCAGAGAAGTATCGTGGGGTGTCCTGCGCGTTAGCATTAGTGTGGACCTCTTCTTGGTCACGTTTGTAGAGACGGAACGGCGAGCTGTGGTTTCTGCTTTGAGGCAGCCGGATAAAGCGGGCTTTAAGGCCCTCTTTATCCTCTCCCCCGGCAAGCTCTTTATCCTCTCCCCCGGCAAGCTCTTTATCCTCTCCCCCGGCAGCATATGCAGCAGCGTCTTCCATGTACTGCAGGGCACGGGCCTGCAAAGTGTGAATGCAGCGGGCAGGGAACAGAGCGGCCATGGGACGCAGGCGCCACAAGCAAAAATCTCAGAGAGCAATGCAAGAAGAAATGCAGTAGCGCACTTCTTAGAGGACCACAGCTTTCTGAGATTGCGAAAGGCAGGAGCGGGAGGTGCTTCTGGGCTGCAGCGGTAAGCATGCCTGATCTACAGGGCCTCTTGTCTGGTTGTGCGTGTATGCAGACTAGGGAACAGCACAGCGGCAGCATGAACAAGCATATCAGGAAGGGTATGGATAGCAATGCCACTCACCTAAGCACTACCTCTGGTGTTGCTGTCGTGATCAGGACTATCAAAGCAGGAGTGTTTAGTGTAAGTAGAGCCAAAGAAATCGCTGACTAGTGCACCATGGATGTAAATGGGAAGAAGGGATAGCTGACAGGAAAGCAAGAGGGAGATACAGGAGATGACGGAGAGGCAATGCAATCAGCGAGAGAAGGCCACCATTAGGGAACCGCACTGAAATCAGAATCAGCGGGTGGCCTTTGTTAATGTTCTTTGCCCTCTCATTTTGTCGGGTGCTCTCTTCTGCTTCTAATGCATTTTTATTCCTTTCGTGGCGTCCCGCCCGGTAGACATTCCCCGATGCTCCCCCTTACTCGCGTTTCTCGCGCTGTGCCCTATTCTGTCCTCCCTCCTGATTCTTTAGACAAATTTTTCGCTTTGTGTTGGATACGCAATACCGAATGCAGCGAACCCATTGCGCCTGGGAACTACGCGGCGGGCACTTAGGGCTACAGCGGAAAGGCCTACGATGCCTTGATCCCACGCGTGTAGGGGCGGTGTGCTAAGGGGTGAAAAGAGGTTTTCCTCGGGGTCACCTTTGCAGTAGGGGGGGAAAGTGGGACTTGCTTTAGCTGATCGAACTGGGACTGCGCATCAGATAAATGCATGATAACAAATATTTACTTATCTTGTTCCTGTTTTTGCAACGACGAAAAGAAAGCACCACGGTCCCCGTGGTGTCTGGCCACCGTGTCACGAAATAGGCTGAGCCTCGAGTGCCCTCCGCCTTCTCGAACTGTATAACTCTCCAGTTGAAAGGCGATTCGAGTTTCTGGTGGAGAGCTTAATTTGTGTCCTCAACAACATGCAGTTTCTCTGCCTTTAATGTCCATCCTTCATTCAACAGGAAGAACAGCACTCTGCATGGCAACTCTGTTGCCCGCCTCTGCAGTTGACATAATGAGCAGCTACACGCTGCAGTATACTGTTGGCACAGCACTAAAAGCCCTGCCTGGCCAGCTAGTTGTGCCCCTTTGTATTCTCAACCAGGAGACTTACACTTCTGAAACTCCGGTATGTGGAGGCGGTGCAGCTTTTTCCACGAGCACACCTCGCCGCGTGCTGGTTCCATGAATTCCTATTCATCATGGTGTAACAAGGGGCAGCGTGCTTCTCTCTCTCTCCCTGCTTGCGTCTCGTAGCTGCTGTTTCTGTCTGTCTGCTAAATTTTCTGGCTGCACTCTTGGCGCCTCGAATCCCACGGGCTGTCCTGCCGCTTCCGAGTAGACCACATTCGTGAAAGGAGACTCACTGGGAACAGTTCTAGCGTAGCCCTGTCGCTTTCAGGTTCTAAACGCGGGATCGCCCAACACGTGCACCCCGCATCGAGGAGAGCAACCATCTGAGCGAGCGGGAATATCAATGTGTTGAAAAGAAAAATGGCAGGCAGACCGCCTAACCAAGAGACAACGTTCCTAGAGGGAAGAAGACCTTGCGAGTAATGAGCAACAAGGACCGAGCCAACGATTGCACTCCTTGCAGTTGCCAACTATCTCCCCTCACAACTCCAATGCCTGCACGTTTCCACTTTTGCGTCTCTGCGCGGTCGAGGGACAATATACTCAATAGATTTACGCTCGAGGATAGCTCCTTACTCCATCCATTGCCTTTTTTGATAAAAGATAGTCTGCCTGCTTGCGCCTAATCCTCCACAGAACAACAGCGCAAGCGGCGCGTCCCCGTGCATCACTTTTGGGAAGTCAATCCCAGTGTCACTAGACCTTGGGGACCTCGCCCTGTCAGTGTAATGCTCAATCAAAACTTCAAGTAGACGAGGAGGAAAGCGGACAGCATGCTTCTTTACGGGAGAATCCGGATAAATATAGAACCCTCACCAGCCTCAGTTCACAAAAGAGGGTATGAAATGGTTCCCCTCCCTCTCCTACACCCCAAATCCCCAGTTCTTTTCCTTCCAATCAGCAGAAACGAATCCACCCACTGTAGCGAGCCGAAAAACAGAAAATCGTACAAGAGCAACAAAGGGAGCGCACAATAGTTTAAATTAAGCGTCCAAAGTTTACTATGCAGCAGCGGTTTGACTGTAAGAATCCCCAATTCTGGGTGCGTGTGTCGTTCATGCCTTATGGGAGCTGCATGCTCGGCAGCCAACCATCTGCATGGCTGTCCCAATGGCGGAGGGGCACACTAAGAAAGCAATGTGGACATTCAACCTAAGGAATCCTTTCTCGCCCCTTCCCCTGTCTCAGTGTTGGAGAGGAAGAGGCCCTTATAAAGGGCCCGCGCCTCTTTCTCCTTTTTCTGGCTGAAGGAGCGAGCTTCCTCCCGTCCCCCGCCATCCCACAAAATGCCACTGAGGCCTCCACAGAAAGGATCCTACCCTTCCCTCCTTGTCTTGTTCCCTCACTCCTTGATAAAGCCCCGCCCTCGGTCCCTGGTCTATACCAGACACAGCCTACTGGTGAGAGGATGAGGAGGAACGGGTGGAAAGGGCAAGAGGGGAGGCGGCTCCGGGCTAAACAAAAGCGTAGAGAGAGAGAGACGAGTCTGTGCCACCGATCGGAAAAAAGGCAGCAAAAGAAGCCTTGCTCTCATACAGAGTAGTGCAGCGGATGCAGCGACCCCGCATGCTAAGGAAGAAAACTCGTCTCTCGACTCCTCTCCGCCTCTCGGAAGTGACTGCGTATATATATATACATATACGTACACACAGTTTACGTTGGGTACGTTGAACATCTAATAGTACTTCTATCACTGTACTATGCCGCCGGGGGATAGCTTCTCCAAGCTGCCCTCCTTCGTTTCCCCCTCTCCCTAGCGGGCGCGCGCCCTCTCCTCGAATAGCTGTCTCTATATTTAGGCGCCGTCGTAGTGTGCAAAGCAATTATCCGTAGAGGTCCTGTGGAGGAGCGTCGGCAGCCCAAGTTTCATTTACTGCTCGTAGACGACTCCAGCCGCTAGAGGGGCGGGGGGGCCGCACCAGGGCGCCTGGGGTTCTTCGTAGGCTTTTTCGATTTCTTCGGCTTTTTGCTGGAGCCCCTCGATATGCTGGGATCCCCTGATGTAGCACTGCGTCTCTGCAATGGTGCGCACGTCGGGCGTCCCTGGGGGATCCATTGGGACGTTCGGCTGGGGTGAGAGCGGCGGGAAGAGCATTTGGAAGTTGCCATGCGCTCTGAAGCCGGAGTACGCCATCACGCCTTGCCGCGTGAGAATGTCGGGCTCGGCAACGTAGCCGGCAAAGTTGACTTGGCCCACCTCTGGAGGGCACGTCACCATCAGAGGAGGCATGTACTTCATGCGCGGATCGCCATCCGGTGCTGCTGCACCCTCCCCAGGACCCCCGGCACCTGCGGGAGGCACGCAGAAGGGCGAGGGCTGTCCAAAAGGCGGTGCGTTTGGTGGCTTGCCCCACTTGAAGCCTTCGACGAGCTCTATGGCGGCGTGTTTGCCATCTCCGGAAACAAGCGTCGTAGACCGCTGGTGCTGCAGAGGCGGTGCGCCGGCTGCCCCCCCTGCAGGGGCCCCCTGGCTGATGTGCACGTCGATCTTTGCCTCGTAGGGAAGATTGAGGGAGTTCATGCTGCTGAGAGGCATAGGCCCCATCTGGAAGGGCACGGGCATGTTGGCTGCGATCCCAGAGGGCAGTGTTCCCGCAAGGATTGGAGGGAGAGAAGCGGCGTCGGGTGGCTGATACGGAACCTCGATAACCTTCTCGACGTAGCGCGGCACATAGTATGGCACTTCGACAGTCTTGATCTTGGGGACTTGTTTAACAACCGTCTGCGGTACCTCGATAACCTTTTCCTTAACCACCGGCTTGATGGTCTCGACAACCCGCTCAACCACCTGGACCTTTGGCCGGGGAACAATTTTGGGAGGATACAGACAAGGAACCTCTACCGGCACTTCCACGTATTTTACTCCCTGAGGCACCTCGATCACCTTCTCCTCGATCACGGGCTTGTACACTTCCCGAGGCACCTCCTTAACCACCTCCGTTATCGTGGGAACTATGCGCTTGATCTTCAGGCTGCGAGCAACTTCCGCGAACTTGTGCTCGTAATGCACATGGGGCACCTCAATGGTTCGTTCCTGCACCTCCTTCTTCGCAATGTAGATTTCTCGCTCTTCAATGATTGGACGGGCTACAAACTTCTCCGGGATGCGACGGCGAATCTCTGGAGGGAGGGGCATAGGACCCAGGGCTGTCATCACCTGGGGGGGAGGACGGCTCACGGGCTCGTTGGTAGGCGCGGTTGCATGCATGCCGTGCCGCTGCTCTGCCGCTGCCGCATCGCCTGCGGTGGCTGCTTCTGCCGTCGCGTGCGTTGTTTCAGCGTCCCCAGAACGACCTTGACTCTCGTGAGGAGGAGGCACGGTGGTGCTCACAGGGGGATAAGGGTAAGGGGCCTCTAGAGACATGAAGCCAGCCGAAACTGTATCAGCGGCGCGGGAGGGGTGAGGCAAGGGCTGCACGAGGACGTCCACGCCCTCCTCAGGGGAAGTCACATCTTCCCGTGCGCTCATTTTTGCTCCTAAGGAAAGCACAGGCGGGCGCAAACAAATCAATGCTCCGTAACAGGGGCAGCTAACGGGGTGAAGAACTAGGGCATGTACTGCAGGATGCACAAGGTCCACATGTTCGAAAGAGCGAGAGAGGTGCAGGAGCTCACATCCACAACAAATAGTGAATCATGCAGAGCACAGCCGAGTGCAGAAAGCTAAGATAGAGACTTTGAGCGGACACAAGACAGGACGAAAGAAACAACCAACAGGAACTGCATACCGGCCCCGAAGGCTGAGCGACGCAGGCAGCGAGCCGTGCGACACGCAATGCGATGCAGCGCTAACAAGCCAAAAGGCCGTGTGATAACAGCTTATACAGCGCAATAAGTGTGCGAGAAAGTGCATTTATGCAAGAATGACACCTAGAAAGAGGAGGAAACGGACAGGGCACCGGCTGTCGGCGGTGGTGAGTCGGCAGCACATGCCGTGTTCCCGGTTCTCTGGGTCTATTCTGGAGAATTGGAGAGAAATCACTCTTCTCTCTTCATTCCAACAAGACAGACAAAGCCGAGGAACTCAGGGAGAGATGAAGCAGAGATGCGGTATGACGCAGCATTTGCTCGGTGAGTGCACGTCATCGGGAGGATTGTGACCGAAAACTTACTGGTCCCGAAAGGGGGAGGCCGTCTATGAAGGATCTTTCGCTGCCTTTTGGAACGTATTTGCTGCTAAAGATAGACAAAAGGGAAAGGAACAGAAGAAACTTTCGCATATGTATCAACTGAAGTCCTGTGCTGCAGCTGCCTGGCGCAGTATCGAGCCACAGCACAGCTGCTGGCCAGCAAAGCCAACAGGGGGAAAGGGAAGGGAAACCTGTGTAGAATTGCACCTTTTACACAATTTAGCCAGCATTTTCTCTTTGTTGACTCATTTGTGTCCTAATACATGATTTTGGTTCAACAACTTAATAATTTAGCGGCGATTTCGCTCGAAATTCCTGCGCCGACTCAAATACAGCCAGCCGCAAGCACCCGCAGCAGCCGAAGGTCGCTGCCCCTGGTGTTACTTGTGAATGCGGCTGAGGGGAGCGTCAGAAATGTGCCTGGGAAGTGAGGAAAATGCTTCATGTCAAAGGGTAGCTTCTGGATTGTTTTACTCACTGTCTCTCCTCCGTGCACATAGCTAGTTACCTGAATCTAGGAACCGGCGAACGATCTCACTACAAACTGCTTCACACGACGAGATCCGTAAAAGAGAGGAAAATGGTCGTCTTGTTTCCGATTGATTTGCTGCGTCAATTGCCGCACGTCCCCTCAGAGGCTTTCCGGCGGCGAGAGATACTACTGCGATTAGCTTTGGAACTCGTACCCCTGCCACACACTTCGTCATGCCTCGCCGTGCGCAGAGACAAAACGGACAATTGAGAATTACGAGCGTGGTCGGACGAGGGTAACGAGCATACTGCGCTTCAAACCAAGAGGAGCTGTTCGGAGGCAGGCCTAGTACCCCAGGCAAATAGGAAAACTGAGGATATACGGATGAAGGTAAAATGCACATAGATGGCACAGAGAAAGAGAGAGAAAAGAAGTAAAAGAGGAAAGAGGCGTGATCGGGTTGTGAAGGCACGACAGTTAGGGGTAACTCTATGCAAAGCAACAAGAAGGCGCGCATGCCGAACTGAAAGACACTTTTTCTGACTACGCGTGCCCCAGCCTCCACTGGGGCCGTTCATCGCGTGAAGGTTGAGGAGACCCTACATATGCATTAGGGGGCTTTGATGCATTCAAATAGACCCTCTTTATGTTCGAAATGCAGTTAGTACTCGCCTGCAACACTCGAGTTCCGTGCAAGATAACAGCGCCGGCAAGGCCTCGGGAACGATGAGGCCTTTCATTCCTTGTGTCTCGCGATTCTAGCTGCACTGTACATGCTGTTAAACGTTAGCACAGCGCTAACGGTGTGTGTCTATACAGCTCAGTCCTACTACTGGCTACAGGTAGCTGGCCTAGTTACAAGTACAGAAATGCCCTGGGCTTTCTTCCGAAGGCGGCCTCCCGTTGCGGCAGGAAACTCTAAGAAGAGACCCTGCAGCAGCTGTGAGTATGCACGTCGCTGCTCACCAAACTGCATGTGGACCCTAGAGAACATCTGAAAAAACTCTTGCTTGGCGCTCGAGGCTTTGCCGGCTGTCTTAAGGGGAACCCTTATAGCCGAGGATCCCGAAAGGACCCTTGGCAACGGAGTAGTCCCTTGCATATACGAAACATCTGAAGAGCAGTTGCACGACGGAATGGAGGTACAGCATAAAAGCGGCGAAAAGGAGGCACACCACCACAGGAGGAGGTGCTGAGGGGCTCTGATGGCCGCTCATGAGAGACAACCGCGAAGTTCTGCGGCTGCTCTCATGCTCTGCAGAGGCATCAGGCCCTTTGTCGAGGAGTTCGCAGCAGGATGCACACATCGTCAAGACACAGAGGCCAACGCAGATCTAGCAGCTCCCTTGAATGGAGAAAATCCGAAAGAGGCGCACGCAAGAAGAGAAAGCATCAGCAAGGGCACTTCAGGTTCGCCGCGAAAGCTTTCAGCAACTCTGGAGTTGCTGCAGCCAGCACCTGGTGTTTTGAGAGGTCCAGCTGCTCAAATCATCGCAGACATACGCTGCACATTCGCACCTTCACGCGCAAGAGCTCGGGAAGAAAAGGCAACTCGAGAAGCGATGGAAGCAACAGCAGCAGCATATGCAGCAACATCGATATTGTAGCAATGGCAGCCACAATCGACGCTCCTGCAACAGGTGCCACCCATGCAGCTGCTCACCGGCTGGTTGCCACGCATGTCACTGCAAACGGCCCCCGCCTCCTCAAGGATGAGACTGCCAGCAGCCATGTCCTGAGAGGCGAATACAGTCGAATCGCGCGACTAGCTATACAGGTGCACAACTACAGAAAAGTGCCACAGAGCGCCTAGAAAGCCTGAAGATGGGAAGTGGGTGCCTTTCTGTCTAATGAGTGCGAGAGTCCTAAAACGGCGAAGCGTTGAATTCTTTCTTTCGACTCCTTCAGCCTTCGCTCACAGCGGGAGCTTCAGAGCGGCTCTGGAAGTCTCACAACTCTGTGAAGGAAGATTGCGAGAGGCAACTTACCCATTCCTTTGGCCCGAATGTCGCAACGCAGTCAAGCCGCCCAGCAGCTGCAGCAGCAGCTCAGCAAGCGAGCACTTCCCGCAAGAGCATGAGGGCAGCAGCATGAGGGCAGTGAAGTGTGCAGCAGCTGACACAGGGCAGAGGTGCAGGCAAGGCTTGCCAGGAGCACTAGCGTGACGACAGCGGGCTACGAATACGCAGATACACGATCCAGCGGCCAATACAATGAGGCGTCAAAACGCGAAAGCTAGGTGTTGAACACACACCCAAGTAGCAAAGTTCTAGGGCTGTGCTGCCGAAGTGTCGGATATCCCGGCAGTGGGTCGTTACAAAGTTAACGTTGCTAAGCACGGACTCTGCAAATTTCGCAAGACAGGGGAAGAAGCGGCTTTCGGAAAGCGGAAATGCGGAGCTGCTCCCGAGAGACAAGCGTACACAATAGAGGCCAAATGTAAGGAAGTAGGGGGTGGTAAAAGAGGGGTGGAAAAAAGGGGGTGTCTGACGTTGTCACACAAGGCAGAGGCCCAGAGGCGGTAGGGAGGGTGAAGCAGCGTGGCCAGCAACACGTACCCTGAAACGTGCGAAGGTAGCTGAGCCGCGTTTCATCGGTTGTCTCTGTAAGCTGAACTCAGCAAGCGCATGTCGCAGCGCACACTTGCAGCCAGTGGCGGCAAGTGAAGGAGGCCGCCGCCTCCAGACGCAGCCTCTACGGCAGGGGTGGCCAGTGGAGACAGCCAGCGCCGCAACGGCAGCGAAAGTTGGAGGCTAGGGAGGTATACTTGTCGAAGCGTAGACACCCCAAAGGATACGCAGGCCAGAGCCTTCCCGACTTCGGTGCAGCTGGACGCCTTCAAAGGGGCCCCGTTGAGTGTGGCACCGTGGCCTCTTTCCGCGCTGAAAAGCTCCTTCTGCAGAAACAAAAATAGAATGATACAGCACGTTCGGGTTGGTAGTATAGGGGAGGTCGTTCGCCTGCCCTGGGGAATGCGTTGGAATGCTCTTTTCGAAGGCAAGCCACCGGCCAGGGCTTTACGAGGCTTCAGCAAGAAGTCAGAGAAGCAGAGGCAGGGTAGGTAGCACACAGACAGAGGCTTTAGTGTCTTGCCGCGCACGCACCGTCACAGGCGAAAAGACGACCCCGATGAGGACGCGTTTGTCTCTTGCAAAGGCGATCGAGACTGCACAAAAGTCATTGCGGCAGCGGCAGCTGTAGGTGGCACGCCTCTGAAAAAGGCCATGAAGGGTCCCCAAGTCAGCAGAAAAGGGAAAGGCAGAAAAAGATCAAGCAGAGAAACAGCAGAACTGCCGAAGGAGACGCGCAGGATCACGGCATAACCTAAAGGAGCAGCTGTCGATTGCACTGGCCACGCCTGATGCAACAGTTGCCGCAGCGGCGGGCCCTAGGGTGTCGCATACAGCAGAGGAGCTGCATGCAAGCGGTAAAGCAGATCCGAACTGTCTGCAGCTTCTTACCACACGTAAAGGGAAGGCCGTGAACGAAGTTTGTCGTGCCGTCAATCTGCAGAAGCGAAAACGGCATGGGAGGAGGGGGGGAACGGGTGAAGCGCACAGCAGCAGGCCAGCAGAGACACCGCCTGGGATAGGTATACATATCTATATATAGATATATATAGATACACGATAGCAACAAAGAAACTCGGCGGAAGTAGCTGCAGCGCTACCAATACACACAGGATCAATAATCCAAGTTGGTGCATCCGTGAGGCGTTGGTCGGCAGTCGCAGATTCTGCACATCAAGAAGCACGCGGTGGGGGCAGCCGATGCATCAGGACCATCCGCGCGAGGCGGAGTGTTTAAGAAGCTTTTTCGCGCCTTCAAAAGGGAGTAGGCGGCGATTACAGGGAAAAAGCAACACAGGCAAGATCCGGCAAGGCCCCCGTCCGCCCGTAAACAAAGAAGCTCGCCTTCACAAAGAAAGGCATGATGCGGAAACGCTTCTTGAATCATGGCTTTCAGCCGTTCCTCAACTCCCGTGTCAAATTCTGTCACAAGATCCGCTGCGGAGGCCTTCGTCTTCGCTTCGCTCCCCGTTTTGCAGCGGGTGCCACAGCCAAAGCCTTCGAGAATCAACGGCCCCACAGACTCCGCGAGATTCCGCACGAACTGCAAAGTTACCTCGCCGTCCGCCATCTTCTTTGAGGGGGACAGCAGCACCAGTGTCAACTAGAACCGCCTGAGGCAGCAGCGGGGGCACGCAAGCAACGGAGTTGCTGCACAGCTAGCGATACTGGTGAGACTGAAGTCTCTAGAGGGCGCCCCTACGTTCAAGAGGCACTGAAGAAGCAGTGAAAAACGGAGCTTTCCAGACCCGTCGGGAAGATGTGGCTACAAGCTGCTCTACTAGCAGGACACCCCGCTGAAAGGGCCGCCCCGTCGTATTTATGGCCTCTTAATTTGAAAAATAGCTTATTTAAACTCGATACGAGGGTTCTTTTGGGGAGAGAAGGCGGAGGGCTTAGGAGCATACTCAGCCGAGGGGGCCCCATCAGGCACGGGGTCTCCCTCGAGGGCCTCCTAGAGGCCCCCACGAAATCCGGCTGCGGTGCTCTGTAGGGGCAAACGAGCACGTTTGGAGCCTTTTTGCAACGAAGCAGGAAAACTATAGAGGGGAGTTTAGGGCCTCTGCTTTAAAGCATATAGCAGCCTGGTGAGGCCCCCGAGAGAGCAACTCCTCCCCGCCTGGCCCCCTCACTGGTTGTACGTACACCCCCTCGATTGCTGCTGTCGGCCTTGATTTTAGCATGCTATAGGGCACTCGATCAGGTTGCTTTAGCGCGCTAGGGGCCAGGGGCGGCAGCGAAGTGGAGCCTTGGAGCCTGTCCGGGATCTGCCCTTCATGAGCATCAGCCACAAAAGCCACAGGAGTATCTCTACCAGGCGAAAGCTGCGGAGAAGTAGGCATTTCATGATGTGCATTTGGGGGCTAGGGCCGGCGGGTGCAAGTGCTGCGGGGGCCCTCAGTTGGTCTCATGCTTCGCTCCACAGAGCAGCGCGAGCAGCAGGAGCGACCATAACGGCCACGGCAGCAGTTTCAGGTGCCCATACTCCTCAGATGGGCAGCTTGATGCAGCAGCGGCGAGGGCTGAAGTTTGTACACCCGCGAAATTGGATCCTCCAATGGAAGTTGAAGCCAGGAGACCACGTACGCATGCACGTGCTTGGCTGCGGCCGACCGCTTTCTGTCATTGTTACGATGCAAGCTCTTGATATTGATGTCATTTTTGCCTTTTCTGGCTTTTTGCCGCTCTTTTAACATTGTGCAGCTGTTGCGAGCGTGCAGTAAAATGGAGACTTCCATCTGTCTGTTGTATGTGCATTCATACCTCCACGCCTTCGTTATGTGCATCGGTGTGCATATCCTTCTTGTGCATGGGTTGGTGGCCGTGAAACTGCAGTGTCGTATGCTGTCCGAGCCCCCGATGCCTCCCCCTGTTTGAACCTGAATGTTCGAAAGCTCGATGCGTGACGGACGCGTCGATGCTTTTCTTCATAATGCATTTGTGTCATTCCGCTTAATTAGGACACCAGATGACGTTTCCCTACAGAAAAACGTCATCTGGTGTCCTAATTAAATGCGTATTTTCATGTGGCAAGGTGCTTGTGGATGGGGAGCTGTTACAGGTCATGGTCATTAGCGGCAAGTGGCGCGGCCGGACGGGAAAAATCATTCAAACTGATAAAATGAGGAATGCAATTGCTGTAGAAGGCGTCAAAGAGGTGAGCTTCAAATTGCACTCATAGAAGCACAGAGGCTTTCATGGGGTCTGTTCAGATCTTCTCGAGGGGACACCTCTAGGTTCCCAAACGCATCTGCATCCATACCCCCATCATTGTGCATCCTTATTTTGCGCTTCAACCAGTGTCTCTTCGTATGAAGCACACATGGCCGTCTGCCCGCAGCGAGATATGAGTTTTCTTGTGGACCCGTTCTCCCTGCATACAGACTCCTTTATGCAAATGTGCACATGTAGCTTTCCACACATATTTGCATTTCGGCCCATCAGTGTCCGATCCTGCTTTCCCTGTATTCATTCAGATTTCTAAAAGTAATGCGGATTCTCATCAAAACTGCGGTTTCTGTGATGAATCAACAGTCATAGAGCACAAGCACACAGACGCACATACACAAATTCACAAGCACACAAGGTCACACGCATATGTTACAGCGCATGGCCTGAAGAACCCGTTGTGCCGAACCAAAATCCTAGGAAAAGGCAACACTCCTTTTTTTGTGTGCATTGCCGCTCGTTCAGCGAATCATTCGGGACACTGAGGGCCGCGAGGTTCAGATTGCTGGGCTAATTCACGTATCTAACGCCATGATCCTCGATCCTATTAGCGAGTAATGACGTGCCCTAGAGCTCCCTTAATGGGCCGTCGGTCCCTTCAGCCCAGACATTTGACTAGACAAATACTAGTCCGCACTAATCTCAGCACCCATAGCATTGATGGATGGATGCATGCATGCATCAATACATAGGGAATTTCAGTAGAGGTTCCTGGGAAAAGCCAGTTTCCAAAAGAGGGCCCCTCCCCCGGCTTCCGTTTCAAAACGGGTTTCAAGGGGGTCTTTTAAGTTGTCCGTGGCTTTCGTGAGCTGTATAGCTGATATTACGACAGTCTGCATCGACGCCTCCAGATGTGCGTGCACAGGTGTTCTTAGTGCGTGCTGTGTGTACGCCTGCAGGAAACCTACTCGCCTCGCCTTGAGGAGAGATGATAAGGGACTACCGGGTGAGGCGAGACAAAGGCCTTGGCTGCTGTCGCTGCCGCAATGAGCTACTTTTATCCAGACATGCATAGCCTAGTGCCCACAGCGTTTTAGTGACGAGAATCGACTGGGGCATCCTGAGTGTGTTTTAGAGTCCTCTGGTTCACTTACTGTCTCATTACGAATCTCTTGTTCTCCCAGTATGAGTGCTTCTTGCCTCTTAGTGTAGTCGGGAATCGTGCGCCCCTGCCTGGGCGCGTTGCAGACTCTGTGCCTGCCGCTCTTTTTATGCCCTAGTTCGCCATTTCTGTTCTGCACCATCGAACCTCCTGCACTTTATTTCTTGTGCATGCTCCCTCTCGCCGCAACCTTCTGCCTGCAACCACCCCCGTATCCCCGCAGGCTTTCTGCTTCTTTCCCACCCTTTGGCTGCACACGACTTGGCGTGTCCTCTTGCAATTGGCTTTGCGGTCTCTATGTATGTCTGTCAAGGTATGTGTGTATGACTGTGTATGTATGTATGCGGGTGCATGTATGTGTATGTATATGCATCTATGTGTCTGTTTCTGTGTTGTCGCCGGATGACCCGCCATGTACGCCTGCTTCTTTTGCCTTCGTGATTTTTTGCAGTGCGGGTCTCTCGGCGCAGCGGCGTTGTCGTCCCGTGGCCTGATGCATCTCTGGTTGCTGCAGACACCAGCAGGGGTTCAGTAGAATACCTCCGCACCGCACAGCAGCAGCAGCAACAGTATCGTGGGCGGCAGCAGCAACGGGACATGGACACCGCAGCGCCCGGGCCGAAAGATACTCCCAAAGAAAAGGCCCTAGAAAGGACTTACGACTACGCTAAGGTTAGGAGGATACAATAGAGCGACAGCAGCAGAGGGCAGCGAGCCAGCCGGGGTTTTCCTATCATCGGGTTGTGCGTGTTTTTGTTTCGCAGGAAGTGGCGACCATGGACGCTATTCGGTTCATGATGAGCAAGTACAACCGCGATGTCCGCTGACACTGGACAGCACCCCATCCCTACCATCCATGGGGACGGCAGTGCATGCGTGTTGTTTGAGGGTCCATAGAGCGCGCGTCGGGCCTCTAGATGCCGCAGCCATGCTGCGCTATTAGGTGTATGCATTCTGCGTAGCTGGTCAAAATTTCGTGCCAAAGCCGCATCATCTAGGGCAGTAGCTCCATTGAAAACGCCATGTGGTGCGACTGCTGCTAGCTGCAGCGAAAACGCTGCCCTCTGTTTCGCAGCCGTCTAGTACAATGCAGGCGAGGTCTCGCGGGGGAGAGGCCTCTGGGCCTAGTGGTGACACTTTTCAATACTCAGCGCCTCAGCATCTTACAGCGGCGGCAGCAGGAGCAGCCCGTTACGAAAGCGTTGTGGCTGCTGCTTCCACGCACTTAGGATGCGGGCCGATCGCTGTCGCCGTAGTGCCCCATGAGGACAGCAGAGCCCTTGCGGTAAGCTTCTGAGAGTCCGCGGGTGTCTGCGAGGCGGCAGCAGCAGCAGGCGCATGTATGTTGACATGTATATTGACTGGATAGCGGCAATCCTGTCTTCCCGTCCCGCTAGCCCTCCGTTTCTGAAAGCCCGCATGGCTGGATTTTACAAGTGCTCCTGGGAAAAGTGTTTTTAATTGTGTGGTGGTACCGTCGCCATCGCCAGTGGCTGCTCTGCTGGTCCCCCGCTGTCCATCTGTGGAAGCAACTTCTCTCGCTACCTGCAGCAACCGAGTTTTTGCTGCTGCTGCTTCTTGTGCTGCATTGCTGCCCGCTGCGGCTGCTCTGCGGCTGCTGCCTGGGAGGGCGCCAAAGCTCGCGGCACGCTGCAGCTGTTGCTGCAGGTTCGCTGAAACGGCGTTGCTGGAAGAAGCAGCGACGGCAGCTTCCGCCAAGGTCGCCCCCTCTGGGAACGCGAGCCGCAGAGCCAGCACGTCATGCATGTAGCATAGCTCATCCCGCAGAGTGTCCTCTCTGCATGCAGCAGCAGCAGTAGCAGCATTTTCTAGCATTTTTAAGCGTATGACTGCGATAGCTCAGAGGGTAGAGGCAGGCATAGCAGCGACAACTGCAGGAGTGTGCCAGCAGCCTGTTGCTGGAAACTTGAATTGTTGGCCCTTTGCAGCAAGCAGCCACAGGAAGCATCCCTATGCAAGAGGGCTCATGTAGAGTAGCGAAAGCAGCAAAAGCAGTGGGGGCGAAGGGGAAGGAGGGAGCGATGGCGGCAGCGTTTCTGCACCCGCGGGACCAGTAAGCAGCGAGCAGCTGTAGGAGCAGTAATGTGACATTGTACCTATATTGCAACCTGATGTCACTAACGTTGGACTGGCGCATGCAGTTGCCTCTTTTCCCTGGCAAACGGAATTGTGGCCCTAACCAGTGCGCCTTATACTCGTCTTCATAACCGCTGTAGTGACAACAGCAGCATGCATCAGCAACAGCAGCATGCATCAGCAACAGCAGCATGGAGAGAGAGAGGCAACACCCTATTTTTTTCTCTCTCTATCTCTTTGGCAGAACCGGAAAGCCTTTCGCTTAAGATGCAATGCGCAGGCAGGAGAGACGAAACCAGACGCTAGAGGCGCACAGATTGTGGCGACAAGTGCTTTCAGGTGTACATATGCGTGTGCGGACCTCTGTAAAACAGAATTTCGCGCCAGCTCGCACAAATCGACGGGTGTAAGCTTCCAGTGGTGCTGCACGAAAAACCCCTCCGCAACACAGTCATGACTAAACGCAGTTGCAGCAGACTTGCAGCCGCGGAGTGCAGCGGCATGTTTGTTCAGGGTCAGGTCTTTTCACAGCCAGCACACACACACACACCGGCTAGAAGCAGCAAAGATCAGCCTCCGCAGCATCCTTACCGCTGCAAGAGAATATTCTTCCAGGAGCGGCTCATCCGTGAAGTGAAACATCAGGGGGTCGTCTGTGGAGAGAGAGACGTTAAGCCCTATTTTGAAAAAGAGGTTGAGCGGATTTTTTGCTGCAGCAAACACCCCCAACCACCACCCGATGCAGTGCCGCAGAGGCCTTGGCAGCAGCTAACGGCTTTTCTAACTGCTCCGAATCTTGAACTCTACAGTCTGCAGCTGGAAACTCCTCGAGCGTGGCAAAGGATGCAGAATCGTGCGGGGGTTGTGACTGGCCAGGCCCCTGGAGGTCAAGAGAAAAGCGTTTCTCTCGGGAACGCACCAACTTCGAGAAACAAGGCATTGTTAGAGAGTGGCGACATGGCAATTCCGATTTGCTGCAGATAAAAAAGGTATTGCAGGACGGGGCTTTTCTTAAGAAGAATCCCATGGTTTATCCCCTTGGCCAAAAGAAACATTGTTGCCAGGTGAGACACGCTGCCAGCCTCTCCGCAGTGCGGTCTGAAAGCGCATCAGTAGTAAGCGGGAGATACGTCGCAATCGCTGCAGCATGCGCATGCAACGTGGAAACAAACTAGAGCACACACACAGCAGCTGCGGCGATGCGCTGTGCGCTGAATCCTGTCTCATTCAAGGGCAGCAACGCCCCCTCTCCTCAAGACTCTCTGTTTATGATCAGTGGCCATGTGTTGAGCGCGTCGGATATCTCAGGGAGCACTTCCTGTATAGATGTGTGTGTCTTCACCCTCCCTGAGAAAAGCCGCCTGCCTCGTAGCAGTCTCCCTCCCTTCCTTCCCCCCCCTCCTAAGCAGCTAAGGGATCGCCTTCTGTGTGTGCGTGCTGCTGCCCCCTCGTGCGCTTCGCTGCAGTGCCCCTTTTAAGCAGTGTCTGCTTTCGCCTGTGTCTGCGAACCTGAATGCCAGGGGCCTCACGCCTTGAATGTACAGAAGACGGTTAAGCGCTCGAATATTCGCATACATGTAATACCCCCAATAGGAGTATGGTGGATTGTCTGAGGAGGTCCACAACTCGGGAGGGGGCAGGTCGCCTCCTTCCATAGTATACTTTGAAACGTGGGATTCATCATCCACTGAATCCCAGCCAACCACCTGCACCAACCAGTTCCCCACATTTTTATACCCATATATATACACACGCATTTTTATACACATACATGCACACTTCTATACACATATATGCACACACACATTTTTTTATACATACACGTACACATTTTAATACACACACACATGTTTATGCACATACACATGTTTATACACATACACATGTTTATACACATGCACATGTTTATACACATACACATGTTTATACACATACACATGTTTATACACATGCACATACACATTTTAGTACACATACACATTTTAATACACACACGCACGCATTTTGATACACATTTGCATACCCATACACCCCCACACATTTGCATACCCATACACCCCCACACATTTGCATACCCATACACCCCTCCACATAATTTGGTACACATGCATATTTTTATGCACATGTGCGCAAACACATTTTAATACCCATATACATCTTAATACGTTTTTATACTTGTTGTAAAAACGCATCTTTTCCGCTCAAGAAGAAAAAAGCATTTCCCCACTCCCTTGGCCCCGCATCCGCTGTTGGCTGTGAAGCCGCTACAGCGCCTTCCGCGTGCACCATGCGGTGTGGCATGCCGTAATTAAAGGGCTGAGCCATCACAGAAGGCGTGCATGCAAGCTCCAAGGGCGGCGCAGACACACGAACAGGCAAGCAAAGGGGCCCTTCTGCACACAGGGAGAAGGCAATGCGCGCGAAGCTGTCTCACGAGCCGCAGAGATGGAAATAAAGCCATCGGACCGCCCAAAAGGCATGCACATGACACACGCCAAAGAGACACCACACCACAAGGCCCATAAAAGTGTAAAGTCGTGAAGATGCCACATGCCTGCTGATGAGGCAGCTACTAGTGACAGCAACGCCAGACAAGGGCCCCTCCCCCCCGTCCCCCCTCACAAAACTGCTGCGCTACCTGTTGCAGGAAAGTGAAGATCTTGGGATGCTTCTCAGGATTGCTTGCAGCTTCGAAAAGGGGGCCAAAGACGTTTTCCAACAGATGGCCGAAGCTCCGCACGCCCCCACGAGTTCGATACACGTAGTAGAGTCTGCGATGTGCAAGGAAAGCGAGCGCACAAGGCTGGCTAGCTGGCTAGCTGGCTAGCGGGTGAGTCCGCGCGGCCACGCGTTTCCGCGCAGAGAGCCACCGAGTTCGAGAGGGGGGCGGAGGGGGAGGGGGGAGAGAGTCAAGGATGCAAAGTGAAAGGCAGAAAACTGCTTCCTTTTAAAGCAGTCTTTGCCTGTGTCTGTGCGCATAGAGACAGCCGCTGTGCTCTACCTGGGAACCTGAATAAGCCATCGTACGCGAACAGACGTAAGTTTGTTGTCAACTACCCATGCCGCTAGACGAGACCATTCTTCTGTATGACTGCCGTAAATCGAGATGCGCCATTCCATGTGCTGATAGCGCCTGTCTTCCAAGTCTTTGATAACTTCTCGCGTCAGCTCCGCTAGAAAGCGGCCTTGAGAAAAAGAAAAAGAAGCCGCAAGGGCAGAAAGAGCGACAGCGCGTGTTTTGCGCAAGCGGGTGCTGGATGGATGTGAGAGCAGAGGGGCCCTTCGCGATTCAAGGTGAGAGCCTCAAGTGTATAAAAAAATGCGGATAAAAGACGACCGCGGGAGAGGAAATCGCATGCACACTTCATTTACACACACGTGCATGCAGCGCTGCGTTTAGACAACAGCCAGCGAGCCAAGCGGGGGAGGGAAGAGGGGGAAAGGATGCAGAGCTGCGTCCTGGTGTTCTCTTGTGTACGTCCAAACACCTCTTTCTGAAGGGCACAGAAAGCGAGTGCCTCGCGGTGTATGTACCTCTAAGATGGTTGTCTGTCTTTAGGAAAACGTCACGCAGCGTCCTTTGCCCGAAAGGGTTGTACTTTTGATTGAAAAGATCAAATCGCTGGAAGCACGATCCTAAGGCATGCACGCCCAGGCAATCAACGGAAGCTGCATATGCGTCCAGTCCCATGGAACTGAAGACGTCTTTCAACGTCTGAGCAGCGCCTCCGGTAGGCAGCACATGAACAATTGTATCGCCTTCCTCGTCATACTTCCTCCTAAAAAAACGGCAAAGTCACAACATACACACACATTTCGAGAGGCACACGCACAACCGCAAGGCGTTTCTTGCAACACCTGCAGCGCTCGGCGCATTTCCTGCCACTGCACAGTGCCTCTCGCCAAAAAAATAAAAAAATAGAAAAAGAAAGACAGACAGAGAGAGGGAGAGAGAGCACAGAGAGAAGGAGGGAGAGAGAGCCGAGGGAAAGACAGGAGGAGAGAGAGAAGGAGGGAGAGCAGAGAGAAAGAAAGAAGGAGAGAGAGAAGGAGAGAGAGAAACACTGAGAGAGAAAGAGACAGATACACTGAGAGAGACAGAGAGACAGGGAGAGAGAAGGAGGGAGAGCAGAGAGAAAGAAAGAAGGAGAGAAAGAACGGAGAGAGAGAGAAATACAATGAGACAGAAAGAGAGAGACACACTGAGAGCGAGATACACTGAATGCGAGAGAGAGAGATACACTGATATATATATATATACAGAGAGAGAGATACACTGAGATATATATGTATACAGAGAGAGAGATACACTGAGAGAGAGAAAGAAAGAGATACATTGAGTGAGATGGAGAAATACACTAAGGTATATATATATATACAGAGAGGGAGATACACTGAGAGAGAGAAGCGCACTGAGAGAGAAGAAGAGAGATACACTGAGAAAGTGAAAGAGAAACACTGAGAGAGAAATACACTAAGAGAAAGAGACAGAAATACACTGAGATACATATATATATATACACTAAAGAAGAAAAAGGAAGAAGACCTTTGACACATACACCAGGAAGAGAATATTTTTCAGTGTTTTTGGGGCCTGGGCGAGTCGCTGTGCACGTTTGCCTATGGGATATGGTCGATTAAAATTCGAGTTGCATATAGAGTTACAATCGCAACCTTAGACACTGCCACAGGCGCAAGGCTCCCGCATGAGACTCTACTTCGATGAAGCAGACTGTTGTGGAGGAGCACCTAGCCGTCCTTCCCTGCCTTGCAGTTACAAGGTTGTGCCGTCCTACACAGCTACGCGCACCGAATAAAATTCAAGAGTTGCTTCTGATTCATGCAGGCAGCATGATGCACGTGGGTATCCACCTTCCGAACGTTGTAAAAGTCTCGATGATGATTGTCACGCGTTTCTTGCAGCTCTGCGGAGCTGTTGAACATCGTGTGCAGCGTAAATTTTTCCTCTAAGTAGCGCAATCGACGGTAGCAGAAAGACTTGCAGGCTGACAGACGCGCGCAGAGAGGGAGACAAACATAGAGACACATGCACACATGAATACATATGCACATGTACATATATACGCACACATGAATACACATGCGCATATGTACATAGATACACACATACATTCATATACATACACACATGCACGCACACATAAGTACACATGCACATATACATATACATGCACACATAAATACACATGCACATGTACGTAGATACACAAATACCTTCATATGCACATATACATATACGTACACACATAAATACACATGCACATCTACATACATACACACATGCATTCATATGCACATATACATATATATATATATACACCCATACATGTGCACATATACATATATACACACCCATACATATGCACATGCATTAACACACATACAAGTACTTCTATTCATGTGTACATATCGACACACGGAACTTGAATTAAGGGAAGTGCCGCCACCTACAAAACACTTACGTACATATACTCGAAAAAAGGTGTTTTACGCACTAAAATGGTACAGAAAACACGGGAAAGAGAAGATGAGGGTAGGTGGGTGTATCGAGAGGAGGGGTGGGTAGGGGGGGTACCTACATCTTTTTGTGCATACATATATGTATATATATGTATATATATACATATATACATACATATATATAATCATCTATATGTATACATACATATATATATATATCTTTCTCTATACATATGTATGTATATACATGTAGATTCTCAGGCGAGTGCAGAAATCTCGGTAGATGGAGGGAGAAAAGAAGAACAACAGACAGTCGAAAAAGACAGAGAGGTGAGAGGAGAAGCAGTACAATGGGCGAGAAAAATCACAGAAGCAGACGAGCGGGTAAGTGGGGGGACGTGGAGGCGTAACTGTGACACAGGCAGAAGGATGGATTGCTGTGGGAAAGGCAGCCGTGGAGAGGGCACGAAGAGGAGGGAGAGTGCGTATTCTAAAGACTCTGCACGGCTGCTTCGTGAGCAGTAGAAAGAGAGAGCTGGCAAGAATGTTTCGACGATGATCTTGCACTAGAGGACAGCGAAGACGGCTTCCGAAGGAACCTTCCAACTCGCGAAAAAAAGACAAACAGCTCTCTTCTTTCCACGAAAAAAAGAGAAGCAGCAACACGCACTGCCGCTGGCTGTGCCTCTTTCATGAAGCCAGACAGAAGCAAACTCTGCATTTTACCTGGATTTTGCACGGCAGTCATGATTTCTTTTAGGCTCGAAAGAAACTTCCGCACCGAAGGAATAGGAGAAATGAGGAGGGGTGGCTTGCAGGCCCCAGAAGGCGATGCGTTTCGCGAGGCATCACAGTGCAACTGCAGCAATACACACCCCCAACATCACAGCAGAGTGGCATTTGTGACAAAGAAAGACGCCAAGCGTAGACACCAGGACAGGCATCGCCATCAAAAACTCCAACAGCATGACACATATAGAGGGGCAGGAACGATGCATGCATTCGGCAGACCGATCCTGTTCTACCCATCACGCTGCTGCATCAGCTGCGCAGTTTACTGTCCGTCTGCAGAAATCTTCTACACACGGATACATGCAAAAATCACACAGGGGCACTTGCGCCAAAACCATCTATTCCTTGTGCATCCCCCACCCTTTCTTCCTTATAACGCAGTTGCGCCAAAGTTGCTTTTATGTGATGCTGTCTGTCTGTCTCTCTCTGTCTGTCTCTGTCTGTCACGGTCTGCCTGTATCTGTCTGTCTGTATCTGTCTCTCCATCTCTCTCTCTCTCTGTCTGTCTGTCTATCTCTCTCTCTGTCTGTCTATCTCTCTCTGTCTCTCTCTCCATCTCTCCGTCTATCTCTGTCTATCTCCTTCTCTCTAGCCGCTTTCTTATCTGTCTGCACTTGCGTGTGCAGAGCAATCCCCTGACACATATCCCTTCACTGCCATGCCATGCTCTCCCCCATCTCTGCCCTCCCGTGTGTTGCTGTTTCCGCACTAAACGAGCGACACAGCTTGTGCTTTTTTGCTTGCTGTGCTCATCGCTGCAAGGAGTCTACTAGGCAAGTGCGCTCCCCAACACTTGCCTGATAGACTCCGTTTTGCATGAAGAAGAGGGTGCGGCATGCTGGGGGAAGTGGCACTTTCTCCGGTCTAAAGAGTGGCTCCGGAGTGCCTTCAGCGCCATAGAGGCCCCCTGTGGGGCCCCTGCGGCTGGAGGGGCCCTCTGGAACGACTGCGGGGGATGGACGGTGTGCAAAGCGTTCTTGCCAAACGTCTCGCAAGTCCAAGCACTGCGCTAAAGTCTGCAAAGGACGCATGCATGGGCAGCCAACATCGCCAGCAGCGTGATGCGAGTGCAGGAAGGAGACAGCAAGGGGAGAAAAAGGGGCATGCAAAACAGGGGCCCCGCTAGGCGCGCGTTTCCGATCTCTCGAGGGGCCCCCATTCCCTGTTAGTGTTTTCTTTGTGCAACCCAACAACGACAGCAGCGCTCGCCATCGACGCGCCTTGCATGCGTAGAAAGACTCATCACAACAGCTGCTCGAGACGGGGAGATCCTTGCTCGGCTGCACCCGCACGTAGGTGGCCCCTTTGAGATGCGCAGAGGGCCCCCCCCCCCCTGCGCCAGCAGGTGCTGCTGCTGCGCTGGGGAGGTGCGGGGTAGAGGGGAACAACGCATCGCCATCGAATTCCAAGGGGCTATTGACAGAACCAAAGGCTGCAGGAAGTCTACCCAAGTACGTCACACTCCTTGCTCTCTCGTGATTGAGGCTGAGAAGCTGAGGCGGCACATAGACGCATCCCAGCAACGCTTTCACCCGGAGAAATCTTACAACAACACTCATCTGTACGTTGTTGTCGGAGATACACCTTATAAGGCAAGGGCACAGTTGCTATCCGTTCGCAGGAGCTGCTGGGAGGAGGAAGCAACAGCTTGCACAGAAGGCCAGAGCATCAACAACAATTCGCTGCTTCACGCCTGCCTACCAGGTACCACCTACCCAATTCTTACGGATGCTCACAAGAATAGCAGCAGCAATAGCAGAAGGAAAAGTAATTAGAACAGCAACAACAGCAGTGATCGCAGCAGTAACAGCAGTGATAGGAGCAGTAACAGTAAGAACAGCAGTGAGAGCAGCAGTAGCAGTGAAAACACCGCCAATAGCAGCAAGAACAGTGGTGATAGGAGCAGTAACAGTAAGAACAGTGGTGATAGGAGCAGTAACAGTAAGAACAGCAGTGATAGGAGCAGTAACAGAAAGAATAGTGGTGATAGGAGCAGTAGCAGTGAAATCACCACCAATAGCAGCAAGAACAGCAGTGATAGGAGCAGTAACAGTAAGAATAGTGGTGATAGGAGCAGTAACAGTAAGAACAGTGGTGATAGGAGCAGTAACAGAAAGAATAGTGGTGATAGGAGCAGTAACAGAAAGAATAGTGGTGATAGGAGCAGTAACAGAAAGAACACAAACACTAGCAGTAGTAATAAGAGCAGCAGCAACCTACCCGTTTATACATAGAGTCCCAGCTAGCTTCGTCTTGAGAGTGCCCTTCAGGCAGCTGATCCGAAGAATCTGCATGCGCACTAGTTTCAGGGGGTGTGAAGGATGAAGGCATAATGCGCATGGGCAAGGGGGAGCCAACGTGAGGCCCCTGGTTGTCGTAGGGGCTTCCTGGGGGCCCCTGGATGGGAATTTTCTTTTGCGAGGCGTCAAAAGACTCTGCATGCGTAGGGCAGTTACAGGGGCATGAGGAATCGTTGCATGTTGCGGAAGTGCTTGAGGCTTGTGGGGCTTCAACGCCGTTCGTTGGGGAGGAGGTGCCACCCCCTTGTTGAATAGGCGACAGGCTTTCGATTTTGCGCCGCTTGGAGGCGGAGGAAGCGTCTTGGCGCTCGGAAAAGCAGTCCAAGAGGCCTTCCCTCTGGCTCTGCGTACTGTTTTCGCTGTCTGACGCTCCCCCAGAGACGGTAGGCACTGCTTCGGGGGGCAGTGGAATCCCCGAGCCGCCAGCTACGGGCAGACACGACCCTCCCTCCTTCCGCGAAGCCTCGCATAAGATCAGCTGAGGCTCCCGCGGCGGACGAAGCTGCAGCTTGGCGGGCTGCATTGGCTCAGAGCTGTCTTGACAGCCGAAGCTCTCTGGACTGACTGCCTCCGGAGGGGCGGAAGGCCCCGTGCACGCACGCAGCAAAAGCGAGAATCCGGGAAATTACTCTTGGAGAGTATTCCCCGCAAAAGGCGAAACTCGCAGCAGGGTTTCTCAGAAGCCGCTTGTGACGCCGCTCGCTAGCCGCCGACCCGCAAGGCTCTCTATACAGAACTGGAGGAACTCCCCGATTGCTACACGCGAGCAACACTTGAAGGCCAAGACGAGCCAGAAATGAGTCTATGATACAGAAATTCATGGATTAATTAGTCGTTTGTGCCTATTAGGCCATGTGTTCGCGCTGAGATACTGTGCAATTAACACAGCTGCGCGACTCAGTGGCAGCAGCAGTAGCCTACGCGCCTGGACCGACTCGCGCAGCTTTTGCCGACGCCTAAGCCAGAGAAGAGCTTCCTCAATAAGGGTTTTCTCACTACAAAAAGCCAACAACACTGAAAACGAGCACAAAAACTTCTGCAGCAGCCATGAGAGCACCATCTGCAGCCGCTCATGCAACCGCGCGAAGTCCGTGACCCTCTCCGCCTGCCCGCTGGCGGGTGTCCATACACCAGAGAGAGTTCCTTGGAGCAGCTCACCTCTCCACGAAGTCGCTGCCCTGCAGCCGCTCCTCTTGGCCGCTTTCTTTGCGATTAAGCCCCCCAGAATTCCTGTAACTCACTGTCTGATGCACACGTTTTGCCCACTCCGGTGGACTGCAGCAGGATCTCCGTAGAACGGCAGCAGGGAGGCCGCCGACTGGCATTCTGAACGGCGGCACCGTCCATACAGCTGCAGCCGTTTTCCGCTGTCTTCCGCGGGGTTACTGCAGTTTTCTGGACAAAATTCAAAAGGAGCTGCAAAGGAAGGTGCCTCTACAGACATTGCCGCACCGAGCGCCCAGCCGCTTCCTCTAGTTGTGTTGCCGGCTGCCGGCTGCCGTAGCTCTCCAGCAAAGAATCATGCGTCTAGACAGCTCCTCCTGACGATGGCTCCCACCGACGAATTCCTCGAAACCGGCGATAAAGACGCCAGCAGCAGCAGCAACGCCTGCGGAGACGATTTCATGAGCCAGGGCAGCACAAAACACGCATGCATTTGCGGCGTGTGCTGCTGGAGGGCAGACGCACCTGAATGTGGGAAATTCCTGGATGCCCGCATCGCTGGATGCTCTGCAGCGACTCAGACACGCCGGCTTCAGCTGATGCTGCCGGCTCTGCGGCAAGAACGGCAGCACCAGCGCGAAGACAGTGAAGATCTCAGACAAACCATCGTGGCTGTGGTGAGTACACACGACACGAAACTGCACCATTCCCTTTGAAAGCGCTTCCTCCCCCTCTCTCTCCTTTGCCTTCATGCCCGAGCTTCTGCATCTCTCTCCGGCTAAGGCTGTAGCTGGTTGCTCGCGCTCAAAAGACAGCTGCTGTAGCTACTCGAAGAAGGGCTGCGGTTGCAATGCAGTGCAAGCGTCTCGCTGATGCAAGTACACTCTGTCACAACGCTGCTGCATACGAAGAAGCCCTTCAGCTGCTGCGGAGCTGTTCGCCCCCTGCGAATTGCCAAGGCAGTACTTTGCCGCAGCACCAGAAGCAGAAGCAGCAGGAAATCGGTGTCTCCCCAGAAGACGACGAGGAGGCCAAGACAGGCGAAGCTGCTGCTGCGAATGAGGCATCGTCGAAGGCGACAACTCGCCAGCGCGTCAAAGGATCGAGCAGCAGCAGCAGCGGCTCGGGTAGTGCTTTGGCCGCTGTATCTCCGGCTGGCAGATGCTTCGAGAGTGGCTTTCTCTTGGAAGCTGCTCCCCGTCTCAGAAATGCTGCACACACGCAGGGAGCTCTCGCTGTCAAGACGCGACACCAGCAGCTGCAGCAGAAGCTGCTGCAACAACAAGCGGCGGTATGGCCGCTGCTGCTGTCGCTCTAGCCCCTCGGAGTGTATCCCCTTTCAGCTGCAGCCTTTTTGCGCCTGCGCTTCTCGATCGCTGTGCGCAGCAGCCATCGCTCCAGTCACGTAGTCGAGATACGCAGCGCTCGGTGTGTGTGCTTGCTGCTGCAGCGTGAGTCTGCATTTCCTGCGGCTCAAAGGGCAGAAGACGTACAAACACGGGCAGCAGCTGCCGCAGTGGATGCGGGAGACTACCAGGTGTGCGAGCTCTGCGTTCGCTGTCGTGCTTTGTGTATGGCGATAGCCGTCGTCACGTGTTTCCTGGTTGATTGTTCATCAGTGGGCGCTGTTGGGGTGTATTGCTGCCCCTATCTGCAGAGACGTCTGCTGATATAGGCGCTATCCTTAGCAGCAGCTCAGCGTTTGTCGTGAAGCTCTGAAAAGGCGTCTCTGCGTTGCGTGTAGGCAGCACTGCTGCACTTACGGGCAATGCGATGCTACCAGGATGCGTATCGGAGTCAACCGGAGGTAAGAGGCAGCCAAGGGGCAGGATTACCGTCAAAAAGCGCATTTACAGCAGGACGGACGAAATGCGAGAGTTTATCTTGCCGCGCTGTCTGGCTGGTGTGTTGGATGCATGCGTCGTGGAGCACTCCTGAGCTGATAGTGCGGAGGATACGGGTAAACCTGGGATTAGTGAGATGCTGCTCTTGATGAGGGTGTTGGTGATAACGAGTTGCTGCTCCTACGAATTTTCTTTTCCTGCAGCTCCTGCGGCTCTGGTGCCTCTGCATTTTGCTGCTCGCCGGCGAGCAGCAGCAAACTGCAGCTAACGATGAGGGCGAGGCAGCAGCAGCAGCAGCAGCCTCGCTGCCTTCCACATTAGCAGCAGCAGCAGCTTCGGATGCAGGGTGTATGTCCTCTTCTGAAGCCCCCTTGCTGGAAGCTCTCCGCGCGCTGTGCAGCACGGGAGCTGCATCTGAAAAGCGGAAGGCAGTGGCGGAGCAGGCACTTCGCATTCAAGACCATGAAATGATGGCTTTTAGAGGGTAAGACTGATGTCGAGCAGCTGCTCAGACGATGGCGAAAGAGAGCTGCTGCATGCAAAACGAAAGGGGCACGGGCATACACGACAGACGCGGCGCCTGGGTAGAAGAGGCAGCAGCAAACCGTGCAGCTGACAGGAGGATAGAGCTCGAACTTTCGGAAAGTTTAAGAGGGGAAAAGCCTTCTTCATGCAACTCGGGGACTGAGGGAGAGACGCCGTTGCGTGCACTTTTCGCTAAAATCATGTGCCTCTGTTTGATTGTGTGTATGTGTCTAATTGTGTGTGTGTTTGTGTATTTAATTGTGCTTGTGTTTTTAATTGTGTTCGTGTGTGTTTAATTGTGTGTGTTTTTAATTGTGTTGTGTGTTTAATTGTGTTTAATTGTGTTGTGTGTTTAATGGTGTTTAATTGTGCTTGTGTTTAATTGTGTGTGTGTTTGTGTGTTTAATTGTGTGTGTGTTTGTGTGTTTAATTGTGTGTGTGTTTGTGTGTTTAATTGTGTTGTGTGTTTAATTGTGTTGTGTGTTTGTGTTTAATTGTGTGTGTGCTTAATTATGTGTTTAATTGTGTGTGTTTTTAATTGTGTTTAATTGTGTGTTGAATTGTGTTGAATTGTGCTTGTGTTTGTGTGTGTTTATGCAATGCGCTGCAGTGTATTCGCCTTCCGTGCGCAGAACTTTGCGGAAGCTGCTTACTGCCTTCTCTTAGTACTGCAGGCGGCAGCTCGCCACATGCAGCAGCACGACGACACTCACGCGGAGGCTTCTCAGACACACAGCGCGAATCAAAGCAGCAGTTGCAGCAGCATTCTGAACACCTACACTGGAGGCTGTAGCCTCTTCTCTTGCGAAGATCTGACTGTTTACACCGTCCTCGCACTGCTGGCCGCTCCAGAGGAGAAGTTGCGTGCTGAAGGCGTAAGCACAGTATCTGAATACATATCTATCTGTCTACCTGTATATATCTCCGTTTTTCTCTCGGTTCTTCTTGATGGAGTCATTGCTGTTTGTTACTTCTGACACTCACTGATGAGAATTTGGTGCGCTAGCCATGCGCAGCTGTATGACGGCCGCTGCAGCAGCCGCCTTGGAGTTCAGCGCTGCCTTTTTTGAATTCATATGCGCCTTGAGATGGCGTGCTGCCTCATGGAATGCTTTCGCAGCTACAGCAGCACCACTTTCCACCAATCTATGCGATGTGTGTTTTGACGCGTGCCTCTCAACCGTTGCTGCTTCTTGAATTGAGACTTTTTCTCGGTGCCGCATTTCGAATCCGCGACTATATATATATATGAAGATCTATACCCATCTCTCTATATAAAATGGTGAAAGTAAGGCCATCTCTCTCTGTCTCTCTCTCTCTCTCTCTGTCTCTGTCTCTCTCTGTCTCTCTCTCTCTCTCTCTGTCTATCCCCGTACATCTTTGGGGTGTGTTTGCAGATAGAGCTGGTGCCTTCTCTGCGCTTTCTGAAGTGCCATGCGTGGACGCCAATGCAGCAGTTGCTGCAGGTCGTAGAAATGTGCGACTTTGCGCAGCAGTGGGAAGGCATTCGACGGGCTTCTGTGCGTTCTTCACCCCTTATCTGATGGCGCTGCCGCGTGGTTTGGTGCTGGCTGCTTTGCACACTGCCTTGTTCCTTCACCCCTTGCTTCCTTGCAGCCTGCCTCCCCCTTCCCTCGATGCCATAATGCTGCTTTCTGCATCTGTCAGAAGGCCGCTTTTCGAAAGCAGCTTTCGAAAAGCCTGCCGTCCACGGAGGTGCCGCCTCGGCAGGGAAGGAAGGGAAGGGTGCATCTGTTGCTGCCGCTGTGGTATTTGTTGCAGCTGCTCTTCGCCACTGACTTCGTGCTGCAGTCAGTACAGACTCCTCTTGCTGCTGCGCTGCGACGGCAGCTCATTCTCCGAGCCACAGAAGGATTCTCGCGCATGCGGCTTTCCTCGCTACAGGAAGCCTTGAGCCTCGATTCCCACGGTGCGTGTCGCCTCCCCGCGTCTTTTTCCCCTCCTGCACAGCTCTTCTTGATGCTGCTTTCTCTTCAAGACAGTCGCTCGCAGCTCGCATGCAGCCGCAGTAAGGGGGGCTGCCTTTACCCGCTGTCACGCGTGCTTCCATTTGCTGTTCGTTGCGCTGCTGCGCCTGTCTTAACGCCTGCTGCGGCTGCTTCCAGCAGCGAGCACCTCACATGCATGCGCGCCGCTTCAGCTGCTGAGCACCTGTTATCTGCAGCGCTGCAGCAGATCCTTGCGGAGTGTAGCGCCGGCGGAGAGCTGCCCTTCTTCTACGACTCGAAGGCTCAGGTGATGTAGCAGCAGCAGCAACACCTTTTAGCACGAATGCACCCCGCACTACTATTTATAGCAGCGCATGCACGGGCAGCCCTCCGGTGATGTGCGCTTCACGACAATGCCCTTGTTGCAGCCTGTGATGCCTGCTCGCTGCTCTGCGTGTAGGTGTTGCGAAGGAAGGAAGCTCTCGCCGATGCACACTTGCTTAACGTCCTCGAGGCAGCAGTGAGACAGTGGGATATATAGGGCATCCCCAGTACCGGTGTTACTGCAGCAGCATGAGCTTCGTGTATCTGTGATTACGCAGGCGTGCGTGACACTTGTTGCTTTTGGGCTCTAGAGCGTAGGCATGCATGCATGCATGCATGCAGGGCGGCGGCGGCAGGGCCAAAGAATCTGATTGAGTGTATTGACTGCAGCTTCTGGTGCTGCTGGCTTTTTGGCTGCTGCAGCGAAAGGCGCGGGTAGCGTGCGAGCGAGCAGCAGCGATTTTCTCACGCAAAGAAGCGAACGTGGAGGAAGCGTAGAGCGGTGGCACGCGCCAGGGCAGCAGCGGGCACTCGCACATCGAGGCGGGAAAGAATATATGTACAGGTCACTTGTAATTCAAGAGCTTTCAGAAAGAAGATCGAAAGGAAGCTTTCTTCATGAGAAGTGGCGATCAAGTCATCAAGATCGTGCAGGAGTACCTTTATTCATGAGAAGTGGCAATTGAGTCATCAAGATCGTGAAAGATTAAGATTTTATTCATGAGAAGTGGCGATCAAGTCATCAAGATCGTGCAGGAGTAGCTGCTCCTGCTGATAGCTGTGTGGCGAATCGTGTTGCTGCAGCGGGCATGTGGCTGCCCCGACAGCACCGTCTATTTCAGTTTCTGCGTTTTCACCTGTAGCGGAAAAAACAGTTACAAAAGGCGGTGCAGACACTGCCGCCTCCGCCTGCTGCAGCTGCTGCGGCTGCAGCAACGGATCTTCTGTTGGCTTGCTTGTGTACCTGTTGCTGGCAAGTGCCTTTTGCTGCGTTCGCAGTTTTGGCTTTGTGCCAGCGGCGTCTGCAGCTCTCAAGGATTTTTCCCTGTGAGCAGCCGTGCTTTTGTCGCTTTCTGCTGCTGCTGTTGCTGCTGCAAAAGTTTCCAGATCGGCAGCGGCAGCGGCGTCCTCCATGTCTTCCATGAATGCGGAAAGCCCCAATGTTTCTATTGCGCATGACGCCGGTGAGGCTTCTTCGATAGGGCACAGCACGACGCCGCATGCAGCAGCAGCGGCTGCTGCTGCGCTGTAGTCTTCGCCAACGCCAGCCTCAGGGCTACCTGCTGCAAGCACATCTGCCGCAGCTGCTGTGTCATCAATAGCTTCTGTGCTCCAGCAGCAGAGGGCAGGCGGAAGAGGGAAGGGAGGGGATCGGAAGCCTCCGCAATCTGGATCGTGACACTTTTGCCAGAAACACCCCCGTCTGGCGTCCACAATGAGGCGCACCCCGTTGGATTTGTGCTGTCTGCGCATCCCACATACAAAGCCGCGTACAGTCGGCGTTGCAAACGAATAAGCGAGCTTCGTAACACCTATGGGAAGTCGCGAGAGCTTAGTTTGAGGCGCAGCGTCGCCTCCCGGGATGTGAAGGACCACAAATCGCAGATTTCGCTTCTAAAAACTCTGCAACACTGGATAGTAAAAAGGGCAGAGGCTATTCGCCAACAAGTCTGCAAAATTCCCACTGCCCTCGCCGTTGCACAATGCAAGCAAAGGGGTATGCTGGAAAGAATGAGAAGGCTGCACGGGAGGCAAAGAGAAGGTGTCTATAAGAAAACGGGCAGGAGGACATACAGCATCCATCGGCAGCCAGCGCTCTCTCTCTCTCTCTCTCTCTCTCTCTCTCTCTCTATATATATATATATATATATATATACATATATATATATTTATATATATGAATTTATGTAGATAAATATACACAATATTTATTCGTACATATCTCAATCATGGGAGATTACGCAAGACTCACCGATTGATATGCATGCAGAAGCGGTTCCCCCTAGGCGTCAGGGCCAGTGTTTCTGAGGCTGGGTAAAATATGCAGCTGCAGTCTCTGAGCAGCTGTTGCGGTTGATGCTGCTGCAGTTGTTGTTGCAGTTGCTGCCTCTGCTGCTGGCTTGTAGCTCCTGCCTCTGCTGCTGCTCCTGCCTCTGCTGCATCTCGTACTCTTTGCCAGAACGCCACGGCGAAAGCCGCAGCGTCTCTAAGTCCAGTGACATGCGAAGGGAGGCCGAGCGAATGGGCGTCTTCACGCAAAAGAGCATCTCGGATGTCTCGTGGCGCTGCTGCTTCGGTGCGTGCGGAGGAAACTTTTGGTGAGAAGAATCCCCCGTGCGTGTGGGTGGCGAGGAAGGGCCTTACGGGCAGCAAGCGACAGCCAACTAGAGAGGCGGAACTGTCAAGTGCTGCTGGACTGCCCAAGTGTTTTTCTCGCGTGTTGCTGCTGCCGCTGATAGCCGCGGAGGCGGACGGATGGGGAGCGATAGCGGTATGGTGAAAGAGTGGAATGTCGATGCCGGGAGGCACCAGCCCGACAAGGCTTCTTAGGATCTGCAGCTCTAGCGAAGTGCCTAGCGGGTAGCTGCAGTCTTCGCTCACCTGCAGTCGCCAGCACCCTACAAGCACTGCAAGATCCTCAAAGAGAAATACGCTCGCTGCTTCCCAAGGAGGGAGAAGAAAGCCACAAAGGGGCTTGGACGCGGAAGGAGCACAGCACGCAACGCATGCATGTGCAAGAAGGAGAAAGGAGGAAAGGGAGGGCTGGTGCAGAAAATCCACCTCTTACCCTGAGGGGTGTATTCTGCTTGAACTTGGAGGCACCTAACAGTCTGAAGCATCTGTTGCGCGTGTATACTGCCAAGTCGACGAGGCAGCGTCTACCGCCGTCTTCAGTGGCAAAAGGGAAAAGCAGCATCAACTCGGAGAGTGACGCGGAGGCTGCCTCCGTTGCACAGCTGCAACTTTTGTGCCCTCCTTCTGCCTCCTCCTGCAGGCTTCCGAGTTGCGCGGCGACAGCTAGCTGCTCATTCGCTGAACTTCCTTGCTGCTGCTCGCGCACATACCCTTGCGGCTTAGGCAGCAATCCGCTCGTTGGATGAGACTGCACAACTGCCTGTGTCTGGATCTCCTCCTGTCGTTGCTGCTGCAGCTGCAGAAGGTGTATGCGTTTCGCCAGATGGAGAACAAAGAATTCTGCAAAACGCCCTGCCGTCTGAGCGTCTGCCATCAGCGTAGACTGCCCCTTCTCACTGCCTCTGGCTGCAGGTGTTGGAGCAGATTCTCCTGCTGCTTCTGTTCCTGTCTCTTGTGCTGCTGTTGCCTCTGACCCTTCTTCCGTGCGGCTCACCCGCAAACATGCCTTGCTGCAGAAGCCCTTTCCTGCGCAAGAATGAGGCCCCTCCGCCGCTTCGAAATTCCCAGCCGCCTCAGTCGACGTAGTATCAGCACCAGTAGACGTAGTATCAGCACCAGTAGACGTAGTATCAGCACCAGTAGACGTGATATCAGCACCAGTAGACGTAATATCAGCGCCAGTAGACGTAATATCAGCACCAGTAGACGTAATATCAGCACCAGTAGACGTAATATCAGCACCAGTAGACGTAATATCACAATCGTCTCGAAGTAGCCACATGCTGGGATGTTTTTCTGCATACTCTGGATACGGAAAAGGCTGCGTGGAAGGTCCTCCTTCACAGAGGGGTCTTAGAGCTTTAACAATGAGATGCCGTGAGAATTTTTTATGAGTTGTTGCATCTAGCGAAACGAACTCGTCAGGACGGCAGCACATGCCGCAAGCGTTGCAGAGGAACCCCCTGAGTTGCAGTAACAGCTGTCGCCACGTCTCTGCGATTGCTGCAGAACTGCGCTGCTGCGGATTAAAAGAAAAGAGATATTCGACGTCGAAGTACAGCCAGACTGGCTGCCCGGCTTCTAAGACTTCGTACAAATTGCACATTGTGCTGCTCGATGGCGTAGCGCAGTTTGTGTCGCTGGACGTGCTGGTGCATGCATCATCGAATTTGGCATTTGCAGCAGCGAGCAAGCGTGATTGCTGCTGCCTTGCACTCTCTGCTCGACGTGCTGCAGCAGCTCCCGCGGCGATCAACGCCCTCAACGATCCACAGAAGTAGCGGCGCTGCCCTCCTGCTGCCGTTTCTTCAGCCCATACGCCAACTGCGGCAGGCAGCAAGTGCCGTCTCAGCAGTGCTGCACATGCCGTTGCTGACGCTTGCTTGTCAAAAACGAATAGGGAGACGGAGGGGAAAGCCTTTGGGGGGTTCTGATTCTTCTGCTTTGGCTGAAGCCGTGGAGATTTGTGCAGCAGCGCTTCCATGCGCTGCCACCAAAGTATGCGGCTCAGCGGAGACGCTGATTCGCGGAGGAGAAGTGTGCTGCTGTTGTTGTTATTGTTGGTACTGTTGTTGTTGCCAACACCCTCTGCTGCTGTTGCTGCTGTGGTGCAAGAGCCAGCTGCTTCGGAGCTTTCTGTCTCTGGGGAGTGACTACGGCTCCTGCCGCTGTTGCAGGTGCCGCTGTTGCAGGTGCCTCTGTTGCTGCAGCGGATATTGCTGACTGTGGTATAAAAGAGGGAAGGCGGGATCGCTGCTGCCGCTGAAGATGCTTTTTTAGCGCTCCCGAACGCCAGCGCAGGTCGCTTTAAAAGCAAACGCTGCTGCTGCTGCTGCCAGTCTTCGTGCTGCCTCTTGTTGGATCCGATTTCAGGCGGTGTATGTCGACCTTTCCCTCCGTCCTGCCGCTGCAGCTGCAGCTGCAGCCTCCGTGACTGACCCTGCTGCGTTTGCTGAGGCATGAGCGTGCTGAGAATCAGGGAGCCTCCGCAGGTGGGTAACTCGGCAGTGATGCTCGGAAGACAGCCGCAACAGCAGCAAACAGCCGCACTCCCGAAGGCTGCTGCTGCTGCAGTTGCTGCTGCTGCTGCAGGCACGCCACTCCGTACAGCACAGCATCGCGCCGTCCTGCAGCTATGCAACAAAGGCAGCACTACAATTAGCCACTGCGGCAAATAAAGGCAGTCATTAAATAGGCAAAACACTGCTCCGTGCACACAATTGGACTAAATTTGCCGCTGCTGTGTCGGTCCAGCAGCGCTGCCGTGTCTTGCTGCGGTGTCTTGATGTCGGCGGCAGCGCTGGCAGCAACTCCCGCTGCTGCGAACAGCGGCATCTGAAATCTCGTTAGCTAGGAAAAAGAAACCGCTAAAGAAGGCAGCAACTTCCTTAGGACGCCAAAACAACACCAACCCCACAGTGAGGAAGCCGCCCGGGTGCCCTTCGCTGCAGCCGCCGCTGCTGCTGCTGCTGCTGCCGCTGCTCGACCCTTTTCCGATGTTGCCCTTTTGTTATGGATTTCCTAGTGTGATTATTTTCCGAGTAAACGCGCCAGCATGATTTGGTCAACTGAGGAGCCCCTTAGGCAGGTCTGCTGTGTCGCTGCTCGTGGTGTACGGACACTCGAAGTCGCGTCTGCTGTTGCCGCTGCTACTGCTGCAGCGACAGCAGCAGTAGCAGCAGCAACAGCAACAGCTCGCAGCAAAGTGCATGCAAGAGACCCTTGAAGGCGTCCATGCAGTCTGTAGCCCTCTCCCCGATCCGCAGCATCCCCTTGCATCTGCGGCTCCTCCTTCTGCTGCTGCTGACAGGGCAGTGCCATATTTCCTCCTGCAGCGGCGCCTGCACTTTCCAGCAGGTGTCTCCTGCGTCGTGCACTGCGCCTTCGCTGCCAGCTGATTCTTGGCCAGTCCTCGTCGGTGCTTGGTGCAGCAAGAGCAGCGGCAGCAGCTGCAAGAAGAGCAGCAGCAGCAGCTGCAAGAAGAGCAGCAGGAACGTCTTCCGCCTCAGCAGAGCCTTTCTCTTGCAACGGCGAATGAGAGTCTCCTCTTTGGCTGCCTTCGCGGCATCCCCTTGGCCTCAGAGTCTGCTGCACTTAGCGGCTGCCTCTGGCAGCAATCGAGGTTTGAGGCACAGCAGAATCCTTGGAGCAGCAACAGCAGCAGCAACAACAACACTCACAACCTCGACCGAAAACGATGCAGCCTTCGCGGGAGGCGACTGCAAGCCAGTACAGCAAGGAACGCCTGGAAACAAAGACTTTGCAGTCTTCTTCCAGAGACTGTGCGGCTCTCCTTGCTCCCCTTGGCACGACCTTCCACTCCTTGAGAAAGATCCAACATTCCAAAATTCTCCATTTCAACCCTCTCCCGCCGTTGCAGCGGCAGCTGCTGCTGCTGCTGCTGCTGTAACGTCCAAGGGAAGAGATGCGGCCTTCGCAGCATCCTCCCTCCCTTTGGTTCAGTTCGTTGCCGAAATTTCTTGCGGATCTGCTCTCAAGAACGAGATTCGTTTGCAAGAAGCCTTCAATCCCATCCGACAAGACCGACATAAGGATGGTCAGCCGACATCTCTAGTGGCTTGCTGTTTCTCTCTTTTTCTTCTCTCGCTATGCATACATATATATATGTATACATACATATATACATCTATTTCTCTCGCTTTATTTGTCCATTTCCCTCTCACTCTCTCTACGCGTTTTCTGCTGCCTCTATTACCACCAGTCTGGCGTACTGTAGCGAAACCTCGTCGCTGGCTCTCTCTCTGTCTCTCTCTCTCTATTTCTCTCTCTATTTCTCTCTCTATTTCTCTGTCTCTATTTCTATTTTTCTCTGTCTATTTCTCTGTCTCTCTCTCTATTTCTATTTCTCTTTCTCTGTCTCTCTCTCTATTTCTCTTTCTCTGTTTCTCTCTCTATTTCTATTTCTCACTCTCTATTTCTATTTCTATTTCTCTGTCTCTCTCTCTACTTCTCTGTCTCTCTCTCTCTATTTCTCTGTCTCTCTCTCTATTTCTCTCTCTATTTCTATTTCTATTTCTCTATTTCTCTCTCTATTTCTATTTCTCTCTCTCTCACTCTGCAGAGGCTTCCCCCCTGTCTGTCTGCAGGCTCTTTGCGCGTGCTGCGCTGGCCTATGGGATGGACATACGGCTCACTGCCTCGCACGTGGGAAGATCCGGAGGTTAGGGGCCCCCCTGAAGTCTTTGGATGCTGTGGCGATGGCGATCCTTTGGATGTGCTCGAGGTGTCTCAGCAGAGGCACCCGCCAGGCGCAGTTGTTCAGGCTAAGGCAAGCTAGTTGAAGCGAAACGCTTCGTCAATTACACCGAAAATGGCAACAATAGAACCCCTCTTCGTGGGTCGCCTTGCCGCCACACTCTCCCCTCGCGGGGCGTCTGCTAGGAGTATTCTTTTTCCACGGTCTAAGGAGTGGGGATAGAGGCGTGCGAGTGGCAGGCTTTAGCTTGGGAGGATTGGATCAGTTCAGGTGGCGTCTGTGTGTCTCTCTCTGCTAGAACGGTGGCTTCGTGTGTGCCTAGTCTCTGTTGGTGTCTCACTGAGCAGCAGCCGTCCGCACACACTTGGGGGGGGAGACGGGAGAGGACAAGCCAGTCTATCCCCTCCCCTCTGCTGCCGTGTCTCTGCGCGGCGAACTAGCTCGCCGCGCTGATAGCAGGCTTCGGCGAAGCACACAAGGCTGCTCTCCTGTGTCGGGCATGAGCGGCTAGCGTATGCATGCCTTGCCTTGCCTCGCATTTGCTCGCGCGCCTTCCTGCACGCAGGTAATCGGTGCGCTCGCGTTGATTGATTCTGGCGAGGTCGACTACAAGATCTTGGTTGTGTCAGCGTCTTCGCCCTTCTTTTCGGCTCTTCACAGTCCCACAGACTTGCAAATTCTTCGTCCGGGATTTTTAGACACCGTCAAAGACTGGTTTAGACGGTACAAGGTGGGTGGAGCTCCGGGGGGCCCCTCGAAAGAAAACACTTTCGGGTACGGGGGGGCCCCTCTGGACGCTGCCGCTGCCTGGCGCATGATTCAAGAGGCACACGAACGGTACGTTGAGCTTCGCAAGAATCCTTCTCGCGCCTCACACCTTTGGCTTCCCCCCGACACCACCCCCACCGGGCAAGCGGCCTAGCGCGACGAACGGCACGCGCTTTCATGCGCGCATGCTTCCACACAGGCAGCTAGCGTCTCACGGTTTGCAAGCGCGCTTACTCTAATCTCTCACATAGAGAGAGGCACTCCCCTTAAGACTCGATACAAACTTTTAAGACGCTGCCAAAAACTTAATCTCCCTCTCAGCCCAACCCCGCGTCTCGCTCCCTCTTGGGAGCCGCCAACTCGTGGGAAGAGGGAGGGAGAAAGAAAGGGAGAAAGGCCCTTCGAGGGGAAGTGCGCGTCTTTTTCTCTCATCTCTGCGCCCTCCACGCACTCCGAGCAGGCACAGCAGGCTGTACACTCCAGCAAATAGAGCATAGACACGTTTTATGGACCCGCAGCAAACGGAGATCTAACGCTGCTCTGCAGCAAACAAGGCACGCGGACAGCCACCGCAGCTTGCAACAGCTCTGCAGTGCAGCGCCAGACAAATTGCGGTGCAAAGCTTGCGGGAAAATACTTGTAAGCACCTCAACTCGCTACGCGCGCGGCTTTTCGACCTGCAAGCGCGCACAGCCTGGGCGGATCCACAGCACCCATCCTCTCAGTGGCAGTTCCTGCAGTTCGCAGTCAGCAATGCATGCAGAGAGCCCCTCTTAAGGAGCATCACCCGACACGACGTTACGACTCCCCGTTCTTCTCCAAAACGCGCAAGTCGCAGCAAACTCGCCGAAGCATGCATGCAGAGGAGCCACGCACGAGCAGCATCTGCACTCGTAGACGCAGTCAGCGCACATATATACGACTCCTGTGAATAATCCCCATACCTGTGTTTCTATGTATGTATGCATGTATACATGTATATATATATGTATGTGTATGTAGGTATGTATGTATGTGTGTGTGTGTACTGATGGCCCTACTTCTGTCGACACTGCAACTCTTCCTTTCCCGGTTTCATGCTAGACGTGTTTTTTTCCTACCGTGTGCCGAGTACTTCCCTCTGCTCTCTCCTTGCACCCTATGGTACTCACTTGCCTCAACTACCTTCCTAACCAACTAGCTCATAGCCGTGCCTTGATTCATCAGGCGGCCTTGCACCCTATATTTTACATGCCTCTCCCGCATTTAGCCGCAGCACCCTTATGAGTTTTAAGCCCCACAATACAAACTCAGAACCTCGACACCTTGGGTGTCGCGGCTGTTGGTGCAGGGAAGCCAACACTGAAGCTGGAAGTGTGGGTTTGACGACCACGCTTTCTGACCTGCTCTGTTTCCCGTGATCGCGGCTGTATCGCTTCATCTGAGGTCTTTGTGGGGAGACACTAAGCTTCAAACGCAGGGAAGACTTCATGGAAAGCTGTTGGGTGTTTCCCAGAAAAATACTCGCCCTTCCGTGCCCGCCTCCTGGGGGGTCCCCTCCCCCAGATGGAGAGATTCTTGCCGTCTCTCTGTGTCGCCTCCATGGCGCAGCCCTTCCGTGTCTTTGTCACTCCGCTTCTTTCTATCTCGAAGTGTGCCGTCCTCATCTCTGCGAGTAGGAAGGGGTGTGTTGCGGTGGGAGGGCAGTTCCCAGCCGTCCTCCGGGGTCTCCCGTAGTCCGTCTCAGGCCCTCTCCGCCGTCTTCAGTGCCCCCTGTACCTTTTGAATTATAAAGTGCCTAATTCCGCCTAACCAATGCACAGGAGACACGTTTTACACTCGGGAGAAGCCTTTCGCCCTCCCCAAAGGCTTCGTAATGCGTGAGTGACCCTGTGGCGCGGGCGTCCCGCGAGTGGGTGGCTGCATTTGATGAACTGCTTCTCTGAGAAACTACGAGGCTTTACTTAATTAAGGAATTAAGGTGCATAATAAGCGCCAATAACGCCTGTCGCGGGCGAGAAATGTGCATCTTCGGGTGCCCCTGGGGAAGGCTGCGAGCCTGCTCGGATAAGCATCCCAGCAGCAGGGCCCCTCCTCTCATCCGTGCCGCCTCCGAGGGGGAGTTCGGAAGTCGCAGTGCTGTCTACTGCAATCATCAGTCCTGGAATACTCTTGTTTTATGGAATGTGTGCTGATACAAGGCTCCTTAGAGACAGAGCAGAGACGGAGAGGCAACAGGACCGCCTCCGTGGCAAGTGAAGGTAACGTCACGCGACTGAGCCCGCAGGCGACCCTCCCCGTCACCCCCCGTCTTTCCACAGGAAGGCCGCTAAATCTGGGGGATTTATTCGATCCATAACGAATTCAAGCTTTTGTCTCTGGTGTATAGCCAATTCAGAACTGCAGGTGCTGCTGTTGTGCTGCCGCCGTCACTGGATACCATCAACCGCCTGTGGGTGCGGCCTTAGGCGCACGGCTACCCGTGCAGCAGCACAACTGTCTCTTGGCTGTAACGGATCTAGTAGAGCGACAGCCTCTTTCCAGCCGTGAATATTATCAGATGCAGCAGCCTTCGGTGCTAATCAGCCCTCCCCGTCCTCACATCTCCCTGCCGCCTCCGTAAGCCGGGCGGCGAGCACTTGAAAACAACAGCGCCGACCGAAGCCGCAGACACAGTCGCACCCTTCACTCCGGAGAGGGAATTGCTCACTTGCAGGCTGCCCGTCTCCTGTGCTTCGCATCAGCTCACCCTACAGGCTTCTTCGACGGGAACTACCGTTCTAGCAATCGCCGCTGCAGCGTCAGCGACAGCAACGGGCGGGGCGGCACGTCACGAGCTATGGCAGAACGTGCTGGATGCAGAAGCGGACCGTCCCCGGTCTGTAGTAGAGGCAAGGGTTCCTTAAGTTCTCTTGCTTGTGTAGCAGCAGCCATGGCTGCCGCCGCAACAGCGAATCACGACGCTGTAGCGAGGCTAACCAAGCAGAGGTTGCTCACTGCCGTCGATCTCCTGCAGAGGCAGTTGAACCCTGCTCCCGGGGGAGGAGCAGCAACAGCAGGTTTATCAGGGCAAAGAATGGCTGGATCAGCTCTCGGAGGCAGCAGCACCCGCAAGACTAAGTCTCCCCATAGAAGCGTCTGTTCTCCTTCCCCTCGCAACGGCCCTCCTGGAGTAGCAGGAGCTAAGGCAGGAGCAGGAGGGGGAGGAGCAGGAGCTAAAGCAGGAGCAGGAGGGGGAGGAGCAGGAGCTAAAGCAGGAGCAGGAAGAGCAGTGGCGCTCCCCCCCCTCGCTCTCCCCTCGACAACAACCAGGTTAATGCTACCCCAGCACACGTCTCTCCAACAGCTGCCGTCCCTAAGGAGGCTTCCCAGTGAAGGCGCCTACCTGGGAGCTCTCCTTGACGGTTCGGGGGATTCCCCTTCAAAGCAAACAACCTTCGATCAGCAGCCCTCAGCGCAGCAGCAGCAGCAGGAGCTGCTGCAGCAGCAACGCGCGGAAGCTGCCAGGTTCTATGAGCAGGCTCAGCAATTGCTGCAACCCCTCTTGTTGTTATCGCCCTCCGACGGACGAATAAGTCACAAGGAGGAGGACGGCATTCTTAGCACACAAGTGGCAGCTGCGGCAGTATCCGCAGCAACAACCAAAAGCAAGCAGAACGCAGCTGCAGCAGCGAAGCTGCAGCAGCGAGAAAGGCGATCTCAGGAAAACAAAGCAGCGACGGTAAAGCGGGAAGGGTCGAAGCTGCAGCAGCAGCAGCAGGAGTTGCTGCTGCTGCTGCAGCAGCACTGTGCATCCGCGAGTTTAAAAACCCCCGATGCGGCTCTGCGCCTCCCCCTCCATTCGGAAAAACGCGTAAGAGCAGCAGCACCAGCAGCCATGTCATTCTCAGGTGTGCAGCAGGCTGCTGATGTTGCCGCAGCAACAAGGTTAAGCAGCAGGTCCTTCCCGCAGTCGCGGCAGCGCTGGTACTGGCAACAGCCTCACAGACAGCAGCAGGGGCAAAGTCAGGAGCAGAGAAAGACTTTAAATGGTGCAGAGGAGCTTCAGCGCATGTGTCACATGCTGAAGCAGCTGGGAGACGAGCAGCGACAGCAGGACCAAAGGCACCACCAGCTGCTCACCGAGAGGCGGCAGCTGCAGAAGGCGAAGGAGCACGAAGAGGAGGAGGAGAGTGAGTGCTCGCGATTTTACGCGGAGGGAGCCTCGCACTGTGATGAGAAGCAGCAGCGAGTTGCGCTGCTTTCTCTCCCGGTTCCCTGCTACGATGAGCAGCAGCAGCAATTGCACGATAAGCAGGATATATTGAGTTGGAGCAGTGCAAGGCCGATGTGCAGGGCAGAGTGCGGAGTGCCTCTCACGAGACACGACGCGGAAAACAACGGCAGCTCACGCTGCTTTTGTCCATCAACCTCTTGTATCTTAGCGTGGTGTCAGCAGAAGCAGGTGCCACAACACGCACACTGGCCTTCACCCGACGGGGAGGTCAGTGCAGCGACTGCTCAGCACCGCCAGTTGCAGCAGCTGCAGCAGCAACTGCACGAGCAGCTGCAGAAACTAGTGCAGCGGCAGCAGCAGCAGCAGCAGCAGCAAAAGCAGCAGCAAAAGCAGCAGCAGCTGCTGCTGCACAAGCAGCTCCAGGAAACAGTGAGCAGCACTCCCTGTAGCCGCTGCTGTTGCTGCTGGGAAGACGCGGGGTCAGGCAGTCAAGCCTCCTGCAGAAACTTGCTGCAGCACGCGTCGACTCCCGTTTCTGGCGCAGCTGCCGCCGCGCATGCAAGCGGCAGCGTCTCGTCAGCAGCAGCGGCAGCGTGGGGTGCAGGCAGTGACACTGGGAGCTCGAGTGTACATGGAGGAAGCCTCCAGGAGGCCCTTCCCCAGCTCACTCCTCAGCGTTCTCCCCCCCCGCGCAGCCCTCCTAAGAGGAAATACGGAGCTTCAGGTGCCTCTCAGCGATCCAACGGTAAAAGAGGCCCCAGCTGCTGCAGCAACTGTGGCGCTCGACAGACTCCGCAGTGGAGGTACTTGGAGGGCATCCCTGTGTGCAACGCGTGCTACATGCGGGCAAGAAAGAAGCCCAGGAGAAGCAGCGCCAGCGGCAGCAGCAAGGACCAACAGCAGCAGGAACAGGACCACCTTGAGGAGCAGCAGCAGCAGCAGCAGCAGCAGCAGCAGCAGCAGCAAGAAGAAGAAGGGAGTGGTTTGAGAGAGTCCCACCTCCTAATGCTGCAGCAACCGATGCAGCTCGCAGAAGCGATCCAGCAGCAAGCGTAGCTGCACTTTGGCGTTCATACAGACACCCTGTCTCATGCAGCACCGACACTCCGTGGTGCTACCCACCCCATATACGACGTCCCCTCCCCCCTACTACCCTCCCTCCCCGAAACTCCCCATTGCCCACCCCTGACCCTCCCTCTCCCCCCTCCCCTCCTTCCCAGTATTCCTTAGAGCAAGAGCCGATAGCGTAAGCCCAGAGAGCCTCATTAGTTTTGTTTTAGAGTTAGAAGCATGCCGAACACGTATATATAGTCACTTTAGACCTGCTGTTACCACCTCTGGCGCTGCTGTCAAACAGCAAGACCAGCAGCACTACTCGTAACAGCAGCAGCACAAGGAAGTGCTGCAGATACGCGCTGCAGGACAACAGTGTACGACTTCGAATTTCCTCAGAGGGAGTTCGGGTGGTGTAAGTGCAGCAGCAGGAGCTACTGCTGCTGCTGTAACAGCAGCAACATGGCCAGCTCGCTGGCCATGTTGCTGCGGCTGTTTCCGGAAGGCGACCCACCCTTCCACGCCTGTCCGGTGTACAAACACCTTTGTACCATGCCTGTGTCCGCGAATATCGGGGGGCGAAGCCGGTGGATTGAGGAAGGAAAACATGTGTAGGCGTGATCCGACAGAGGTAGTTCGTTAGAGAGAGTTCGTTGGAGAGAGAGTTCGTTAGAGAGAGAGTTCGCTAGAGAGAGAGTTCGCTAGAGAGAGAGTTCGCTAGAGAGAGAGTTCGCTAGAGAGAGTTCGTTAGAAAGAGAGTTCGCTAGAGGATGGGGGTTATTAGATGACGAAAGCAAGTGACAGGCGGTGAGAGTTAGCTAGAGTTCGGCAGGTTGAGAGAACCACGAAGTGTTCGAAGGACTTAGAAGGGCTTCGAGAGCTGGGGTGGTTGGGGGGCATGCATTTGTTGAACGACCCGCATGCGCATACGGGCTGTAGGGTGCTAGGAAAAAGAAGGGCCGATCGCAAAAACGGAAGCTATCAAGGAAATAATGAGGGTGCGTCTTGAGGAGGGGCACTGCTGAATCTGAAGAGACTAAAGACGAGGCACTACCACTTCAACGGGGCACCTCGGAACCATATGAAAGTCAGCAACCCTGCTGTCCTCGATCCGCTTGATCAATCGATGGCTTTTGATCCCCTTCCTCCACTAGACACTACGACAATAAGGCGTGGTGTCTGCTGATAGCTCGTAGCACCTCTTGCAAGCAAATGCTAGAGACGCATCAGAGTCTCTACAGTACACCAAGAGGCAGAAATCATGCGCCTCTACCCAAGGGACCTTGTCCTTCAGGTGTATTTTGGCTTAGGCGTGCGCCTGTGGTGATGGCATGCGTCTAGAGACATGCTCCGAGGCGTCGGCGTGCAAAAAAAGAAGACGAGAACGCTCACCATTAGACCTTGGCCCCTCTCGTCCTGGTACTTTGTAGATTTGCTTTACGACAGGCCCCCTTTCCCAGCTACCCTCTGCGAATGAGATCAGATTTGCGCTTGGCTCCATACAATTAGTCAGCTCTGGCTCGGAGAGATAGACAGGGAGATTACGAGTGCTGCTGTACAAGTTGGAGCCTCAAGAGATGATAACCAACTAAGGGGAAGGTTGTGCTACCTGCGGAAAATACGAGATCCTTCGCTGAGCACAGATATCTATATATATATATATATATATATATATATATTTAGCTATATACGTATGTACTTATACATGTGCATATTCATATGCGGCGAGTGGTCATCAACCAAAGATTTCACACTCACGAACAGAATATGACTTTTCTGGAGCTCTTCTAGGAGCAAAGACTGCAAACCAGCCTCGTCAAAACAGTGTCGCACCCTCACGCGCCAGTACATAGCCTGTAGATGATGATGATGTTTGCAAGAAAACACTCATGAGGCGGCACAGCTGCGCGATCCATGGAATCCTTCGAAGAACCATCTCCACCCGTTCTCTGTAGCTAGCAGCAGCCACAGCTAGCTGTAGGGTGCCACACCTGCATCACATGCTGCAGACCCCAGCGGCTCCCTGAAGAAATGCGTTCCCATTCCTATCGGCAGCAGCACTCACAGCAAAGAAGTGCATGCACTACGTGCAGCGGCAGCAGCGGTCCTTGCATGCGCCAGGGCATCCGAAGCGTGGAGTTGTGGCCGCTTCTCCGAGCCTCTTCAGCTGTATGTTGAGCGGCCACTGAAGCTGCTAAAGCCCAGAGCGAGCACAATGAGAAGCTGGAGATGTATGCATCCTTCGGATCCAGCGTGCAGACTGGCAAACAAGTAGAGGCTCTCTCATAGACTGGAAGGAGCCCCCAGCATAAGCGAAGAGCGTTATTGTTTCTTGCAGAAACACCTCTTGTTGCGATTTGCAGCTGTGCCGCTGCGAATCCTTCCTCCTCTGCTTTACTGTTGCTGGCAGCGCGCACACACCGCTATTCTGCTTCAATTTGGAGGCCTCTATGCCGCCGAATGCGTCAGACGTAACAGAGACCGTTTGTCCACAGCTCTGTAAGTGTCTCTCTCTGCCCTTTTTCCGTAGGGGCAGCCAACTCAGCAGCAGCAACGCAGCACCGTTCCCCCTGTAAAGCAGCAGATCCTAGCCCTTGCCTTCTCAGTCCATAGAGAGGCGGTATTAAAATGATACCATCGCACTTCCCCCCACAGAGAATTGCACTAACCTTCACCTCCATAAAGCGCGGCACCGACGCTGAAACTGCTCCTGAGGGTTTATTCGGCTCCCCGGCAGAGGCCGTTGCTCCGGAGGGCTCTTAAAGCTGCCCACACTGATGGGCTTGGTTGAGGGTATGGGAGGGAGAAGCGCACAAGCAAGTGACGATGGCACATTCTCCCCAAATACCCTAGGGGCCCTTTTGTCTGTGTGTATCTCGCATTGTGGATCTCTCTCTCACACTCTGTGTGGGTATGTGTGTGTGTGTGTCCCTATGTGGCTCTCTGTACGTGCATATGTATGTTTGGTTTCCTGCTTGCATGAATGTGTGGGCGTGCGTGTTTCCGTATGAAACGCCTGCATGCATGTGTGGGTCTGTGTTTGTCCGTGTCGTGGCGTGTAGCGGGCCTAGCTACACGCTAACACGCTTTCCTTCACCAGACACTCCTTAGAAGACTTGGTAAAGAATTGACTCTTTGGTTTAGCTGTAATATTTACTCGCTGATTACTACAGGCAGCAAAAGACGAAAAGACGACCACCATGCTGCGTGTGAGCATATGTGTATGTGTACGTGTCTGTGTGTGTCTGTGTCTGTATCTGTAAGTGCCCTAGGTACTATGTGCAACTAGCTGTGAAAGCTTGGAATGCACAGAGGGCGCAACAACGAGGGAGAGGACGCTAACTGCCCCGCTTCCCGCGAGACGTGACTTCCGAGGAGCGAGGGCCTTTAAAAGACGCTCGCGAATTTTTGTTTTATGATTGCCCAGAGTCCGAAGTACGGATTTTCCTGCAACGACCTTGGATTCGCAGCTGTACCTGGGCTGTATCGCCATGGGGGCCCCCTATGGGGTCTGTCGAGGGGCCAAAGGGGCCCCTGGGGTTTCTGCCTCCCCAATAGGCCTCAAGAGATGTGCCTTTTAAGATGCCAAGGATGGATGCTTCCTCTCAAAGGAGGCCTCTAGAGTGAAGAGCAGTGAGAGCAGCAGCAAGATCAGATACTGGAAGACCTACAACGTTTTGGCTGCAGCCATTTACGGATGCAACAAAACAGCCACCCACGCCCTGTAGGCCGTATGCTCCTGCAGCATTGCATGCACATGCACATACATGCGTGCGCCGAGATAGATATATACATGTATATATATGTATATATATGTATATATATATATATATACATGTATATATATATATATATATATATATATATATATATATATATATACATCCAGACGTTTACACACACCTCTGCATGTACATAAATCTACACACATCCATACATGCGCACATCCCTCCATACACATGTATATATATATATATGCACATGCCTGCAAAGATATGCAAACCCAGATATGCTGCTTTTCCTGCACGTCCTTTTGATCTAGCTGATGGAGGCAGAAGCGATAACAGGGGCAGCACCGGCAGCAGCGCACGTGGAAGAGGTCTGCCAGATGTCGCTATTGCTTGACCACGCCCCCAATTACGGGAGGGCATGGGAAACGAAAACACACAGAGTGATTTCCGAGTGCAGAGAGTTATGCAGAAAGAAAGGCACAGCAATGGCCAAAGACCAGCACGTTGGATACCCTCGAAGCACGTGGAGATCTCTTTGGCGGGGGAGCCACACTCGCGTGGGAAGCGAGCAGTACGGCACACACCAAGCAGGCACACGGCAGCGCTCCAGGAGAAAGGCGGCAGTAGCGGATTTTAAAGAGTAACGCTCTACAAACCGGCTTTTCCAAGAGGTTCTTTAGAGGCGACGTAGGCCTCGATATCCTCGTCGCTAAGGGGCTTGAATTCCACCCGCGTTGAGCGCACAAAAGCCGCTGCAGCGCCTCTTCTCAGAGTCTGCTGACACGGCGGCTGCTCTTGCTGGACCCGCCTCTGTTGATTCTGCTCGTAAGCCGCCCGAGTGTATATACAGACAGCCGTGTGCACCCAGTGGCAGTTGCCTTGCAGCAAGCGCAGCATTTCCCTGGCCTCTGCTGCATCGCGGGGCTGCTCTAGCAGCGACCCCTCCAGATCCACCACAGTATCCGCCGCCACAACTACACTGCTCTTGCGGCAGTCGCTCGCACTGCTGCTGCCGCTGCTGCCTTCACCCCAGAGGCCTCCTGCAATATCCGCCGCTTTCCCATGAGCATTCCGAAGCGCCCATGCCTTTACTTTGCTGCATCCTTGCCGCGAAAGCCGCTGCTTCTCCTTGGGCGCTGCAGGAGAGCGGCTGCCGCTGCTGCCGCTGCTGCCCTCCGGCGACAGCAGCATCTGCAGCAGCACGGCGTCTGCCTCTTGAGGAGAGCCGCCAAATGCTTGCTGGCGCTGCTGAGCGGCTGCCTCCTCGTACGTTGAAGGCCTGAGCTCAACAGGAACCCCCAGATGCTGCTTGAAAAGCCTCGATCTCTGAGGCGAACGGCTTGCCATCACCACCACTGGATGCCCACAACAGCTGCAGCCACCGCTGCTGGTAAGGTTCGCTGTCTCAGACGTCTCCCCCTGCCCCCGTCCAAGGTACTGAAGGGTCGCAAAGAGGCTCTTTGACTCCTCTTTGGCCATATTCGAACCTCTCCCTGAAGAAGCTGCAGTCTGAGCAACAGAAGACGCAACAGGGGCCGCTCACGAACCACTATGCCCTGTCTGAGTCACTGCAACGCCAAAACGTCGCACTCAACGGCCTCTGAAGCTTCTCGCCTTATTTCTAAAACGATTTCGTAGTGCCTTCTGAGAAGGTTGCCCACTGAAGCTCCTCGGGAAGCCACGCTGCGTAGTACAGGCTTCCTCAGACAGGAGGGGCCCCCCCTCCAGGGGGCCCCACCCCGCTCCCCTTCCACCGTCTTGCAGTTCTGCCCCAAGATCATCTGGGATAGGCGCCTTCGGAATTTCCGAAATGTAATTAATCAACAGCCCTTCGTTCTACACTACTTTCGCGGTTGCGACCCTTGTTGCAAGTCGTGCTGAGAAAGAGGTCTTCCATACACCCCGGGCAGATTGTCAGCAGCTGCCGCATCCAGAAGGAACCTCAATGTACGTCCAGGAAACGTGAGTGGCATTCTTCTTTCTCTAAGGAAGGCGCTGCCCGCCTGCCCCTGTCTCCTCTGCCGCCGTTGCTGCTCCTTTGTTGTTGCATGGGCTTCCCGAGATGCAAAGAGAACGGTCGACGCCTTTCGTTCCAAGCGACTCTGGAGATGGTATCCCTGCAGCCGCCGCTGTGGCAGCAGCTGCAGCAGCCAGCGCAGGTGTAACACTGCCAGCAGCAGCGGCAGCAGAGGGCACTGAGGCGCTGAACCCCCCTGTAAGCCGGTGCGAACTGGTGGTCATGGGGAGGCCCCTCAGCCTCCTGCGAGTCTCTTTTGCGGACCGAAGCCTTGTGCTTCTCTCAGATGACGGCAGGATTGCGGCGTGGGTAGGTATTCACCCGACAACAAGAGCGGGAGAAGGAGTAGCTGCGTGTGCTGCTGCTGCCGTTGTTGCTGCGCTTTTCCTGCCTGCTGGCCTCTTCCAGCTGCTACCATGGGGCCCCTCCCTTCTGAAGACTTCTATACATATATGCCAGCAAACGCGAACGCCGCCTTGTCTCCTTCATGTGCGATGCCTGCTCGGGCCGTTCCGCGAGCGACTGCCAGAGAGTCTCCTCGCTGCCAGTGGGTGTGCATGCAGCTGACGGGAAGCACTGACGAGACAGGAGATAGCGGCGTCAGCTTCCTCCTGGGAGACAGGTAACTCGCCAGTCGATCGGGGAAACCCCTTCTGGCTGCTCTGCAGCTACAGCTGGGGCCCCTCTCTTCCGCTGAAAAGGCATGCATGCTAGGTGTGCGAACGACAGGCACTCAACTCCACGCCTCTACTTGTACTTCTGCAAATGCTTATGATGTGCGGACGCTGAAGGGCCAAGAGGCATTTCATTATATATGCGCAGGAGCTGCTGCTGCGTCTCAGAGACCCCCGAGGTATGAGATCTACACCGCACATGCAACTACTGCAGCACAACCCTTGAAGGAGCGGCTGCCTCCCCAAACAAACGCGCTTTTCTCCTTGCACCTGCACTTTCGGCGCTTGGCTCTATATATTCATATGTATGCCACTTTTGTGTTTTTGTTTGTCTGCTGTCTTTGCCGAAGGCTGCTCGCAGCACTTCGTCTTTGGCCTGTCTATTCAGGTAGGGAGGCAGGCGTGTGCGGCAGGGATTGATGCCGCAGGGGCTGCTGTTGCCATCTAGCCAGAAGCAGCGAAGCGCCTTGCCATCGATACAGCGGCACTTGCGGCTGCTGCTCTAACGTGGAGTGCGAGGCTGCATCCTAAAACGCAGCATCACTTGGTATTTGCCTCTGCTATTGCAGGATGAAAGCCCCACGTTCTTTCGCGCCTTCAGAAAAGCGTGGACAGACGCTACTGGCGAAGAACTCGAAGGCCAAGAGTGTTTTCTTGACGAATAGATTCTTCTGCTGCTCGTGTGGGGTGTGTTCATGTTCACGCTGTACGACCGGTAGCGATGGCACAGCCGCACAAGCGTTTTAAAAGGGTTAGGCGTGCTGGCAGCGCACTCTCGCAAGGCACTGCGTGGACGCTATAGCCGCGCGTAGCAGCCGTAGCGACAGCAGACCTTGTCAAATTTCGCCTAGCACGCCGAGGCGTGGGTGTGTGCCTCCTCTTTGAGGTTAGTGTGTCGGCACAGGAAACGGCAGCAAGCAGCTTGCCCTCTCTCCGTGAGGCACTGGCAGCAGTAGCGCGCGAAGCCCCTCTTAGTAGAGTGCTGCAAACAGTGCTCACGAATAAGTGGCGATCTGTCTCCCCGTACAAGGGGTGGCGGTAAAACAATTCGAGCCCGTAGTAACTGCTGGAGCTGCTGAGGCGGGTCTCCCTGATACAGCGCAGCACGTACATACACGATACAGCGAAAAGCCGCACGGCATTGCCTCCGCTTAAAAAAGCGCCTGCTTCTAGACCTGTGCAGGGGGGAGGACAGCACATCCGCGGAGCACGTTGGTCAGAAGCCACCTATGTGTGTCTCCTCCGTGGCAGCATGCGGGGTGACAGGGATGGACGCTTTGAGGGCAGAGCGGCTGTGAGAGAGCTGCTGCGACTTTTGAGAGCGCCGGAGAGGGAGGCTCCACACTACGCCCTCTGTCAGAGGGGCCCCTGTCCGCCCCCCCTCACCGCAGGGGGCAGGGGGGCCCCCGTCCCAAATACCCAGAAGCCGGGAGACCTCTCACGGGCAGGCGCGCATGCGTTTCTGGAAGTTGAAGAGGACTCACGAAAGCCCCAGCAGCCGCAGGAAAAAGCTTCTGCACTCTGCTGGACGAATTCACGGAGAGCAGAAGCTTGCTGCCGGTGCTGCTGCGGCAGCCTAGAGGTTCCCACCCTCCCGCTGCTACTGCTGCTGGGGGGGGGGAATCTAGGGGAAGGCGGGGCAGCTAGATGCTCCAGAAACTCTTTGGCAGCGCGTGGGGTGAAGGGGATGGAGTCGACAAGCGAGGCTAATGTAGAACGGCTCGAAAGCTGCTGCACCTCCTTGGCCTAAAAAATGCATGCACACGCAGACTTTGAGAAATGCATCCACATGCAGCCCTGACATGGCAGTCCACGCGTGTAGGCAGAGCACATTTCGCTGCCACCTCCCTCCTTCCCCTTCAACTTCCTTGAGCCACTGACTATCTCCAGACATGTGGCATAGGCATCCTTCTAGGACCCCTTCCTCTGCTTCTCCTCCTCGGCTTCTCCCGGCAATGCGGCTGGCCGCCCTCCGTGTGTATGTATGTATGTGTGTGCGTGTATGTGTTGTGTGTGTGTATATACACATATATGTGAGTGTTTGTGTATGAATGTTCGTACAAGTCCTTGTATATAAATATGTGCATGAGTGTTTTTGTTTATAAAAATTTGTCCACTGTCTGCCCATGTCTTTGACAACCGAAGCCCCGCTTCTCACACTTTTCAATTTTGGTTCAGCGGCTGCTCCCCTGCACTACCCAGCTACGAATCTGCGTGGATGCTTGCCGAGCTCTCTGCTGTTGTGTCGCTGCCTCTTTATTTCGCGCTCGCTTCGTGATGTGGAAACTTTAAGGGGGGAGGGAAGGCGGGAAAGGAGAAACGTCTTTTTCTCTCTCTTTCTCACCCTCCTTGCGAGAAGGCCTGCAGCAAGCTGAAAGGTCTCAGCGTTGATTCTGTCTGCAAATGCAAAGGCCAGCTTCTTGCATCCAAACTCCAGCACAACAATGTAGTTGCGTTCTTCGCTGCAGCCTCCCTCTGCCGCGATTGTTGCTGCCGGGCGCCTCTCCTCCTCCTCGTGTGGCGTGTTCTGTTGCTGCGGGGGCAGACTGCACGGCACCAAGCGGTCCCCCCCGCTCGAGTGCAGCCGACTCAAATCCAGTGGCGGCAGCTGCTTCTGCTGCTGCTCCTCAGCGCTGCTTTTCGTGCGGACGCAGTGCAACTTCTGAGGCTGTCCAGAGTCAGTTGCCTGAATGACGGGCACCCGCCGTCGCTGAAGCGTGTATACAGCTTCTGCATGCACCAGCGGGAACTCGAGTACATGACCAGTTCTCATATCGAGCAGCAGATGCTGCAAATCGTCCGACAGCCGCACGAAGACAGAAACCAAGTCGCGGTTGGATGTCAGCTGCAGCAGTGACAGGCCTGCAAAGGCGCACATAGAGAGGAGGGAGGGATGCGTAGAGTGGTGCGCATGTGCGAGCATGTGTACACAGATGGTGCAGAGATGCATACACCTAGGCCCGATTCGAACCGAATGCAAATGAGTAAATGGCGGCTCCGCTGTCGAGGCTGCTGTTGTGAAAAGAGAGAAGAGCATGGCCGACTCGGGAAAGGAGCGAATCAAGCACCCACACACACCCGCACGCAGTTGCCTACCCAAGCGCAGCGGCGCGGAGGCGTCTAGCGATCTACCAGAATAGCCCATGCCACAAGCAACTGGCTACCCCCGGATACAAGGCAAATGTGCTTTTCTGGCATCAGCAGCAGCTGGGGTAGTAGTAGTGTGTGTGTGTGTGTGTGTGAGGCGGCAGGCGCTGTCGGGGTGCATGCTCTCTAGGGGTGGATGGCTAAGTGTCGACCAGGCCGCTTGCTACGAGCCGCTGTCTACCCGGCAGCCTACATATATACATAGCGAGCAGCCTGCGCTGCTTCTGTTGGGGGCACGTCGACTTGCCTGCGTTCGCCTCGATGCAGAAATTTGCGAGCATGTTGAAGAGGAGCGCTCGTCGGTGAGCGAGGGGCAAACTGAAGATGGAGGCGGGGTCGATGGATTTGGAGGGCGTTGCGGGCTTGTTGCTGCTGTCTTGTGGGAGAAGGCCAGTGGCGTAAGCCAGAGACTTTACGCGGGGGAGGGGCTGTGGCTGCTGTTGGAGCAGCTTTGCAGCAGCAGCAGCCGCGTCTTGGCGGTCCTCCTGTTGCTTGAGAGCTTCTTCCAAGAGCAGAGCCGGAGGCACTGGGTAGTCCGATGCATGGGAGCCTGAGGCGGCAGCACGATCATGTAATGAACACCGGAAACACATCTTGAACAACCAATCTCCGCTGAAGAAGCCCGCTACCCCGGAGGGCAGTCATGGCAGAAAGAAAGAAAAAAGGCCGCATTTCAAAAAGGCGACTTCTCACCCAGTTCAGGCAGCTTAACGGCTGCAATAAGGCTTTTTTCGGAGGGGCTCCAGGGGACGTGGGTGACGTCTAGAGACACCGCAGCGAGCGTTGCGCTGTATAACAGGCCCTCCGGTGCTGCTTCGTAGTAGCCGCGCACATCCCAGCAGCCTCGCGAGGCGTCTTCTGCTAAGGCCTCTTTGGCTGCTAGCGGTGTTTTTTCTGCGGCTTCTGCTGCAGAAAAAGGAGGGCGGGGTTGCGACTCCTCCCCGTGCTCTGAGACGAAGGCTACGGATCCGTCGTAGGGGGGTGGCTCGCGAGTCACAGTGCTTTTTGCCCCATACGAATAGGGGGGGAGGGGGCCTCTTGCAAAGGGACCGCTGTACGCCTGTGCATAGGCCTGCTGTAACTCAGGAGCAGCTACAGCAGTCGGTGCTGCGGGGGAGAGCACGAAGGCACCAGCAGCGCTGCCGCTGTCGTTAGATGTAGGGAACCGGAGATTGTAACAACCGTCGACGCCACTGCCGCCGTTGTTGCCGCTGCAAGGCGCAAGGGCTGCTGCATCCGTAGCAGCCATGCGCAAGGCCAGGAGCAGCTGCGGTTGCTCCTTCAGGTTGTCTTCCAAATCTCTTTGAGAGGATTGTCGCGCCTCCCGCCAGTGCTGCCCTTGCAGTTGCTGGTGTTGCTGCTGCTGTTTTGGAAGCTGTTCCTGCGCATCTGCGGAGTCTGAGACGTTGGCAGCCCGTGCTCTGCACAAAAGGCCGCAACAAGTACAGCAGCAGCATCAGCAGCAGCGGCAGCAGCAGCGGCAGCAGCGGCGGAAAGGGGCATGAAGTCGGGGGGCGCTGGCACGCACAGCATCCGCACTCCCAAAACTAGCAGCTTTGATCACACCAGCAGTCTAAAATGATGACATACAGCAGGAGCAGCACAGCTACCTGGGGCGGAAGGCCTTCAAGAAGGACCTCATGGTGGTGGAATGGAGAAAAAAGCACGCTGCATCTGTTGACACTGCTGATGTTGGGTTGATTCTGTGACAATTGCTGTACGGATGCTTTAGTTGGGCTTAAGAGACACGCTAATCCACAGCAGCGCCAACAGGACGCCTCGCAAATCGAGGCTGCAGCCGCCGTTTCGAACGACGAATTGTTATGAATTGCCGCTGCTTCCGGAGTCGCCGCTGCTTCTGCAGACACTGAACTTCTCTAATAAACACGAATCCCACGGTATTTGGAGGGTCTAGGAGTTTTAGTAATTTGATCCCGCTTCGAAAGCCACGCCACGTGCTGCTGGTGAGCTGCAGCTGCGGCAGGGTGCTGCCTGCAGCACTGCAGTGACAGCAACAGCAGCAGACGCACGAACAATGCGCGGAAAGAGGGCTTGTGCGCGAGAAAATATAAAGACGCTTCTTGTGGCGAACCCTGAGTTCTCATTGCGGCTGCCGCTGCTGCTGCTGCTGCTGCTGCTGCTGCTGGCTCAAGAGTCGATACACCAGCAGCAGCAGCAGCAGCAGCAGCAGCAGCAGGGAACGGCAGCAACCCGAGAACGAACGCCTGCATAGAGCAGTGATAAGGGCACACGCACTCATCTTAGACATATTGGCTATCGAAGACACTCGCGTTGATTTATATTATGCATTCCATATCCGGAAATTTCCATGGAGCGGAGGGATGCGAATGCTCAATGTCTTGCCGATGAGCCGATACGAATGCTGCACGCCTGAGGCGGCCGCACTGCTGCCGTCTCCCCAGCAGCAGCAGCCGCTGTCTCTCCACTGACATGGCAGCTCCCTGTGCAAACGAAGCGTCTTTTTGCGCATCGATAGCAGCTTCTTTGGCCTCGTCTTCCCCCTACCTTAACACCCCCTTAGCTCGCCCGCTAACTCCTGAAGACAGCAACGGCCGCATCCGCTGCTGTGTTGCAGCCGTAACAACAGGAATAACAGCTGCAGCCAGAAAGAGAAAGCAGACAAATTCTTTTCTTTCTTGTCTTGTGTGGCACGCATGCGTGAGTCGAAGCCGCTGATGGTGGCTCCTTGCGCATGCCGCCTGCGCGCATCAGCCAACTGGCACTGAAGCACTGCGGACGGAGGTAGCAGCAACAACAAAAGCAGCAGCGGATCCTGCGCTGCTCCGCTTCTTAGCAGGTGCAGCAAACAGCAACTCCTTGCCGACGCGCTCGTGTGTCTGCTGCCTGCGGCTATATATATATATGTATAGAGAGAGAGAGAGAGAGAGAGAGAGAGAGAGAGAGAGAGAGAGAGAGAGAGAGAGACAGTTCCGCTAACGCACCGCAGGACCGGCAAAGTCGCGAGGGTTTAACTGCCGCTACGACTTTGGCCTCTGTGTGCATGAGAGGCAATGCCACCACCAAACGCGGCAGGAAGACAAGCGGTAAGAGCAGCAGCCCATAGCAGCAGCAGTCCATAGCAGCAGGAGCACACAGCAGCAGCCCATAGGAGCAGCACGTAGCAGCAGCGGCAGCAACCCGCTGCCAGGGAGCTCCTGCTGTTTCCGTTTCGCTCGTTCATCGGAGCAGCTTGCACCGCAAGTACTGCAGCAGGGGTTGCTGCAGCTGCAGCAGCCGCTGTGACGAATGCTATCCAGAGCCTTTATCGGCAGAAGCTGCTGCGCCTGCGAGGCAGCAGCGAGCCGCTGCATGCCTCTGCGGCTGCAGTGTGTGTATCTGCTGTTGCTGACGAGCAGCTCCAGCCGCTGCCTCTGCAGCAGTCCTCTGCAAACGCCTCCAGCGCGCAGCTACGGCCCCTACGCGGCAATCCAACGGCAGCAAGGGTGGCAGCAGAAGAAGCAGCAGCAGCAGCAAGCGGGAGATACCATAGGAGGGCAGGGGCAAAGAGTTCGCGAGAAGGGGTGTCACAGCAGTGCAGGAGCAAAGGATGGCTGGCTGTCTGGATGGCGTCAGAGACACGCTTGCCAGAGGTGCCAGCAGCAGCCGCGCGAGCATGGCTATGAAGTGGGCACTCCAGAGATGGAAATTCGCAAGGACGATGATGACAAGCGTCGCGACGGCAGCCTCAGCGACGTCGATCAGCAGAACGGCTGCTCTAGACATCCATTCCTCACAAGCGCGGCTTCCCCATAGAGGCCGTTTCTTAGGGCCTGCCATGTGTCGGGTGCCTCCTTGGTGTAGCGGCAGGAGGATCTTCTGCAGCAGCTGCAGCGGACTGCTCGTGCTGCCTGCTTCTTCTTATCGGACTGGAATCGCCAGATCTAGCAGCAGCATCCTGCTGCTCGGAGAAGCGCCTTGCCGCTACAGCAGCTGCGCGAGCAGAAGCGAAGGGGGCAGCAAGGGCAGCCTCCCAGGCAGCTGCAGTCGCAGCTGCAGCATGTGCCCACCAATCCCCCGCTTGAACGAAGACGCAAGTGAATGGGAGCGCATTACGGAGGCGAGCGGCGGCTCAGATGGGGCTGCAAGGACCAGCCGCGTCGGCGAAGAAAGCTCCGAGCAGAGGAACGCTGTCAGTGAAGAATGCGCACACCCCGTGCCAGCAGCGGCTGCACCCGCAGGAGACACTGCCGCACTCCCCGCAGCAGCAGAGGCAGCTGCCTTGCCCCCGAGCATTGCCGCGTCTGGAGAGCTCGAATATCTCAGCAGCGATCGGCGTATTGCCACGTGCGAGACTGCCGCTGCGGCAGTCCAGGTGACTGCCGCCAAGGCTCCAGCGAAGGCAGCGAAAGCAGCTGCGACAACAAGGGTCGAGGCAGCAGACTCAGCTGCAATCGCAGCAGCTCTTCCTCCTCCAGTGCCTCTGCAGTGGGTATTCAGGAGACCTTCGGAAGCAGGTTCTTGGCTGTGCAGCGAGACTGCTGCTGCGGGGGGGGGGGGGTGGCTACGACACTTGATCCCTCGGCAGCATATCCGACAGGAGAGACTGCGCTCCTACTCCCCGACAAAGACAGGGGCGGCAGCAACGCAGCGACAGCGGCAGCAGTAGCAGCGGCCATAGACTACATGGATCTTGCCGAAGCGGCGCTTGCCGAAGCCTCAGAAGCGGCAGCATGCGCGCAGCTCGCAGCTGCAGCACAGGAACGCTGGACGGCCATTCAGGTGGGCTGGTGTTGTTGTTGTTGTTGCTGTTGTTGTTGTTGTTGCTGCTGCTGCTGTTGCTTTGATCGCGGAAAAAAAGACACGCGGCGGAGCGCTTCTTCCCGTGGGAAAATAAGTTTTGAGGCAGTAAGGCATCAGGAAGGATGGCTTGTCGGGGTCGTGCGCGCGCCATCCCTCTCCTCCCCTTTGTGAGTCGAACAGGTGCTGGGGTGGGGTGTACGCTTTCTAGCCTCACCCCGCAAGGCTTGCGCTTAGGCTGTCACTGCTGCTGCTGCAGGCTGAAACGCTGGAGACTGCCTTGGCAACGGGGCAGCTGCTGTGGACAGATCGAGAGGGAGGAGGAGACGTCAAGAGCGCTGAAAGCTCCTCGATTTCAGGATCCCTCTCCCCCACAGGGGCTCCCCCCCATCCTTCGCAACATCAGCTATGGCTGTTGATTTTGGCTGGAAGTATTCCCTTCATTGGGTTTGGCTTTGTAGATAACTTCGTGATGATCATCGCGGGAGACATGGTCTGCTGCTGCTGGTGCTGCTGGTGTTTTCGTTGGCACTGCTAGTTGCAGCTGTCTCGTGAACTTGCTCTTGTGCTGCTGTATCTCCGAGCTGTATGCGTCGATGTTTCTCCTTTCCTTTCCGATGCAACCGCTGCTACTGCTGCTGTCCGATGGCGCTGACTTCGCTGCCTTAGCCCTCCTTACCTTTCCCCCCCCACACCTCCTCCCAAAATCCTCCCGCTTACTGCCGGCCCCTTCCATGCGTGTGTCTTGCGCGTCTTGCGCATGCAAAGCGCCGTGTCTGCTGCTGCTGCTTACTTGTTTGTTCGACATTCAGTTCGACACAACGCTGTGTGTGTCGTTGGGACTGTCCACCATGGCAGCTGCCGCTCTGGGTAAGCATTTTCCGTGGTTCCTACTGCGAATGCTGCCGTCATATTACACCTGCTGTAGCTTGCAGCGGCGGGCAAGTATTGCTGCAACTGCCAGATGCCATGCTCTGAGTGCCCTTTCGCTGTAAGGCCTGGCATGCGCTGAAGCCAGAGAGGCTCCTTAAGTATCGCCTCCGAAATTGCTAGGCGTTCTGGTGTTTCTCAAGTCTGCAATAAGGTCGCTGCTGCTACTGCTGCATTACTGCTGCATTGCTGCTGCTACTGCTGCATTACTGCTGCTACTGCTGCATTGCTGCTGCTACTGCTGCATTACTGCTGCTACTGCTGCACTACTGCTGCTACTGCTGCATTACTGCTGCTACTGCTGCATTACTGCTGCTACTGCTGCATTGCTGCTGCTACTGCTGCTCTTAGGTAACTGGCTCAGCGACTTATTAGGGATTTGGATGGGTTCGTGGATTGAGGCCTTCACGACCAAACTTAAGGGCATCCCCAGACCTAAGTGGGTAATACTGGAGTCGCAACACCTGGCTGCAGTTGCTCGTGTCTTGACGGCTTTTTCCGCTGCTGCTGCTACTGCTACTGCTGCTGCTACTGCTACTGCTACTGCTGCTGCTGTACGATTTACGGACGCTTATGCCACAACGGCGAAAAGAGAGGAGCGAAGCAGTGCCACTCTAGGGCCGTTGCATCTCGATTAACCGGCATGGTGGCTAGTGCCTCACATAGCACTGACTCTCCAACTGCTCATGCTGCTGGATGCCTCTGCATGCCTGCTTCTGCTGGTATCGCTCTACCGCAACTTTTTATAGCATGCAATCCACCAGACGAACGCCCTGCAGCGTGTCTCGTGTCTGCAGCCTTACTAAGGAACAGTTAGAACTACCCATCTCGAGGCGGTATTACTACTTAGGGTCTGCCATTGGCATTTCCCTCGGCTGCCTTCTTGGTGATGCTCCCCCTGCCCTTGTCGCTACAGCGCAGGCCTCTGCGCTTGCTGCTGCAGCGCATGCACATATACTTCATGCACACGTTTTAGCCGCTGCCGGCTTGCTGCAGCAAAATTACGCCCAGCACTGCCGCAGCCCCCTTCCTTCCCTCCCTCCCTTACAGCCTGTTGCGGATCCTCTCCTAAGCTGCCGCTAAACTTTCGCTGCCGTTTTGCTCCTATGGCCTCGCGCGGGATGCAGGCATGATTCCCCTGCTCTTCTTGGATACTAAGGAAGGAGCTCGTCTCAAGACGCAAAAGGACGAGGAAAACTTTATTTTTATCGACCTCATGCAAGAACTAGAGGTGCCCCCCTGCCCATTCTCCCTCCCTACCCAGCCAGCTCGCTTGCGAGATAGCATCTGGACGGATGTTGTGTTTCCTGTTCTCCTTATCATGCTAGACAGCTGCACACCTGAGGGGTCAGCTGGCGGCTCGCCGAATTCCCGCTTATGCAGCTTTTTCTTGCATGCAGACACACAGCCTTGTCTCTACTTCATGTAGCCGCTGAGCCACTGTGTATCGTCGCGTATGCTTGGATGTTTCTGTGTGTTTTCGAGTTTCTGTGTGTTG